AGCCAGAATTGTCTTCTATCTTTACAAGAAAAAAATTGTGGATAAAAAAATCCGTTTTAAAAATATTCATTTTCAAGATATCTATGCTAAATAAAATGGGTTTTAAATATTGTTTTTTCTTTTTTCTGTATTCTTATTATTTTGTCCGTTAACTTAATCAATTCAGCTTTAAATATTGTTTATCAATTATATGATTAAATATGTATATATGCAGCCAGGAAATTACGCACTTTGAAAAAAATTTCAAAGTGCGTTAAAATTGGGACAAAATCAACGCACTTTGAAACGTTTTTTCAAAGTGCGTTAAATTTTGGACACACTAAAAGCACTTTGAAAAAATATTTCAAAGTGCGTTAAGAGTGTACATTAACATATTTACCATTAGAAAATTTAAAGCACTTTGAAAAAATATCTTTAAAACAAAAACTCTAGACTCAGATTTTAGTAGTTGAGAAAATCAATTTGTATTGGTTATATCTTTCGAAAAAAAAACGTTTTTATTTACACGTACTTCTTTAACCTCATTGAGAACAAGGAGAAGACGAGTAGAAGGTCTCTCAGTCCAACTTTTTTTCTTATACATTGCACATAGCCGTCTTTAGCAAACCCAATGCCTTGTCTGTTTGTCTCTTGACCTTTTTGTACTGTTCGCCTTTACATGAGGTCAGCGCCCATTAATCTACAGACCTTAAATCTGTATCAAGGTTACAGGATGTAAAAATTTTTTTCAGATTGGAATTTTTCTATATTTTAAACTATGTATGCTGTTATAAAACTCTTTGTAAGCAATGTATTGAATGTATGATAATTATATAAATAAATGAAATCTATGTATAATAAAAAAAAAAAGGTGACAAGAAGACCTTTTATATCAATAAATATATACTACATTAAAAATAAATAATTTCTTAAAAAATATATTATTTTAAAAATTGATATGTTTTCTACAAATTGAAAGAGATACAGTAACAGAGGAATTATCCACACAAAAAAGAGCGCATGCAGACAATGAATGAGGAAAACAAATATACATTTTGAGATATGTATTCATACTCTACTCTGTGTGGGGTAAAACATTGCTATAACCATCAACTCGATATTCAGAAACATGTGTACTGTATATTGACAACGTTTTAACAATATTCGTTTCAAATTTCAGAATTTGAAAAGAAATGCTTGTAGGAAATTGGAGAAAGAGATCACCCTTCTGTAACAACGCACTTTGAATTTTTTTTTTAAAAAAGTGTGTTTAATTTGGGACGACATCAACGCACATTGAAAAAATAAAATATTTTTTTTCAAAGTGCGTTAATATCGACCATATTAACGCACTTTGAAAAAAAATTTATGGCTTGGTCAATATTCCTGCAAATCGTAGGTATGATAAATAATTGAACCTGTTTGATAAGTCTTTGGTGATGAGGTCATTTCAGGATATGAAAGTGAGCGATTTTGATTTTTCCATACTTTGAAAATTCTTTCTCTTTCTGTTTTACTGTACTTAATTTTTCCTTTTTCAATGCATTTTATATGTAAACTGAAATTTATTGAAAGTTTTTAACGTCATACCAGTAATGCAAATACATTTACATTTGGGTGTAGCATAGGCATCGGAACCGGGAAGAGGGCCTTAGGCACACAATTTTTTTGCAAAGATATATAGGCATTGAAAACTGGGGCTTACCTTTAAGGGGAGGGGGTCCACTTTCAATTTGCTACCGACGGCTATGTGCAATGTATAAGAAAAAAAGTTGGACTGAGAGACCTTCTACTCGTCTTCTCCTTGTTCTTAATGAGGTTAAAGAAGTACGTGTAAATAAAAACATTTTTTCGAAAGATACAACTAATACAAATTGATTTTCTCGGTTACTAAAATCTGAGTCTAGAGTTTTTGCTTTAAAGATATTTTTTCAAAGTGCGTTAAATGTTCCCATGGTAAAAATGTTTATGTACACTCTAACGCACTTTGAAATATTTTTTCAAAGTGCGTTGTGTGTGTCCAAAATTTAACGCACTTTGAAAAAATGTTTCAAAGTGCGTTGATTTTGTCCCAATTTTAACGGATTTTAAATTTTTTTCAATGTGCATAATTTTTTCAAAGTGCGTTGCCACACCCCTCTAATCCCCAAAATACGTATAGGACTAAACAGTGTGTACATTGTATTTCTTTTTCAATTAGCTTTATTCCATTATCCCTCCCACCCAATCCCCCTCCCATCCCCTTACAACTGAAAAAAATCCTATAAGCTTTGAATTGACAGATAATTAAAATATTCTATTTTGTCTCTGTTGTCTTTGTTGTGTTAGAAAAAATGAAAGGAACGTACCCAATGTTTGTTTAAATATGGTTACTTACTCAGTTCTAATGTGTTCAAATTGTATTTTTTTGGAAACAATATGCTCAATACAAGTGTGAGAATTGTACATGTACATGTAGCATTTGCAATAAAATGCTACTGCATCCCTCACCTGTGTTAACACTGTGTTAATAGGCACACTCCATCCGAACTACCAGTATATTTTAAGTCATTTACCTTTATTTGTTTACGTCGTATCAGGGTTATCTTTACAACAATAAGCAATGTGTTAGCACTGCATATTTTTAGACAGAGTATTATAAGCCACATTAGCAAATAGTACAATTTCTTGATGTTGTATTATTTCAGGTTAATAATTATAATGTGTAAAAAAAAAAATAAGTGGAGAAAAAGAACAGTATTCAAGTTCAGAAGTCCATTAAATAATACAAAATATGAGCAGAGCAAACACGGACCTCTTAAACATCAGAAGTGGGATCAGGTGCCATGAAGAAGAAGCATACCCTACCTATTGGTCACACCCGCCGTGTGCCCCTTGTCATGATCGCGAAATAACGGAAAATCCGTCGACAATTCGGTGTATAAATAATGGCCAGACAATTAGAAAGAAGTCACTCAGCATTTGATTAAACTATAATAGATTTTATTTGCTTGCAAGGTCATTGTATCGACTATAGAACTTACGAAATGATGACTTTGAACGAGACTGATGATATTATTTTTTCAAAAAATTGTTTATCAGTAACTTACCTCGTTTTAGAATTTGTTCAAAAGTAGAGCATGTTCTTGCATAAATACATTTTTAAATACTTTGCATGCGCGCATCTTGTGTGAATACATTTTTATCAAACACAATTTTTAATCAATTCGTTGGAATTGACGAACATTTGCTTTGCAAAAAGGTATTTATTAAATACACGTGATTCCCATTTTTCACTTTTTGAAGACAACGCATACCATTGTTTTTATTTTACGTTAACTGCAACGCAAATTTAATCAGTTGATTTTTGAAGGAACTTGCTTCTTCAATTATAGCTTCTGCGGGACGTGGAGACCGGTCCTTCGGATGAGACCGTATAAACCGAGGCCCCGTGTCGCAGTAGGTGCTGGCACGAAAAAGATCCCTCACTGCTCAAAGGCCCTAAGTGCCGAGCATAGGACAAAATTTGTAGCCCTCCACCGGCAAGTGGTGGCGTCTCCATATGAGTGAAAAAATCTCGAGAGGGACGTTAAACAAAATACAATCAATCAATCAATCAATTATAGCTTTTAAGACTTTTTAAACATTGTTAATGTTATTTTTATAGAAAAATTTTATTTCCTGGAAGTTTTGTTTCAATTAGCCTCTACTGCCAAGGTTTGTCATTAAGTGAAAGTACATGTATAAGTAAAGTAATGGAAAGCTTGGATGTTGTGAGAGAGAATATAAAAAATATGTATACATTAAATGTACATCAAATTTAAACAACAATACATAAAAAATGCATTACATAACAGAAAATGTAGCTCATTGTTTTCACATCCGTGGTAATGATATTATGAAGTAAGTGTAAATAACGAGCAGAAAAGTATGACTTATCATATGACCTATCATACACATATTCTCACATTTTGAATATGATCCAGTATTTTCATATATCAACCTCGCGTTGTCAGACACGTTAGTATTGATTTAAGTGGTTAAATATTCATGCCTCCACAGTTCTATCTACTTGGTAACTTAACTGTTGGTGACTGAGTTTGTAGAAAGTCCTCAAGGAAGCGGGAAGTAAATAATTCTACAAGAGGGATTCAATATAGTTATAATTGAGGACATGCATACACATGCATCGTTTTGTGAGACAAGATTTGTGGTTAATCTGTTGAAGATTTTCTTTGCCAGCAGATTTATATGTTAACTTTCAGTTAAAAGTATATTCTAATTTTCAAATTTTCTGTTCTAAAAATATAGATTCTGGTACTTTGTTAAAGTTATAGAATGAAGGCAAATAATTCATTTTCCTGTTTTTTTATATTGCACATGTACGTTAATACTTAGGTTATATATTTCAGTTTCAGATATTTTGCTCGGAATATATATAATGTGTCATTTTCTAAAAAGAAGATGCGAAATTCTTTCAAAAAATGTGAAATATAGGATATAATCCCTTGATAGGGAAAACAATTATTGCAAATCATACATAGTGGTCATTTTTTTTTAACGACGAATGTTAGAAACACTGGAATTGTAAATATTTTTGGTTATTCTTTGGTTGTAAATCAGTATAGGACACAATTTGTAGCTCTGCAACTGCAAATTATGGCTTCTCCAATGAGTGAAAAATACTCGAGATGGACGTTAAACAACAATCAATCAATTATGCTACCCGAACTGTGGTTCAAATATTATTGCAAAAGTATAAACGTTTAAAATGTGTTGGCATGATTCGGATTTGTCAATGAAATTATATATATCGGAAATTCACGAACTGGTCTTAACTTTATTTTCAAAGGATAAAAACATTTCTCATACAAAACTGGAATGTGTGTATTCAGGGTAAAAAAACCAAAACAATATATATTGTATTGTAATTTCCTGAAATTTAATGAGTTATTTACCTTAGCAGAGATCGACGCCTTAAAATCCAAGGCAATTTGGAAAAATCTCGCTAAATAGCATGTAATATAGGTTTACATATATGAATCTCGAACCTCTCTTATCTTTGTGTAAATAGTCTGATAGCCAATTGGACAAAAAGAAATGTCTGTTTTGGTTTCCCTTCTACTTACCTGTAGTTTTCTGGTAAGCCAATCACTTATTATTGCAAAAAAACTTTAAAACAAGAGCCTTGTGCTTGTAAAGCTTCGTGACTATCATTTTGAAAACCGTTTTTTATACTCTGACGTATTGACCTAAATGAACGAAGGACATGTGACACAATTAGCACATTGTACAGTAATTAAAAGCAGCAGGTACTAACAGTAAAATTACACTTTATACTATTATGCATGTAAGATCTAGCACATAATGAAAAAGATCATCATAAATAAATGTTATATACAAAAAGGCAATGATATCTGTGTATGTAGACCTACATGTATAAGATTCAGCTGATACTCTAAATCATTTAAAGAAGAAATAAAATGTAGTTGGAATCAACCAGTGCTAAAATTTGCACAGGGAAACATCATGCTCAGTAAGTTAATGAACAATTCAACGCAGTTGAGTCCAAATATGCTTCTAGACACAAAACATGATAACAGATGACAGAACAACCGAATCAATAATAAATAAATTAGAATGAAGATTATTAAGCCATATTTTTGGATGAATTTCGATTACCTTATTTTAATTCTTAAAATTTAAAGTATGTAGGAATCTGGGGAGCCGCTGTGAATACAAATAATGAAGATTCTGGATCTACAACTGAGGCTGTGACCACGACACATCATGGAAACCACCTACACGTGACAAGAGAGCCATCTGTATTTGGTTCAGCATATTTCAAATATGACCATTATAGTGTATGTACAACTATCATCCAACTCTCAACTATTTCAAAGTATATTTTCTATTTTTTGAAGATGAATTTTCAATTGTAATTGTAAAAATACATAATGTTGTCTATTAATTAATTTTCATACTCAAGTTGAAAATATTTGCACGACAAACTGGTTGTTTAAAGGGGATGAAAAAGTAACTTGTAACCAGAGACATATAAGAGAGAGGGTCTCTTATATATCTCTGTTGTATCCAAATTTTAAAAAATGTATCCAGATCAAATACGTATAAATATAATAACATCAAATCCATCATAACAAAACTAGACCACAATTACATTTGTCAAAATCTGATGCCATTTATTACAAGTGGTCAGTTTTATTGACGAACGAATTATAATATTGACACTTAAATATGAATTAAAAATAATCACCGAAGACTTTTACAAGCAACGTATATTAACCTGAATAGAATGCATTGTGCATCTGTAATGCACTAATATATGTAATATATGTTCATGTACAATTTTTTGTTTTGTACATGTATATATTTTAGTGCATTTGAACATAGACATATACATGTAGTTTCATACTGAATAATTCCACAATGAAAATTTATTTTCAGCATCTAATGGCTTACAAAGATGAAACTTACACGTGTTACATTTTGGCGATTCACCCCGATGACCGACATCTTGCGCATACTGAGAGCGGGCTACTGTCTCTTGAGGTATAGTTTTTGCGAATATAAGTGTATAAAAAATAAAATGAAAAAGCCATTTTATGGAGAAATTCAAAAGACTGACTTGTTCGGAAAACGCTAAAATATATAATGCAAAATAATGTACTCTTATATTTTTAAGTGGCGTCAGCTTTTTTTCGATTGACTAATCGAAGAGAGAAAAGAAAGAAAATATATCAAGATAACGAACAGTATTCAAGCTCAAAGGTCCATTAAACAATACAAATATCAGGAGCAGAGCAAACACGGACCTTCAAAAGACCAGAGGTGTAATCAGGTGGCATGGTTGAGATAGCATCTTCTACAGACCGGTCAAACCTTACAGTGTGCTCCTTGTCATGATCGGGAATAACGAAAGAAATTGTCGTTGTGTGTATATTATGACCTAACAATTAGTATGAATAAACTCAGTCAGCACTTGACCTACTGATAGACTGTATTTGCTGACAAGGTCATTGTATCGAAATTGATCTTTCATCACAATATCAGCTGTTTTATGTTTTACGTTATACAGGTGAGGATGTTGACTTTGGCTATCAATGCTACAGAACCCTACTCCCATGACGACCTGGAGGCGAGAAGTAAACACCTGGCCAACATGTGTCCACAAAACTACGCACTCATCAGTCTGAATTGAATGAGATCACGTGTCACTGGATTTGGTTATTAATTCAATGAAACAATTACGATAGGTCATGTTATCTTGTTTAAATCTTCAATATTGGGGTTATGTTATCGATGGAGTTAGGGGCGGTTAGAAGATAAAGGAAAGTTTACTAAGATATCAATAAAATACAGAAGGTTGTTTATTAAGTAAATAATGTAACAAATACTAATAATTCATAGTTATCCTAACCTTAAACCTTTTTTCACAAATATATTTGGTTAAACATTTGTGGTAATCAAAGTTACCGTATTAATCTGTAAATAATGTGAAGATTATCCTTGGTAATAATGAAATATATGGAGGTAACGAACAGAATTCAAGCTTAAAAGTCAATTCAAACAATACAAATCAGGAGCAGAGCATACACGGACCTCTAATACACCAGAGGTGGGATCAGGTGCTGAATGAGGTGTGTGTAGCACAGAATTCAACATGGAGATCTGAAAACTGCAGGTGGATCAAATGTGTGTACGCATTAAACAAAAATTCAATTGACAATTCTGTATGAAAGTAATCATCTAACCATTTGTGTGAAAGACTTCAATCAATATTCAACTTTTCAGAAACATATTATATTAACAAACAAGGCCATTGTTTCGATCAGAGATATTTGAGTTTGTTGATATCTTTGTATTAGGAACTAATTTGTCAATAGTCTTTCTCGCTTTAAAATTTGTTCACACGTTGAATTTGCATTTGCATATTGAATCAACTGGAAGACTTAAACTTCATATGCGGGTGATAATGGTATTTTTATTTAAGAGCAAGGGTGCATCACAAAGCGGACTAACCATTTGTGTGAAAGACTGCATTTTCATCCAAACAAGTTTGTTTCGATCAGTGATATCCACGTTTGTGGAGGTATTTGCATATGCAAACGTCTGGATGATGCAGACATTACAAAGCGGACCATCTTCTCGCAAAATGTTATTCAAGTATCTATAAATCAATGCAGCACTGGGCATCGATCCCAACGCAAAACACGTCATTTCCGTGAAGCATCAAGGACAAACTAATACACACCCATTCCCTTCACCTTCCACACACAAGCGCGCTACTATATTCCCCCCCAGCTCCTATGCGAGGGGAAGATATGGGAAGCTGATGATGAAAAAAGTTTTAATTGATCATGTTAGTATTAATCTCATGTAGGTGTTTTTTTTCTAATAAAGTATCTTAAAATGAAACACATGTGCCAGACTATGTGCTGTCCTTATACAACTGAGATGAAAATTAACACAATGAGAATGGCTAATAATTGTTATCTTTCATATACCGCATAAAGAGTAAGAAGATGAGACTGTGAACGTTTTAATATGTAATTATGAGCACCTATTATTGTTAAATTATTTTGATTTACAGTATGACTGTGCAAATAAAAGTTCTGAATCACAAACATTGCGTTAATTTTTTGTTTATATAATTTTGATGTACTTTATGTAACAAAAATAACTGTATAATCATAAACGTTGTAATGCATGACATCATAACATCAATAAAAAGATTTACAATATCTAATTGTATTTTCAAATTTAAATTTTAATTAATTTTATATTTTGAATTTCAAATAGGTATTTTGTTAATTCTGAAAACAAACATATAAATGAATGACTACATTAAGACATTCATTTGCCACCAGCATCGCCATGTCTCTAAATCATCAGACAACACGGTGATCGTGACGAGTACCTGCCTGGAGATGACAGCTGGATTTTTTCATTATAAGAGGACAGCTGTTTATATTCTAAAGTACATAATTAGGATAGTATAGCCATGTATTACTTTAATAAACAGGATGGGCAGATTCCTTCAGGTCCAGTAAGAGACGACTTACGTATATAAATGTCACAGTAAAATGAAACACTGAAATCGTATCATTCCTTTGCTTTGCGCTACATGTACGTAGGCATAGGAGAATATAATATAAAATACATGTACATTGTATATTGATCTTTGATGTGTATGGGGTAATCAAAAGAAATAAAGCGGGTGTGATTATAGAGAATGCTTTGACCATGAAATCTGATCAAACAAAAGCCATTTCTTACTACATTGTATATTTCCAAGACAAAGAAGACCAAGGTATTGAAAAGTGCGGTATATTTAACAACTAATTTTCATTAGAGGTACTTCGATTGAAATCGTTTTCAGTTAAATTTTATTAAAACATTAATTCAAGCATGTTCTTGTTGTTAATTAATACCAACTCATATTCAATATTTATTTATATGTTGACTCAGGAATTTTGATAGAAGGTTGCTTCTTGCAACAACAAAAAATTCCAGCATCTGATGGCTTTCTTATAGTACATTACCGGCATATGATGTCTGACATCTAGTCTACGTAGCATTGTATATGTGTTTGAATCTTAAATGAAAGTTGAAATACAATGTTTTATTATACCATTGGAGTTATGTAGACACCATTCGACTGTAATGGAAAAAATAATAAAGAATTCTTTACTAAAGAAAAAAATTAAGAGGTCTTGTTGCTTTGGTTTACTGTAATGCAAGTTTCTGATACGTGCAAGACGTTTTGAATTGCATGTATTTCAATGTTGGCCACGTTTGGAATATCATTGTTGATGAAATATATGGAGATAACGAACAGTATTCAAGGTTAAGAGTCAATAGAACAAGACACAATAGGAGCAAAGCAAATACCGACCTCCAAAACATCAGAGGTGGGATCAAGTGTCATGGAGGGGTGAGCATCCCCTGCTGACCGTCAAACCCGCCGTGTGCTCTTTGTCATGATCGGGAAATAACGGAAAAATCTGTCGTCAGTTCAGTGTAAATAATAGACTAACAATTAGTATGAAAGATATTGCACAGTTTCTTAATCACTTCAGCTTTATGTAGTGTTTATGAATTATATGATTAAATATGCATACATGTAGCCAGACCTCTGATGACGTCTCAAAAGCACCATTAGATGTTGCTGTAAGAAGTGCTTCTTTGATGACAGTTTAACCTACTAATACAATTAATGAATCGGATTGTAAGGAGATAATTAACAAATCAGATTAATTGTGAAGAGATTATTTATGAATCTGATTACAGACTACTTTGTTAAAGAAGACTCTAACAATAGTATATATTTATTATTTTATGACGGAGTTTTTTTATCAAGAACTTACATTTGCCTAAACCCGATACCATGTCTGTCTGTCTCTTGACCTTTCTGTACTGAGCGCCTTTACATGAGGTCAGTGCCCATTAATCTACAGACCTTATATATGTATTAAGGTTACAGGATGTAAAAGATTTTTACAGATTGGAATTTTTCTATATTTAAAACTATGTATGCTGTTATAAAACTATTTGTAAGCAATGTACTGAATGTATTGTATGTTAATTATATAAATAAATGAAATATGAATAATAAAAAAAGGTTACGGGAAGACCTTTTATATCAATAAATATATCACTATATTAATAAATAATTTAAAAAGATATTGTTTCAAAACTTGACATAGGGTCTACACATTGAAAGTGATGCAGTAACAGAGGAATTATCCAGACAGAAAAGAGCGTTTTTCTGTGTATGCAGACAATGGTTACGTTGAGGAAAACAAATGTACTTTTTGAGATATTTATTCATACTCTACTATGTGTGGGGGTAAAACATTGTTATAACCATCAACTGATTCAGCTCGACATTCAGATACATGTGTACTGTATATTGACAACATTTTATCAATTAACAATATTTATTTCAAATTTCAGAATTTTAAAAGAAAAGTTTGAAATTAGAGAAAGGGATCACCCCTCTAATTCCCAAAATACTTATAGGACTATTTAGTGTGTTTATTGTACTTTTTCAATTTAATATTTCCATAGCCCCCCCCCCCCCCCCACCCTTTTACGACTGAAAAAAGTTCCTATGGACTTGGAATTAACAGATATTTAAAAATATTGTGTCCCTGTTGTCTTTGTTGAGTTAGAAAAATGAAAAGGAACGTAATCAATGATTGGTAAACTATATATACTCAATTCTGATAGGTGTTAAAAAAATTGTTTTTTTAAAACAATATTCATAATACATGTACAAGTGTGAGAATTGTACATTTAGCAGACGCAATAAAATGCTACTGAACTCTCCCCCTGTGCAAATAGGCACACTCCATCCGAACTACTATATATCTTAAGTCATTTATCTTTATTTGTTTACGTCGCATCAGGATTATCTATACAGCAATAAGCAATGTGTTAGCACTGCATAATTTTAGACAGAGTATTATAAGCCACATCAGCAAATAGTACAACTTCTTGATGTTGTATTATTTTGTGTTAATAATGTGTAAATAAAATAAGTGGAGAAAAAGAACAGTATTCAAGTTCAGAAGTCCATTAAAAAATTCAAAATAGGAGCAGAGAAAACATGGACCTCTAAAACATCAGCAATGGGATCAGGTGCCATGGAGGAGTGAGCATCCCCTGTCGAGAGTCACACCAGCCGTGAACTCCTTGTCATGATTGGGAAATAACGGGATAATCCGTCGACAATTCAGTGTGTAAATAATGGCCTAACAATTAGTATGAAAAACGTCAGTCAGCATTTGGTTTAACTATGATAGATTGTATTTGCTTACAAGGTTATAGTATCGACCATATGACGTACGAAATGATCACTTTGAACGAGACTGAGCACTGATATTATTTTTTCATCAACTTGTTTGTCAATAATTTACCTCGTTTTAGAAATTGTTCAGACGCAGAACAAGCTCTTGCATAAGTACATTTTAAATGAATAGCATGAATACATCTTACGTGAATACATTTTCATCAAACACATTCAGTTAATTTTATAGATTTGTATTATCAATTCGACCGAATTGACGGAGATTTGCTTTGCAAAAAAGTATTTATGAAATACATGTGATTCCTATTTTTCCATTTTTTAATGACCATGCATACCATTGTTTTCGTTTTACTTCCGAACTATAAACGCATAAAGGTAAACAGTTGATTTTAGAAGGAACTTGTTTTTTCTAGAAATATCTAATAGCTTGTAAGACTCTTTAAAATTTAGAACTTGATATTTCTACAGAAAAATTTTAATTTCTTGGAAGTTTTGTTTCAATTAACGTTTACTGCTAAGGTTTGCCATTAAAGAAGTACAAGTACATGTATAAGTAAAGTAATGAGAAGTTTGGATGTAATGAGGGAGAATATGTAAAAAAAATATATATATGTACACTTTAAAAATGCATCAAAATTAAACAATAACAATACATCAAAAATGCATCACATAACAGAAAATGTAGCTCATTGTTTTCACATCCGAGGTAATGATATTATGAAGTAAGTGTAAATAACGAGCAGAAAGGTTTGACTTAATGCTATCATACACATATTCCTGGTGATGACCGATTGTGTATTCTACACGGATATGCAGTAACACCAGAACTCAGCATGACATAACAAACATGTCCGTCTGTTTATACTCACTTAGTCGGAGTCTGGCAACAACAAACAATACACAGTCACTGGTCCGGTGGCTGTTTATGATAAATATGACCCCTTTGGTCGATTTTTAACTTTCTGACATTGTCGTAAAGTGACTAGAGATTGGATATACCTTCTATTTTTCACCGTACAATTTGCCAGGGTTGGTTTGGTATACTTTTTTCGTTGTTTCCGCACGGTTCGCCAGTGATTTTTGATTGTGAATGTTTGTGACGATGAAAATTAGTGATAAAAGAGTTCAAATCATTTAAATAACTCAAAGGAATAAACAAGGAAATCCTCTCTTCGCTTGCCTTAATCAATGCTTTGACCTCGAATTGGAAACAAAGAACCTCTTCGAAAAGACGCTATGTCTGATTTTATATTTTCAATTTGCAATTTTTTTCTATAAAATTATTTTGCAAAGAAGATATTGAAGATTGTGAGTTGTGAAATTCCAATGGAAATCATGATCTTTCCGAATCACGACCATACTGACCACGGCACAAATACCAACATATCTCAATCGAACTCGACTAGCTCGGAGACGATATTATTGGAATTTAACCATCACATACTCCTTGATAGACTCCCAAATACGATCATAATGATGTTGTTGATGTTTTTTGGTGTCATTGGTAACTCTATCGTTCTCTATGTTTACCTTTCAAGGCTATCCCATTGGAACGTGGAGCGGTACTTCATCCCTTTTCTTGCAATGGTGGATTTTGCCGCCTGTGTGATAGGACCTACCTTCTCGCTGTTAGAAAATTTGTATTCGGTCACATTTCCTTCAGCCATCGTCTGCAAGACAATGTGGTATGCGACATGCTTAACCAGTGGAATTTCAGTTTCCATTTTATTCATCGTGGCCATTAACCGATACCTTAAACTTTGCAGACCTCATAGCAGACAGATGACTATACACCACAAACGAATCTTCATGGCGGTCATGTTAAGTATTGTGTCTTTAATTCTAACACCTATGGTGTTCTTTGTGGAATTGCAATACATAAATTTTACGTATAAAAATGAGACCTTTATAGGAGTAACTTGTGCTCCCCACAATCCAGAACAGACTTTTGAGGAAACTATTTATTTTGGGTGCATGTTTGGCATCATCTCCGGCATTATAATTGTGACGGCTATTCTTTACGTAGCCGTTGGTAAGGTGGTATTCAAAAGGCTCCGAAAGACGAGAAAAGGTTCGGTCCCTCCAAGTCCGCGATTGGTACACCACCAAATAAATCTAGATCGCAGTAATTCCGTATTTTCAGTGCTTGCTGCAGTGACTTCAATTAAAAAAGATAACAGTAATGATGTTTCAAATGTTTCAAATTCAGGAAGAGATTTAGAATCTACAAGTCGATCCGTCGATCTGCTGCGTTCTAACCAAGGGACGTACAGACAATACAGACTGAACTTTTACATCATGTTTTTGACAATTTTCATCTGTAATACTGTGTCATTTGTGCCATCCATGGTGTATCTTTTCTTGAACGAAAGCGATGTCGAATTCTGGTTCACTCATGACCTACTTGTGTTAAACATCCATTTAACTGTACATAGAATGTTTGTGATCAACCACGTGCTGAACCCTTTTATATACGGGTATTTTGACCTCACTTTCAGGAAACACGTGATTGCAACTTTTCGGAAACTGGCTCGGAGGCCACTACCTGACAGACAATTAAGCACGAGTTAATGAAGTTCAATCTAATTATACCTTAATCGTCGTTTTATTATAACTAGTAAACTACTAGTATTTTCCTTTCACGACAATGATTTCGTTCCAGCTTTTAGGGTAGGAAGTGTGGTTGACAAAAGTTTCGTCCGTCCTCGCAAGATATAAGACTTGGTTATATGAACTCATTTCTATTTAACCCTAAAGCTTTATGCATTGTGTAGTTAGCAACATTTCTATATTGATTAAATAAATAATCATGGACTTCGAGAGTGCTTTTCTTTGATGTAATAACGATTGAATAGATGTTGAAATGTGGATGAATTTTGAATACAGTATTAATTGATTTCTTTCAGAGCGTTTAATATTCGTGTTATTGATGAAAAAGGGTACATAATTTATACATTTTCCCTGTTGTTTAACAATTACCAATATCCAATAATTTAATTTCATTATGTATGTCAGACGAGTGCAGATACATATATCTGTTTTATTTAGATTAAGAAAAAGGGTCATATTCGTATTTTTACTTCACAAACTCAATGCTGCTTTAAGAAAAAGATAGGAAAGTTAAAATCTATTTAAAATAAACTTAAAAAATAACTTACAAAATTTGATAGGACCTTTCTAAACTTCTGAGACAGGTTCCAAGTAGATAACAATCCTGATGTTTGATGAACAATTTCATATTAACAGTTTACATTTGATTTACAGGACATGTCATGTAGTGACATAGTAAAATAATCTGTATAAAAACTACAGGTGCTGTATACTTCAAGCTTGTCATAATAAAACATTGATGCAGCTTTTCTATAAGTATCAGAAAGGTTGCATCTGTTTAAACCAGGGTAAGCAAGGCTAATTATTACATGTATATATTTCCAATTCGTAGGAAAGTTTAGTATCTATGCAGCATTTGCATGATTTCTTTTTTGGACAACAAACAACAGCGGGACCCCCTTGATCGACTTGTATATGTTTATATAGTGTTTTTGACAGTTCGAATGACGCATGTTGTGCGTTCAGTTTCCAATTTATTTTTAACGTACAACTTTGAATGGTTGACATGAACCTATTACTCTGCAAGCAAGGATGCCGGAGGGTCTTATCAATAAGACGAAGGTAAGCACAAAATGGAATTTTTCGATATAGAGGATTTATATGTAAGCATTAATTACAGAAATCAATGAGGGTTTGATAAGATTGCCTTTTTAACAAGGTGAAATGTTCACCAGATATCGTCGGCTAGACTTCTCCGGAATTTGGTCAAATACGTAATTTAAAGTAAAGAATCGTCGCGCTGTTTTCATGCGATAACCACGTTCTAATTAGAAAAAAGCTTGTCAAAGAGCGGAAATATTTCATTTGAAGAGAAAAACAACAACAGATAGCAAGTTTACAACTGAAGGTAGCTTTTTTAGTGTTTCTATTTTCTGATATTTTTAAATAACTACGCAATTTCAGACTTTAAGAAGGTAATAAAAAATTGATTAATGATTTTAAATGCTTCGAATTATTTTTGAATGGTTAAAGTTTCGTGTAATTGTTGCAAATAAAATAATTCTAATAAAGTTCGAGTAATTCGAAGAGTACGAAGCAAAAGAAAAGAAAATGTAGATGTTAACATTAGATGTTGACATTGAAGTCTGTGAATAATTTTTCCTAATAATGACAAATTCAGTATCATTCATTTATAAACTTAGGATGTACTTCATACATTTTTTTAAATTAACATTTTTATACGAAGAAAAGGGTTTTCGGACTTTCCCCCCATTCATTTCGATGTCAAAATTTTTAAAGGATGGTATAAATTTTAATACAACTCTTAGTTATCCGTTTTGTCTGCTTTCTATATACATCATGTTCTTTATCTGTCCACTGGCACGGTGTCTATTATTAACCAGGAGATGGGAAATTAAGAATCTCAGTACTTTATCATAGTGCCAACTGAAGTTAGCCATATCATAATTATAAATGACCGCCGCATCTGTGTACAATTGTACAGTTATGTGCACCGCGAACAGCCACATCCGTATTTGATAAATGGAATTATATCAGACGATGACACTCACACATTCTCTTCGTATAAACTACTCGGGGTCAACCGATTCCTTGTTATGATGAGAGTCGGTTTCTCACATTTTGAATATGATCCAATATTTTCATATATCAACCTCGCGTTAACAGACACGTTAGTATTGATTTAAGTGGTTAAATATTCATGCCTCCACAGTTCTATCTACTTGGTAACTTAACTGTTGGTGACTGAGTCTGTGGAAAGTCCTCCAGGAAGAGGGAAGTAAATAATTCTACAAGAGGGATTAAATATAGTTATAATAGAGGACATGCAGGCATGTGCATCGCATCACATGACGCATGAAAAAGTAAGATTTGTGTGTGTGTGTGTGTTTTATTGAAGATTTTCTATGCCAGCAGATTTATATGTTAACTTTCACTTAAAAGTTTACTCTAATTTTCTATTCTAAAAATATAGATTCTAACGCTTTTCATAGATATAATATATATGATGGCAAATAATTCATCTTCCTGTTCTTATATTGTACTTTGTACCATTAATATTTAGGTTATATATTGCAGTTTCAGATATTTTGCTTGGAATGTATGTAATGTGTCATTTTCTAAAAAGAAGATAAGAAATTCTTCCCAAAAAATATGAAATATAGGATACAATACCTCGGTAGGGAAAAAAACTATTGCAAGTCATACATAAAGGGTTTTTTTAACGACGAGTGTTAGAAACAAAAATATTGATATCGATGTCTAGATTTGTAAATATTTTTTATCTTTTTTGGTTGTAAATGATGGGAAAATGGACGTTATATTTCTAGTTTAAAAATTATATCTAGAATGACACTTAAGTACTTCTAACAGTACTCAAGCCCTATTGAATAACTATCAAGCTATCTCTCTCTCTCTATCTATCTCTCCCTTTCTCTCTCTCTCTCTGTAGACTGTCAAGTCATTTTCCTAAATAAGCACCGTACTGATAATCAGGGTAAAAAATCAAATCATTTTAAAATCAACTTGACAGCTGCAGTTAATTCGTGAATTTGTCTGAATTTCTTCCTGATAAATCAAAGAAAGTTATACATTGAGCTGCAAAAAATTAATGCAAAGTTCTGATTCTGTGAAACGATTAAAGATAAAATTTTGATTGAGAAAATGAAATTTATCTTGAGTGAATGTCAAAACCGCAAAAAATAATAAAACCGTGACGACAATATTTGCATTTAAAACAGTCTCTAGTTATATATATATCATCACTTAAATTAACATGTTTGATTTCTCATTCATTTTGCGGAGGTTTTAACTCGGCAATCTGAAGATGGATAATTAAAATTGAATTTCTTCTAACGAGAAATTTTGGTGAGAGTTTTAATTACAGTTTCACATGCCTGACTATATACATCTGGAATATTTCACAGGCAATATAAAGTTTATTAATTCAGCAAGGATTGGGAGCCAGCCTTATTAGATTTCATATTTTGATCAATACTTTTAAACAATGGAAGTATCTATTTCATCAAGTTGTTTACAAGGACTTGATTCCTACGTAATTCTTCGTGAAACATCCAGCTTAAAAGTGCAGGCTGACAAACTCGACCAAGTGATAAATTTATTTTTCCGTCAGGTAAAAAGCTACTTAAGACGTCAACTGTTTGGGTTAGTCTCCAGTTTGCATGTATATTTCAATTATATAACACCTTCACCGTTCCTTGTCTAGATCACCTGTAATTTTTACCTGCGGCGGGTCACTAACCTGGGGGTCCACCTTTCACATCGGTCACCATTCAGTTAGTTGGCCCTCCGGAACTCGGACACCGTGAAAGTTAGGACAATGGTTTATATGGAATGTCTGCCTTTTCTGTCGTTTTAGGATGTAGTTGCTTTAGAGAGGGGAAAATGAAGGAAACGTCAGAAGGAACCAAAATGTCGATGCTGCAGACGAACGGGATAGGGGGAACACGTAGCACCATGAAGCGGTAAGTCTCATGTCGTCTGCTATATGTACTTTCATCTTTTGTGTTTGGAGGATTTTCGTTAGAATCAATATTTAATTACATTTCTTTACCATAAATAGACACTAAATGGCAATTATTATACAATTTTCAAAGTGCTATCTGCATGAGGGGATGAGAAATATTTCTTTCGCTTGCGTGTCTCTCTCAAAAGCATTCATTGAAAAAGCAGCGCTGACTTTTGGCAAGTAGATTAAGAAGTACCATAATGACCTCTTAACAAAGTTAAAAGCTTTAATTTACTAGTTTCGTTTATCATCATGTAAACATACGATTCTTTTGTCCTATGATCTATTGATGTCGGGAAACACAGGCAAACATATTTAGGGTTACACTAGTTTTGACCCAGTTGTTGTCTTGAACCCTCGGGGGGAAACACGAAATCAGTGTCATGTTCAGAGATTATTTTTAACTTGCTTTTTTAATTTTAGAAATCGGCTCTTAAGATGAAATACAATTCTTTGTTGCGGACATGATATGAGTTCTGATCAAAAGGAAGTTTTAGTATATTTGTAACATCTTGGTAAAAAATTGCGATCTTTGTTTTTATTATGTCTTAAGATTACATGGATTAGCCATAGTAGAAACACAAAAGAATGCATCCTACTATTTATAAAAGAGCTTTCCGAGGAGAAAGAGAAAAATCCTTTGAAAGAAAATAGAAAAATAAAGTAAATGGACTTATGGTAGAAAAACATACATATAAAACTTGGTATAATGAAATGTAAATCTATTTGCACTGCACCATTCAGAGTAGGGGCCTCAAACCTGATAAACGCTATAATTTGCGGTTTGTATCACCGTTTTACAAATACATTCATTATGAAGAACATCAGATGAATCAACATGTTTCAGAACATCAGCATTTTAAATTAATGTCCAATATTTCTTAAAGAGTGGACTTATGTCAGACAGTGACGTGCTCATTTTGAATCACAGAACACAGCCAGAGATATGTTGTAAATAGCAATAACTGAGTGATCAAAGGTTGTTAGTGTAATGTACAGTGTTTTTCTTTGATCAGCTGGATAAGTTTAAATACCTTCATTACTTGTCAGCGAAACCCAAAAATTTAAAAATATCAGATACATTGTATCTTTAAGAAATCTCATAATAAACTTAAACTTAAATTTTTACACGAAAGTGTTAATTTTATCTTGTATCATATTACAGTTTAACTTCGTTATCTCGAACTGAATAAAAATTATGAAAAAATTTCGAGATATCCGAGAAATCGGGATATCAAGGTTAAGTGATAAAAAAAGGGAATATGGACTCCCATCTTACTTTGATATATGCATATCTCAATATCAGTGTTCGAAAAATCGAAGTTCTAACAATAAGTATTAATAAATCATTCATAGTTTTTGATCCATTGTATAATATGGTCAGTGTCTTATTACATGCTCGGACAATGTGAGATAATTGATTTTTCATAATTCTATTTCACGCTGTAACGTGCATAAAAGGGGCACCTGTTATGTTAATCAATACATTAATTTAAAGGAGTCAGTTACAAACAGTAAGTTTTATATTCCATACGATGTGAAAGTCTAGAGGAAAGCTTTGCTTCAATCAATTAACACTGAAGATTAATGGCTAAATATTATAAGATATGAATTCAACAAACATCCGATCACTATTACGGACACCCTGTACTATATACCTCGATAAAGTTATTAAATAGATTTTATAAGTATACATCTGGATTTCTTCATAAGATTAATTATTGTCATTTAGTCTTCTTGTTTTATGATTCAGTCCATTGTTGATACATGTACTAGTCAGTCCAGTAACCATCAATCCATTGGCATTGGTTCATTTTAAAAATGCATGTTTTAAGTTTTAAATGTACTGGATCTAGAACAAATAAATGCCAGAGCAAATAACATTATCAATATAGTACCAATTCTCTCCTTACTAATAATACCAGGACTATAGAAATGTCAAACTTGTAAATGATTCTAATTTCAATGGTCAATATTGTATTGGTTGAGCCGATATAATGAATATTCACGTTCCTTATGTAAAGACAATACACTATTATAATCATTATGTTCTTGGCCTATTAAAAGCACAACATTAAAGACATTGTGCGACGAACAAATCGACGTGGGTGTTATTTAAAACAAGGAAGTCGGGGGAAAAAAAAATAAAACATACACATATAAGTCGGAACATTTCCCGCGACAATGAAATTAAAGGTAGATAAAATGGTAGACATATTTATGTCACAATATACCTCATAAATCTCTTTAAATCTGCCTCAGTCAATTGACATTTTGATAATAAGCCTACATACAATCTTTCATTGTTGCATACTTTCATACCACATATTTTAAATTCGTGGTTTCCGGTTACGAAGAATTGCGAATGTTTCACTTCCGTTCCCGACTTGAATTGCACTTGAATACCTCATCCTGGATGTATTATCTATGATCTGCAGTGTTTGTAAATATGATCTTTGTTCCCACACAGTAGATATTAATCACAGTACAGTGATCCGGTCTGATTTGTAACGTATCTGTATGTTACTGTGAGATTATAACTAAAAAAGTAGGTGTAAGTAGGTTTTCTAGAAAAAGGTCCTGAAATTTTACATTTTCTTATTAACGCATTAAAATAGATCTTTATGAAAGATGTATGTTAATTTTGTTTCACTTAAAAAAAAAGAATTTATTAGATTTACAGTTCGATCAGAAGAGGTGTTAAGATGTTGGTTTGCTTTTTGCTATTTTATTGTAGATTTTAATAATTTTTTACTTGGATATTGGTTGACTTTATACGTACAAATGTGAAGTTTGCCATTATTTGTAGGCACAGTCTTGCGGACATCGCCGAGGCTTGGAAAGGTTTGTCGCTGTCCAGTGGTAGAAGGGGTTCTATGACGTCATGCCGGATGTCGGTCGGTAACGCTTTGGACTGCGCAGCGCGCCATGAATTCTTAGAAAGGTAAAAGTCAAGTTTAAAGTCGTAAATAATCAAAAAATACTTAAAATTTTATCTGCGGGAGTTGATTTAATTCATATGTTTAAAGAAAAATTATCAGTTGATATGTTAAGAATTCTTCGTCATGAATCAGATACTAGTATACCTATAGGTGAAAAGTGAAGTGATTATTTAGACAAGCACTGTATCTGATATGCTCACGCCTGGATTAGAGCAAAATTTTATGTACCAGCTAGATCGGGGAGTTAAGTTCTAGTAGCTATACACAGTAAACAAATAACGGATAACTCGTGAATGAAACATTGTTGACAAGGATAAATTTTAATCTGTTCACAAAGTTCAAAATATAGACAATTAAATTACTGCCTGAAGATATATCAATAGGTGTTTGAAAGAGTGTATTTTGATATTTTGGTTTACTATTACATATAATTTAAATATGAAGTCCATGGACTTTTAAGCTTACCCACTTGATAATAATCTTAAATATAATTCTGTGATGCTATATGCCGTAAGCTTATGATTAACGAAGGTGTTTTAAAAAGATATCATTTTCAAGAACGTTTCCGCATAAAATCTGCTACGTTTCAGCAAAACAAATGTATAGCCTATCATTGATCATAAAACACTCTGTTTTTAAATTTTTCCTGTGGTGTAGAGTGCCAAAGACAAATCTGAGATTCTGTGTATTAATACACATAGAAAATATAAAATATGCAAAACACAAAAGTTGCCTGGAATGAATTGACTGTTGGGTACATGTGTGTGATCATGTTTTTGTCTCTTTATAAAAATATGTTAAGCTGGTGATGCAGCTATAAAGAATCACCGATCAACAGGGAATGCTCACTCCTCCATGGCACCTGATACCACCTCTGATGTTTTGGTGGTCCGTGTTTGCTTTGCTTCTATTTTGTATTGTTTTAAGGACTTTTGATCATGAATACTGTGCGTTATCTCAATATGTTTCATTGTTACCTATTTAGTATCTCAAAATACCGTTAAAATCGGCGATATCATGCATTGTCACAATTGTGTTTCTTTCATACCTACAATTTTAAGCAGTGCTACAAAGTGTTTTTTCTCAGTGTGTGATATTTATTAGCGGATTGTGTTGTCTAATTTTATTTATTCATTCATGAATAAAATTAAGATTATATACAGATGCGATATTTAATCATAAATATTGGTTTATTTTATTCATAAACATAATCCTGTATATAAAAATTATGGACTGGGTGCATTTAGTTAAATTATTTGCGAATATAAAATTTTATAGATTTTTCAAGGAATCGTTTAAAAAATTGCTGGAATCGTAGGTTTTATATTGCTGAAAGGTATTTAAGCAGTACCTTGTACTTGTAGATAAAGAAATCCACGCTTAATATGCATAATCTATATATGTCAGAAAATATCATCATCGCATCTACCTATGTGTCTGGTTAACAATGTTCTTTTTATTTGCAGCATTCAGATAGCAATTATACAGTTGTTTCAAAAGAAACCTCTACAAGAATGTGAACTGGTACAGATACAAGACAATGTCAGGTAACCTTCTCTCTCTCTCTCTCTCTCTCTCTCTCTCTCTGTTGACTAGATACAGATGTCTAGGCTGTTCAGAGCAATTTTAAAGAAAGAATATCTTTGAAATCAATATCAATGTCAAAAGTTGTCAATTTTAAGTTTTCATCTGAGCCAAGACACTGAAGTGACTTTTTCTGTTCAAAAAGTTTGTTCCATCACAAACCACAGGTATGAAGGGGCTCCAACAGGTTGTAAAAGTTTAACATAAAAAATATACAAAAGATATTTCCCCTTGGTATATCTGAAATTTCCTTTCTCAGGACATGACCATTTCCATCCCTTCATTTTGCATAATGCTTTAATCCAAGCCAATTCTGAAATCATTTAGTGGATTTGCTAGATAGAGGTTAATCCAAAATTTAAAATATTCTAAATTAAAATGGATTTTCAAAAACAAAAAAAAATGAGTAGAGATACAAAAAAAATCATCAATTTTATATAGCATTGTTTGATTGAAAAAATATGGGGGTAACGAACAGTATTCAAACTCAAAGTCCATTAAATAAAACAAATGAGAAGAAAAACAAACACGGACCTCTAAAACATCAGAGGTGCATTGGATCAGGTGCCATGGAGGAGTGAACATCCCTGAGAGAAATATTTCATTTGAAATAACTATTTTGTCTTTTACTATCATTTAATTTTACTAAAAAAAGGAATATCTTTTGCAGTTCATTTAAAAACGTTTAGTTGAAGACATCTGTTGCTGATACATTTAATCAGTAATATCTGTGTTTAAAAGTGTATTTTGTTTTCAAATTTATTGTCCTGCTTATTTTCTTTTGCGCGAGTTTTGAGATATTCATGGTTAATTATACATATTTAAAATATTTAAGTGTGAAATAAACGAGTTATTCATTACGTGATACAAACTTATTCCTGACTGAACCAAGTGCAAATTAATTTAATAAACTAATTTTTGTAACAGCACAATTTGTTGATTTACTTTTCATTGTCATTAACGAATCTGTAATGGGCAAAAATTTCATCTATTTAATACCTGTAATTAAAGCCGAAAAAGCCACACTTCACAACATTTACATATGTAACTTTATTTAGGCATTATTTATGTAAATAAAACCGCCGTGTCAAGTGAAGTAATATTCTCATCTTATTAATATCTATGTCAAGGTATATTTGTACCATTTTTGTTTTTACCTACGTGATAGAAAGCTCCTGTCAAATAAAGTTGTAACTATATTTATCACAAGCTGATAATTTTTTAGTGTTAAATCGTGATTAAAAATATAATTTTAATTTACTATTTTCGGTAAGATTCAATGTCTGTCACATTTAACAAAAAAAAAAATAGATATTTAAGGAATGAAGCTTATTTCAACTTATGTTATCCGATATAACATAACTTGGGGCAGTTTACGCTTTATAAAGCGCGAAGCGGTTTATAAATAAGCGTATACTGCCCCAAGTTTTGTTATATCGGATAACATAAGTTGAAATAAGCTTCATTTCTTATAATTTAATTTCAATGTAGACAATGAGACAATATTTCCTCCAGAAAAAGGCTTCAAAGTGAGCATTATTTTAAAAGTTACGTCAAGCGGAGTGATACGTTTTTGACGTAACTCATTGTGACGTAGGCAAGTTATGTTATACGAAATGGAAAAAAAACGTTTAACCAATCAAATGACGCGTTACAACTGAAATTAAATTATTGAAGTTTAAAACATTAGATAATTTTTTTTATTCTAAATTTTGTCAGAGTTTTTCATCGTTTATCATAAATAATTTTAAAACTTTCGAAGAACAATGATAGATTTAAAAATACACTTGTCAAAGCATCTTAAAGACATCACTTTCAGAGTCTGTTCATTTTACATTAATATTTAATCTCAACATAAAAGTTGTCTCAAACTATGATATTTTAACGATGCTGAATTAAATGAATTTACAGATTTTATTTTTCGAACATGTCATTTTCTTTGAAAAATAATATTCAATCGGCCATTTTCATTTGAAAATAATTTTACGTACATGTATCCTTTTAAAGATTTTTTAACTAGTTGTAGAATCTATCCAATCATTTGTATCATAATTATTGTCCTTTTTTTTTTAAAGGAATTTGGTGGATTCCGAGGCAGGTCCCCTTATCTACGATTTCTTCAAGGTAAATCTCAACAGGAAATATAAGAATATGATTAACGTATCTTTACCAATCAACTAATTTTCCTCTGTCCTCCATGCTTGTCAAGAATTGCAGATATTAATGCGCGCTTCCGTTTTTGTGATGAATAATGCAAGACTTGATCCTTCGCTGTATCTGATTTGTGTTTCTGTGTCTGTATTGGAAACCAGTTCCTTAATTATCAAAACGGAATAGGACACAAATCGTTGTCATCCGTCTATAACGCGATGCATTCTATCAATATGTCCTATTTTGTATATTTTCAAGAATATCGTCGTGCCCTTGAACCAAAAAAATGATTAGGGTTGAGTGGGCTATGAGTTTACTTTTTGTGTAGATTGTCCCTTAAAGTCGTAACTAAGTATATTATTTTACATTTTAATGACTAAAAATTGATCGTTGCCTTAAGGTTTTAGTTTTTTATGAATACCGTACATTTACTACCAAGTTTCCTGTCGCAGCATACATAAGATTATTAAACAAATGCTCTAGGTCAATATTTTATATACTAAGTAGTTGATTTGATTTTTTGCAGGATAAATTATTGAAGAAAGGAATGGTGATACTACGTGAATTTATGAAGAATGATTTAGGTACGTGTATATAAAGATTTTAACTTATTAAAATCATATCAAAATAATATGTAATCTTGACGTGAATTTGGTAAATACCTTCTTAAATTGATATATTATTTTTAAAAAGTTTCTAACAGGGTCTTTTTACGTTTTAAAAATACTTTATGCAGGTTTGGTACTTCTGAAGAAAATGAGTGACCAGTGGAACTATTTTTATACACAGGTTCTTCCCGTACTACAGGCTATGCTGTATCCGTTACCGGTATGTTAGACAGGATGACGATACCTGTCTCCAGATAATTATAAAGGATCTAAGGTCATGTCATTCCTGTTCCGTTAATTGAATTATTGTTAACTTTTGTTGACTTAAAACGTTTCAAGTTCATGACCCTTGTCCCTTTATTTTAACAGTTCCAAAATATGCCGATTCTTGTCCGTTAATTACAAAGGTAACAGGCCGAAGTCAATCCTTGTCCGTCAATTATCCATTAATTTATAAGGGTAACAGGCTCAAATAAATCCTTGTCCGTCATCTATAAAGGTAGTTCACGCTAAAGTAAATCCTTGTTCGTCAATGGTATAAAGGTAACAGGCTCAAGTAAATTCTTATACATTAATTATAAAGGTAATAGGCTCGAGTAAATCCTTGTAGATTAATTATAAAGGTAACAGGCTCGAGTAAATCCTTGTACATTAATTATAAAGGTAACAGGCTCGAGTAAATCCTTGTCCATTAATCATAAAGGTAACAGGCTCGAGTAAATGCATGTACATAATTATAAATGTAGCAGGCTCGAGTAAATCCTTGTCCATTAATTATAAAGGTAACAGGGTCAAGTAAATCCTTGTCCGTCAAGGTTCCAAGTCCATGTTCTTTTCCATTTAATATTAAGGTTCCAAGCCCACATAGATATTTGTGTCCTTTTATTATAAAGGTTTCAAGCCCACATAGATATTAGTGTCCTTTTATTATAAAGGTTTCAAGCCCACATAGATATTTGTGTCCTTTTATTATAAAGGTTTCAAGCCCACATAGATATTAGTGTCCTTTTATTATAAAGGTTTCAAGCCCACATAGACATTTGTGTCCTTTTATTATAAAGGTTCCAAGCCCATATAGATTTGTGTCCGTGTATTATAAAGGTCTCGAGCCCATGCAGATATGTGTCCGTTTATTATAAAGGTTCCAAGCCCATGTCCTCGTCCAAAAATTTTCAGATCTATGTACTTCCTAGTAAGCAAGTTGTAAACGTTTCAAGCTTAAGACTTCCTTTGTCCGTTATCTATAACAATTCAACGTCCATGATATTCTTTGGTCATAAATTATAAAGTACCTCTTTTCTTTGTCCAATAATTGTAGAGATTCCGAACACATTTTTTTTTTTCGTTTGATAAATATAAAGATTTCAAAGCTCAAGACATTCTTTTCTGTTACATGTATTTATATAGATTCCGAGCCCATTTCGTTCATTTTTTATTGAATATAAAGATTCCAGACCCGTGTCCTTTAGTTTGTTTATTATTTTTTTCTTAGCCCATGTAGTTTTTCCTTGTCATCTAATTATAAAGGTATAAAACTATTTTTCCAGTTCTTTGTTTTTGGCGCCCATGTAAAATATAAAGGTTCCAAGCCCATATCAGTTTTTGTGGTGTGTAAATTATAATAGTACCAAGCTAACGTTGATTCTCCTCCATTAATTAAAACGTTTTTTCCAAGCCCATATTGTATCTTGTCCGTTGATAACAAAGACACCAGACTTATGTCGCTCCTTTTCCCGCTAGTTATAATGGTTCCAAGTCTATGTCAATCCTAGTGCGTTAATTATAAAGGTTCCAAGCCCATGTCGTTTGTTGATTGTTAATTATGAAAGTTTCCAAACTCAAGTTGTTTCTCGCCCGTTAATTGTAAAGGTACTAAGCTCATGTCGATCTTTGTCCGTCAATATAAAGATCCTAGTCCATGTGATTTCTTGTTATTAATTTTAAAGGTTCCAAGCCCATAAAGTTCATTCTCCGTTGATTATAAAAAATCGAGTTCACCCTGTTCTGCGGTAAATTATTGTTTCTGTCCGTTATCTTTGATGATTACTTTTACTTGTTTTCCTCAGAATTATATCTTTATAGATTTATGGTTTGTTAATTATTTTACAGAACAAAGACGTGTCGATACGAAAGGTCTCAATGTTGGAATTCAGAGACGTGGTAGTTCTGAAAGTAGGAATGGAAGGTGAGAAATTCAACATTACATTGCATCTATTTTTTAAATTCATATTCAAAGAAAATTCTCTTCATATACATGTAGTTAGGTGATTTAGATTACAAAATTTTCACTTTTCTTTTTCTAGATACCCTGAATTCAGTAGCTAGAGATGATGTTCCCTCACAAATAATACAGATGCTTTTGGTTCTACAGGTGAAATTATTTTCTTATATGTATTTAAATAATTTCCCTCCATTTCGTAAAACGTAGAACTGTAAAGTCTTATATTAAATTCCCAGACATAGAAGGGATAGACAAAGAGATGAACAATTAAAGATGAGATATATAAATACTGTATTTATGATTTTTAAAAAAGTGTTTCTCAGATTAACCTCTCATTTTGGCTTTTAACTAGATAGTCTTCACTTTTAGGTAACCTTGACACCCCCCATGAAAAAAATATCGAAATCGAGCCGATTTTATTTTTCGTTTTAATTCACATTGGACCATTTACATTTCTTTTAATTCCTTTTTCACAATAAATTCTGGTACTTGTAATATTTGGTTTCAGGTGCATAATGCATGTTAGTAAAGTAAAAACGACAATTATGATTATTACAAACAAGTAAATATGGATAAATAGCACAAAGAGCTAAGAAAATGTTGAAACTCTGCCGCATTATGTTTCATATTTGACCCATGGAGTAAATCCCACTGTTTGGGGAAAAAATCTCAACTAGTGTGGCGGCAAATTTTTATTCCATTTTTCCCCAGTTGGATTGATCTGTACTTCAGTAGGAGCAGTTTTAGGATAATAGCCTAATTTAGGAAGGGAAATGAAGAAATTAACGAGATATCGATTGAATGTCCCTTTTTGTAAATTTCTCATGTGAAAGGTTCTAGAAGATCACAACCGATCATTTGCAAGTTACTATTTATAAACGAATTACATCATAGCACCAATTGCTCGTAACATATATATTGTCTGCTGTGGTCATATCATCAAGTACAGAATGAAAGACTTGCCAAAACCAATACATAAATGTATTATTGATAACAGTATATCAATTCTGGAGAAGAATTCTTTAACGTTTTGGCTGAATTTAGTGGCAAAATACACCATGAGATATTGAAAAAAATAAAATTCATGAACAACAGGAGAGTTGTAAAGCAGAATGGCTTACGAACGATGAAACTATTTTAGGAATTACTGATCTACGAACTATTACGTGCTGCAATGGCAGTTTTAATTAAAAATGATCAATTAAAATTCATGACTAAGAGGTTGATCCGCATTTCTTAAAATATAATTGAGATTTGATTATTTTCCTTACATAATATGAATACCTATAACGGTGAACTTAAATGAAATGGCATGGTTACTTTTAAATTCAGTGACATTCTGAAAACTGCAATTACGATTGTTATTTATTAAGTTGAGGATCGTTCTTCTCTTAATGAAATCCACGACTCTAGTGAGCGGCTTTTGAAAGGCTGATTGTATTATTTTATTTAAATTAAACATGCCTGAAACATAATTATCGTACTTAGTTTGTCTGATTTTATCTTGATTGAAATTTTGATCTAAGTTTATAAATTTGTGTAAAAAATTTATTGTTTTGAAGGGTATACACGATGGATTCCCGCCAAGTGAAAACTACGCGCGACTGGAACGACTGGCTGCGAAAGTAATTAATCCGTACTTGGGATTCTTCGGTTTCTATGAAGGATCATCCAAACCTACAATAGAATCATCTCTTAAACCGACAACAAAAATCAAACATTCAGGTAACTTTCGGTTCACTTAGATATTTAATAAAATCCGTCAATGCAAGCAAGAAAGCTTCTTTTCAAAAGCAGGATTTAATTTAAAAAAATAAATTAAAAATTTACATAATTAACCATGATTTTTTCCTTTTATTTTTAAAAATACTTTCAAGTTTTTGAATTCCATATTACAGAAAAAACAGAAGCTTATGAACTCGACATCAAGACAAACCGTCCCAAACTTACAAATCCTCTATCCATAAAATCATTGCATCACCGTCATGGAAATGGACATATATTTAGCCACATACTTGAACCGGTGGTAGAACAAGACACTATACGGCGCCATAGTATAGACACGTCTCCACGACTTTCGAGTCTTCGTTCCTGACACAGACACCATGTAGCTGTACAGGCCTGTCTCCACAAATTTTCAGTGTTCACTCTTCATTATGTGCCCTAAAGTTTAGGAATTTTTTTATAGTCAGTGTTATAAACCACATGCGAACGTTTTTAAACGATTGCTACACTGCCAACCATACATTCCAATACCCGAGGAAAACCTTAAGACTTCATGAAGTTATGGAGGATATTTGACACAAAAGAAACAACGTTGTGATGAGAATGTGCTTTTTATTGGATACGTTTATAGAAGAAAGGAAGACTTTTTTAAAGAGTGAGAGTGATGACTGGTTATACCTTCTCTCTTTCATTTAATGGATAAAATGCTGGAAGTTTTTATTGGTGATTTCAGGATATCGTCCCAGTTGTTTGGAGCACACAATAAACCTATGTCTTTCACATAAACTTCATTTGTTTTCATTCAACTTCATTATTTCAAATGATTTTTATTTTATTTTCCAGTGAAATTTTTTATGCTGTTGAGAAGATTTAATGATAAATGTTATAACTTCAAGTTTTCTATTGTGTACTTCCTTTACTTGTGAGCAATAGACCCGTATCACCTGCATATGGTGGCTATGTCTACATTTTACATTTCAGTTAAGTTTATTTGATACACAAGAACATGCTCTACTTCCGAACGATTTCTCAAATAAAACAAGTAATTTTCAAACAAGTTTATGAATTAAAAACATCAACAGTCTCTTTTATTAAAGTCATATCTTGGGAAGTAAAATGGTCATTACAATATCTTGTTAGAAAGTACAGTATATCATTAAGTCGAAAGTGGACTGATATATTTTAAGCTAATTTTTAGGCCTTTATTTACATACTGCTTTGTCGACGGATTTTCCCGTTTTCTCGATAATGACAAGAACGAAAAACAGCCATTGTGATCGGTGGCCAGGGGATGCTTCTCCAAGGTACCGGATCCCACCTCTGATTTTTAAAGGTCAAGGTCTGCATTGCTTTGCATTTGTATTGCTTAAATGGACTTCTTGGTCTCGAATACGGTTCTTTATCTCCATATTTTCATCGCTACTATGTGAAGGAGAATGAAGTCAATGATATTTTCAATCCCACTGGAACAAATGAACTTATTTTCTGGGTTAAAATTCAATATAAGAAGGATACGATTCATATAACACGACAGATTGAGAAATAAAAATCAACGATATCTACAAGCACTTTGAAATTTTACATTTGGGACAAATGTAAAATTTCAAACGTGTAACTGTTCAACAATTCACTTGTTTTTCTTTTTACTTTTAATGAAAAAAACACCAAATTTTTTTTATTGTTAAAAATACAATATAATCTTTAAAATCATATAAAAAGGTTGACCCCTTTTTCAAAAAAAGTGTTTTTACAAAATCTCATCTAACGTGCATGTTGCAACTGTTTACGTCTGCCTTGTAACTGTTTAACTAATTCGTACTTGTTTTTCTTCTTACTTTTAATGAAAATAACACCAAATATATCAAAATTTTATTGTTAAAAATACCATTATATAATCTTTGAAATCATATATAAAATGAGGTCATAGTTTTAGTATACCTGCAATCACACAAATACATCATATGTTACATACGAGTACATCCATTGGAACAAAGTTCAACAGAATTTTATGCCTATGTTTATTCCACACTGAAATATCGCTGAAAATCCTGGAATATTAATTCTCTATCTTCTTTGATATCACTATAATTTACAATTCGAGTGGAAAAGTTTTAATATATTAAGAACAATATATGAATTAGCAATGAATTTGCAATAGATATAAAGCAATGGGGGACAAAATTATATTGGAATTCAAGCAAAATGAAACAACTATAAAGCTTTAAACGTTTCTGAGTGATTGGCGCATGATAGGAAAGAATGTGTTATATTCAAGTACATGACTGTCTGGCAAACATAATTGCATTCGGATTTCAAACCACTGGAAAATACAACTTTCCAAAAAAGAGGAAGTTAGCTTAATTACGATATATCTGTGTATATCTTGCTACTCTCCGTATATCAATACATTTTACGCAATTTAAAAAAAAAAAACTTAAACATATAAAAATGAAAAAAAAAACAATACATTTAAAAAAAATCTTGGATTAATAAAGTACAAAATGCAAGAATTTATCAGTCATTTCCGCAAAGCATATTTCGGGGAACACATCAAATGTTTTTCAACAATGGGATTATGAATTATTAATGATTTCCAAAACATTATACTGTAAATTCTTTTAACATTGTTTTTCCCATTTCTTATCTGCCTGAGCTTGAGTGTCTTATTCTATGATAGATAACCAGGCCTCCAATTCGCTATAGTGTTTGCCTACCCAGTTAACGTTAAGGTCAACATCTTGAAGTGCATTGTCAAAGAATGGAAGATATGGACTGTCTGCTTGTAATGTTCCTCTCAAACTGGCAAGCTTATTAAAAAAAATAGATATTGTTGAAAAAAAGTAATAATGAAAATGTCAAAAATACCAGGGTTGCTTATATAGTATACAATAGATAACTGAATGACTTTTTTCGTAAAGATGAAATGAAAGTTACCTCATCCCTCTGAAACTGAGTGGTCAGCCGAGAGGCAAGCCCCCTTAATATTCTGTTGATGTTTCCTCCGCTCATCCTATATCTGGCCAATTACAAATACATGTATATATAAGTTAGATATATCTGACCAAACCCTATACTGTTAGATTATCTGACCAAACACTATATTGTTAGCTATATCTGGTCAATTACTAATGTTTATATGCAAGGTATATCTAACCAAAAGTACAAAACTTTGTAGCACAATTGTATATATCACCTTATGTGTAAAGTTACCATTATGAAATGGGATATTTGTGCCAAATTTATCAGTTACATTATATATATTTTCTAGCTAGAAATTTAAGATTGAAATACACCTACTCTGCAGTTATTTGATTCCAGTTCCTTTGGAGATAATTCCAGGCAAGATCTCTTCCCAGGGGGTTGTATATCACAGCCAAAATAGCATTTCGAGCATCTTGTCGGCGGATCTTAGTATCGTCAAAGGCGTAAGACATATATCTGTTAGAAAACAAAATTTTCAAACATTACCTTTTTCTCATTATACATGTACATTACAATGGTTTTGATTCTGAAAAACTCTTCACAAGATCGATAGTAACTAATACATAACTGTGGCGTCGGAACAAGGTTTATCTCACGATGAAAAACATTTTGACAAAAACACAGACCAAAAATTTCTCACATTGCAAATTCAAATCTTGATAAAAACATGGCTCAACATAAAGTATTATATTATGTTAACTTTTTTCTAATTAAAGAAAATCAAGCCTGACAGGCGATCAGTGGCATTCAATCTAGCATTTAACTGTAACAGAAATTGGCTCGAAAAATTCAATATCTGTATAATATCAAACCGTGAGAAGATTAAAGTTTTACTCTAATCACCCACCAATAAAATTTACTTTTACAATCAAAAGGTTCCTATGTGTGTGTATTCATAAAGCATAATACATGTACATGTAGTACATAAACATACCGTTCTAGTACCCAGTGTTCTCTAGAACAACCCAGAGCACTGATGATGATGGCTTGGTCGGAAGGCGTCTGTGATGCCATACGTGCAAACAGTCTGTCCCACGTGTCAGAACGAGATTCTCGGATCCCAGTACACATCACACGAGATTTTACGTCAGGTGGGATTCTACAACAGTTACCGATTTTTTCTCTTTAATGTCAGTATTCCATATATCCCAAAGTAATTATATCATTTTTTTTTGTATGATTATGATTTAAAACAATATATCATATACCAGTAATTAAAATAAACAGTTCAGACCCCAACATATGTTATGATTTTAAAATTTAATAAATAATATTTCCAAGTTCTCGCAATCTTTTCATTGGAAAAGTTAAATAATGCACATGTGTATTTTCAAAATTAGCAAACAATTTTTATCCAAGTTAAGCATATTTCTTTACTTCAAACTGGTTTAATATAAATAAAACAATACGAATGCCTAGTTTTTTTCTTACAACTAGAGATGTCGTCATCTAAACTTCAGCTACGGGTAAGTACGTTTACAAATGCTTTATTCCTATTTCAAAGATTTGATTTGTACATCTATTATACATACAATTGTGTTTCATCGTCCAGCCAGTTGTTGAATAATGTTACTGCTTGGTCGGTGCAATTTTGATTATAGTAGTAACAAGCACCGCCAACTATGTAAGACCTTAGTAACCTATTAAAGAAATAGATAGGATTATTTTTAACAACTTATAATATTAAGTATTTTGTCAAATTTAAATGTAAACATAAAATTTTCGTTCAGATTGAAAAATTTCAGGTATCATCTTGCTCTTCTGAAAAATTTATAATATATAATTGTTTTGTTTTGTTTTTTTTTTGGCAAAATTGGATCGGACTACCCTTAGCATTTCTTTTTCATCAAATGTGTAAATGTTATTCGGTAACCTGGTGTACTTAATTTCATCATCCATTAATTAAAAAATTATTACTGCTAAAAGAAAGAGAGAAAAAAGGAAAAAATTAACCAGTTTTGCACTATAAATGAAAAAATTGTGTTCTAGTAAAAGAAAGAGGGATAGAAAAAAGGAAAAATGAATCACATTTACCTGTCGTTCATAGTTTCGTTTACTTTGCCGTTGAATCCAATCTTGCCAAATATTGTCTCCAGCTTAGATCTCATATACACCTTCACAAAACAAAGAGAAACATTATTATATATATATATATATATATATATATATATATATATATATATATATATATATATATATATATATATATATATATATATTTCACATTTTTTTCTCTTTTTTTTAAAGATATACAGGATACAAAAATTACAACGCACTTTGAAAAATTACAAACAAAAGCTTTAGGGAAAAGTTTTTACCAACATACAGGAAGTGGTTAGATTTTCATTGTCAAGTAAGTTTATAATAAATAATCAATTTTACCGTAAACTGTTTTCTGACCTGCAAAGAACTGACACTTCTGCTCATTATAATCACAAAACATTTCTACTAGATGTCCTGTTTAAAGAAGAAATTTTTTCAACTCTGTTTTAAGTTTTTTTTATCACTATATGCACGCACTTTGAAAAAATGTGAATTTGATAAAGTTGATGCCAATATTAAACATTCAAAATCTTCAAATGTCCATTGTATGATATGTGTAATTGATTTAAATATGTCCTGTTTAAAACCAATAACTTTTCGGTGATAAGGTCTATTATAATCATACTATAAAAAAGAAAAAGTGAGCTAGCTCAAGTCCCCCATAACTTGATGGTGAAACACATAATGAAAGGCACAGTGCACTTTTAATACTTTGAAAATTCTATCTCTCTGAAATGTTTACTGTGCATTTATTTTTTTCCAGTTTGCAATCATTTAAATATACAAATCCACACATTTATTTGAAAGTTTTCATCTTTTAGTAATAATGGACTTGTGCAAATATACATTTATTTGGATGTAGCAACAGTTTAAGAGGAGTGGTGCTAACAAACTGTTCATCTCTATATTCAAAATATGGCAAAAAAGTAGAAAGTGTGGAAATTCCTGGAAAAATAAAGGAATCGGAATTTCCTAGTAATATGCACATCACACATTGTGTCCTGCAAAGTTTACATAATTCTGTAGGCATTAAAAATTGTGGCAAACTTACCTATATTCAAGGATGGCATATGCTTTCAAAAGTGCTACCGGAAAAGTAAAGAAATATTTATAATATGCACATCTAAAAAAGAGTTTGGCTGAGAGACCTTCTGTATACTCATCTTCTCCTTGTTCTCAATCAAGGTAAATTAATGCATGTAAATAAACACTTTTCGAAAGATATAATTACTACAAATTAATTCTCTCAATTACTAAAATCTAAGTCTATAATTTTTGTTTTCTACATATTTTTTTCAAAGTGCGTTAAATGTCCACATGGTAAAAAAGTTTATGTACACTCTTAACGCACTTAGAAAAAATTTTTCAAAGTGCGTTGAGTGTGTCCCAAATTTAACGCACTTTGAAAATTTTTTTCAAAGTGCGTTGATTTTGTCCCAATTTTAACGTACTTTGAAAAAATTTTCAAAGTGCGTAATTTTTTCAAAGTGCGTTGCCACATACGACTAATGAGGGAATCAATTTCATCTACGAATGCATATCAACTTTTTAAAATTTGTTCAGAAGTCTCATTTCGTTATCACATTACATGCAGCTTGTCTCCTATATGAAGATCATAAAGATATACGTTTTTAGAAATACAACGAACTGAGACCCACCCAAACAAACAAACACAAAGGGACAAAAAGACCAAATAATACACATTTCAATAAATTATAAGAATGATCGACAGATATAACGTACTAACTGCCTTAAAATTAGCTGTGTTATTTCAGAGAAGTGGCTAAAAATGTTCAATTAAAATATTCAGAAATAGGTCACCTTTTCCTTAAGGGTTACATATACTCTAATTATTTGCTGCTTGGTTAATAAATTTTAGGTCCCCAGACCATGAACTTTGAATATAATTAAGTCAAATTTTCCAAATAACTTTTGGAATAATTTTAAAAAATTAAACATGTTTATCGTACATTTAATTTCAGTGATGTACAAATCTAAAATATATTAGTAAAAAAAATTCAAGATATGCAGGATTAAAATTTTGACTTAAGTCTGCTCTCAGTTAATTGTATTGAAGCCTGTTTATAGATTTTATGAACCTCAAACTTTCCAAAGATGGGTTTGGTAAGAAGCATGTTCCTGATGTAGCCGATTTCCCCCAGAGCGGCGTACCACGGCACGTACTCCGTCTCCTGATCGAGGTAATCTAGGGAACTCAGAGCCAAGGTTATGTTTATCGAATCCAAACTATAAAATAAAATTATTATATCATATTAAAAATATCGGTTCTCATCTGCATCGGTATTGTTAACGTACAAATGACCATGAAGCTAAAACGATACTTTGTGATCGCTTATGGATTTCTTTTTTTCGAATGAAATATATGGAGATATCGAAAAGTATTCAAGGGGATTAAATAATTACAATTTTTGTGAACATTAAGAAGTTAGTAAAGAAAATTTATATAGTGACAATTTCACAAAACTGTGAGGTTGGTGATTGTTAAAACTAAGTGATTTAGACTAAGTCGTAAGTTGTTGTTTTTTTTAATTAATCATGGCGCAGTTCTTTCTCTTTTTTAAATGACCTTTTATATAGGCCTGTTTTACCTGACAAGAGCCATTAGATTTTGTCTAATCTGCGAACTGTTGCATGGTACTAAAATTTTAAATTTAGAATATAAAAATAAGTTAGATCAAGCATTTTATGTTTCTATATATTTAAGATTATTGCAAATTAAAATATTGCAATAAGTAAAGTTATAATTTGCATTAAATCGTTTTAATTTTTTGTTTCCTTTGCAATATTTGTACTGGAAACGTTTACTACATAAACAGATGATACATGTACTCACCATATAGTTATTTCTTAACTGATTTATCAAAGCCCTCCAGTTGCTTTCATCATAGTTCACACGATAATACCCATACTGTTGTACGTTTGCTAGCACCCAATCACCATTGTTAGTATTAATTGTGTTAGTCCAATCAAAAGTTGCAGCTGAAAAAGACGTAATCGGGTTCGTCTAAGGATGAGAGTGTTGTGTAAGACAACTCAAAGTTTGTAGATTGAATATTAAAATCCAATGAGCCGGTATCCTAGTTTATTTAATTCTTGATAGAGTTTTTACTATGTTGGAGGAATAAAAGCTAGCAGACAAAAAATAAAAATGGTTGCAGCTTTATCGTTTATTGTATTAGGGAGAACAACACTTATTGCTGGATGTAGTTTTAAGTCAACAACATTGCTCAATCATCAGCAAGTTCGATTAATTTACAGTTAAGTTGAATCTTTTTACTTAAAAAAATCATATAACAATTTCCATGCAATTATTTTGTTTGTCTATTTTATTTGTATTTCGTAAACTTCTTCAAAACACACTTCAGTGTTGAGTTTAGTTAAACCTTAAGTTTATTCTACAGTCCAGCTCACAGGTACTTGAGGTATGGACCACCTTTAACATTTTTTCTATTTTATATCAAAGCAATAATTATACGTTCTAGCTTGTTTTTAAAAGTCATTGTTACGTAATATATGAACACTTTCTATCCACCAAGAAAATATGTTTTACACACCAGTCTGATTTCTGTAAATCCAGTGAATTTCGTTGTCCTCATATAAGATATCATTACTGGATGTAAATGTGAAAGGAATAGTCCACGTGAAGCTGAAACGTAGAGAACACTGTATAATTTTGTAACAATATAAAAAGTTTTCTGAGAAATTTTGGTTATGCGAAAAAAAGAGGGAATCTCAGTTAGACATTTTCGATTGATAATGGAAAATTTACTATACTAGGAAAATCATATACAAGAATGAAAAATAGACAATATACAATCCTAGTGAAGTAATGTATGTCAAACGAAAAAAATGCTCTCATGTTGTACTCATAAACATGTCTATTTTTTTTTTAAAAGATTCCCATGGGAGATTGATCGGAGTTTTAGTCTATCCCACCTTTCTCCCATGGCAAAAAAAGTGCAAGATGGGTTTTTCCCACTAGGATTTTTTTTTCTCCCACAAAAATGCTCAAATGGGATTTTTATTCATACATTGTTAAACTAGGGATACATGTATATCCTGTAGATTATAATAGTGATATCTCACTCATCATAATATATGAGATACTAGTATATCCCATGTTTAACAATGTTTGGGAGAAAATTACTAATTGTTAATATCCGTGGGATTTATCCCATTTGTACAAATTAGTGGGAGAAAAAAAATTCCAATGGAATAAAATATTACATCTGACACTTTGCTCCCATGGGAGAAAAGTGGGATAGACTAAAAATCCCATCATTCTCCCATGGGAATCCGACTTTCAGGACTTCATATCTTTAAAAATAGACATATTTGTGATCAACTGAGACCCAAGTGCTATGTATCAATATTATTCGGATATCACAATTACAGATGGTAGTAAAAAGTCTGAACAATGCCGTGTCCAGAGTTAAATGTCGCACTATTTAAGGTAAGTCTTAATTTTCTTGCATTGCTTTGGGTATAAAACCGAGACTTGCCAACAGAAACGAATTAAATTTCAGTTTAGCTCTTGCACGAAAAATATTTTTTTCAAAATTCAAAAAGAAATTAGAAAAAAATAACACTTAATTACTTGAATTGCGAGGGTGCTCCATCAGAAGGGTTACCGATGACGTAACGAGACTGTTCCGCCCGGATGTTGTTGTTGTCAAATGTGACCTTGACCACGGGATAATTTTGTTGGAGGATCCAGGTATCCATTATGTCTTGTACATCAATAATTTTATTTTCAGAACTTGCTTGCTGTAAAAAAAAAATGTTTCTTCTGAAATTGACGTTTTGTAATGATATCAGAAATTGAAACGGTAACACTTTTTACAACTATAAAAATTGAAACAAATTGAAACATGAACACTTATTTTTCTCCTAACACGAGGAGAGATGATTGTCTGCATGTTTGCCACATAATTCAAACTTTAGGCTTATCTTGATCTTTACTCAAAGTCATTTTTCAAAGGCCGAGGTCAATGTACAATCACAGGAGTCTAAAGTTTTTATCTTCAAAATTGAAAAAAAAAAAAAATTAATTTCCTCCTAAAACAATTTCTTGTTTGCTTAACTTAAAAAACTTTTCTGGATTTTTTTTTTTTTTTTTTTTTTTTTTTGTCATTTTTCAAACTTCAGGTTGTGGTACAATGAAACAGAGAAATTGTATCCGTATTTTTGTACTTAAATAGGAATTGAATTTGCCATGGCTTCGTATTGACACAGGCGTAAATCATGTCGGAGGAAATAAGATAACTAAGGTACAAAAATATACGAGCATATATCTAAGATACTCGATTCATTAATGGTTGTAATACATAAAAAGATGCCATAATTACCTCTTCCAGAGCCTGCCACAATTCCTGGTGTCTAACATTCCCGTATTCTTTTCTTTTGATGTATGTCTAAAAATAAAAGTAAACAGTGTATTTAAAATTATTAATATACTAGTAAACAGGTAGATATATCGAAAGAATAAACTATATAAAATTAAAGAACATTTATCATCTGTGTGGGTTTTTTTTCAGAGTTCAGAAAGCTATATCAAATGAATATTGGAATGAAAATGAATATTGTTTTTATAAATACAGGACGTCATAGATATATCTTATTGTTGAGTAGAAGGCCACAATATCAAATATTTGATATCTGGGCATTGTAAAGCAATTTTTTTTCCATTAATTCTTTATCATTATGAAGTTCAGGCAATCAAGCATCTATGAAACATATTTCTTTAATTTTTTTTAAGAATGAAAGAGAAAGGACATTTCCTTTTACCTTACAATATTCAAAGTAAATTCTATATCTCTTAATGGACAAGTTAAAAGGAAATATCTAAAAATTGCTAACATTAGGAAAAAATTCAAGAAAGGTCAATTAAAATCCTTAATAAATAATTCTTACAGATAATCCTTTGCGTAAGGTCTCCGGTCCAAGGAAATTCCACATCATTCTTATAACCGAGGCCCCCTACAAAATAAAACATATAAATTAGGTATTTAGTATGAAGAAAGAAAATATTTTCTTACTATTTTAAATCACCGTCGAAAAGCAATATTTGAATAGTTGTTAGTTCTTTTTTCTTGCTATTAATTGTTTATGATCCTGTAAAATGAATATATGTTTTTTTTTTGCATGTGGTGATTTTTCGAAGTTTTAGGAAAAAAATGTTCCATGGGATATTAATATCATGATTGAAAAAAGTCACTTTGTAATTTAAAAATGGGATATGAATTCAAGGGTCTCAACATACCTCAAAAACAATGAAAATTAAACCAACATGATAAATAGAACATTGTCTGAACTTGATCTTGAACAAACCTTTTGGTATGTAATGGTATCAAACAATCGGTCTATATCATCTGGACTATTAACATTGGTGGCAAATATGGGTCGTGACGTGGGGTAACTGTCCACCCCAAAGGCGGGGTGCATGTTCTCTATCGCGAAGGCGTCCAACTACAAGGTAATTTAAACAATTCATATGTAGGACTCCAAAGTGCGATGGGACTCCAAAGTCCGATGGTCACGCCAAAGTCCGATGGTCTGCGCCAAACCCCGATGGTTTGACACGCCAAAGTCCGATGGCGCAGAAAACAATTAAGAGGCATTCTCTGTAATGATTTGAAATTTTATATAGGAGCTGTGGCACGCATAGTCTCAGAATTTCTCCAAACTCTCTATGATAAAAGTCATTGATACCCTAAACTGAAATCAGGCAAAAATTGGTTGCTATGTTTTATAGTTACCATGGCAACATGTCTTAAATTTCGGAAAATGGCATTTTTTAACATGTTTAGAGCCCCACAGTTAACATTTGCGGCAAAGCAAACAATTGGCAATGACTGTTTCCAAAAGCTGAAGGTCAGATGTCTCAAATGCATGATAAACATGTTTGGTAAATCAACTATTACATACGTTACTATGGTAACAAAGTATTCAAAAGTAAAAAAAATATTCATTGAATTTTATAAAGTCATACACGTAAAAATAAAAAGCAATTATAGGATGAAATGTGACCAAATAATAGAAAAAGAATCCTTGAAACATATACCAAGAACAAAATATGATATTTCATTTTGGTTGGCAATGGTTGCCAAGGTTTTTATACCACAGGGAGCCTTCAAAGTAACACTCTGTATGTTTAAATCTGATCCTATCTTTTAAAAAAGCACATTTCCTCATAACTAATTTTCAATTTTTAAAGATGTTGGTGTGCTCCTAGTTTTCCCATTTGAAAAAAACCAGATTAGATTCTTTAAATAGAGTGTTGCTATGGAGATAAGCAGAAAATATATGCTTAAAAACCTGAAAAATATTTTCTTTCCTTGGATACGTACCCTTAAATGTAGATTCCCAAAACTTTTATGATTGATATTTATTAACAGCTAACCTGACTTTTAATTTTGACTATCATCCAATCTCTAAGTGGATGCAAATTGGCACACAGAGTTTAATATTGGTATAAAGTTCACAAAATCGAACATTTTCCCTTCTTGGTAACCATAGCAACAGTGTTGTTTTCTTCATCAACTTTTATCAATATATGCTATTCAACTTCAGTTCTAACAGATAAGTACTATTCAAGTTGAGTCCTATAATTTGTTTCTTGATTATATGGCAATTTAATTCTTAATGCAGTGAAAAATAATTCACTTTTAAGAACTGGTACTTTGTTTCCATGGTAACACTACAAAGTAGCAATTTTACCCAATTTTTCTTATGGTTTTGGTGTTGCAAGGTCCTAAGGATGCATATTTGCCAGTCTTAAATTTTCATGTTTTTCCTCAAAATAGTAGCATTAACCCAATCTTAGTTACTGGTTTTGCATAGTTACACTGTGTTACCATGGCAACCATAAAATTTATTTATAGAATGATATTGCTTATACTTATATACTTAAGGTCAAACATTTTCATTGTTTTCTTAAGTCGATGATTGAGTTTTAGCATGTAAAACCTACCATTAGTGAATATGGAGTGTTTTTTAGCATATTTCAGCATTTTAAATGTATTCCAAATGTACCCTTGGTTACCACTTACTTAGAGATATATTCTAAACAGTTTTTTTACAGTATAAGTGACATCAAGGTGTCATGTTTTTGTTACAATGGTTTGTTTGCTTTTTCTAGTTTTTATTAAGCGTCAGTCAAGATTTAAAGTGGTTGAAAATCTCAATTTTTCAAACTTTTCCGGCTGTTGCCATAGCAACCGAGACACTTAGCAACGAAATTTTGTTTGATATTTGTTTCTGGTGTTAAGTACTAAGCATGGGTGAAGTTTCATCAAAATCGGTGACCATGCGTGGCAACGAAGTTTAAGTGGTTACAGAGAATGGCTATTAACGTCTATGACGTCATAGTACTACTGCGCAAAAATGCGATGCCACGCCATGCCAATAAATAAATACAAAATATCATGAATACAAAGACTAGCCCTCGTCTTTTGGATGTAGGTGCGAAACTAAGACTTATCAGTCGAACAATGAGTATCAACTCTAACCTAACTATCATAGGTGGGTGCAAGACTAATCTAAAACAATCCAATACTGTGCGAGGACTAACCCTAAAATCTTTCGGGTGGGTTCGAAGAAACACATTAGTGTTCAAGGACTAACCCTTATCAATCGAACGATGTACGAGGACTAACCCTAATACCTCTGGTGGGTGAAAACAAAAAGCAATAGCAGTAAAAACGTATGTGAGACGAATACTGAATCAACGGATTTTGAATGCAGAATAACGTCATGACGTCGGACTATTGTGACGTCATAAACGTTAATTGTTCCTCCGCACCATCTGACTTCGGCTTGTCAGACCATCACACTTTAGCGTCGCGCGTCTCATAGGAAACGAGCCATCGGACTTTGGCGTGACCATGGGACTTTGGGGTCCGTAAAGACAACGAGCCATCGGATTTTGGCGCAGACCATCGGGGTTTGGCGAGACCATCGGACTTTTGTGTCACCATTGGACTTTGGAGTCTTACACATATACATTCTATCTGTTCTTTTCATCCCCTTGTTGTAAGGAATTGTGCGAGTTTTAGTTTCATGTTGAAACTCTTCAGCTATGTTAATTGTGCGTTAATAACAATCAGAACTACACATGTATAATAATAAAGTCAGGTAAATGAAGCAGAGTATGAAAGCGACATATTGCAAGTAATTTATTCATCATTGATTGCGCTGAGTAGTGCCAAAATTTAGAGCGAATTGAATGAAATACTTTAATTACTAGTCTACTGATCTGAATCAAATATCAGTGAAATTGCTCCCCAACTGAGTATCAAAGATTCTTTTATTCATAGGGAACAATGTAACGTATCTCACAATATTCCACTCCGGCCTGGTAAAGTTGACTCCTATGTACTCGAAGAATGATGCAAAGCCCTCATTTAACCAGAGGTCATCCCACCACTGGGGCGAAATCAGATTTCCAAACCACTGTCAAATAAAAAGTTCAAATCATAAACATAATCGGGTGGCGCAAGGAAATGCTTGTAGCCTTTCCTTTTTTGGCCATATTTTGGAGGCCACCTATTTTGCCAAATTATATATGTTATGTAATAGTCACATACTGGGAGACCAATAGTTATTGCATAATTGTTTTATAAATTTTCTCAGGAATTGTGTTTTAAGGTTACATTGTCTCCCAGTCTTTTTTATTCAGTTTTATGTATTATATTATTTTATATGTTGTCATTTCATAATAAATGACATATTTTTGGAACAAACATGTCTTGTGTTATTTGGCAAAAAACAAGCTCAATGTTGTCAGACAGGTGTTTAATTCAAGGAATGAAAGCTGAACTTAAATATATATTTTTTTTATAAATGGTAAATTAAAGCATAAGGAAAAGTAAGAGTGTTTTATCATTAACACTATTGTTAACATACACGTAGTATTTCTATTATATATATCATAACGCTTATAACAGGTTATTCAAGCGACCGACAAAAAAAGAGATTTTATACACGTTATACCTTAAACTAATCATGTTTGCAAAATCAATAAGCTTGCTCAATACCATCAATGTTGTATTTGTATAGAATATTATGGGTAATTCTGCGAATTAAGTTAAAATTAAATTATTTAATATTTCAAAGGAGTATATATAATAAGAGCCAATTTTGGCCCCCTAAAAATCAACATTTTAGAATGACATGTAGATATGTTTACTTGTTATTTACTTTGTAGAAGAGATTATATTAGAAATATTTCCAATATATTTTTCACATTTATATGCACTCACTAGCTGTAAATGACTTGAGAAATAATGCTTTTTTTGATAACTAACAAAAAATCCAAAAAAATGCCTTTTTCTTGATGTTTTTTCTTATGGGAAATATAGAGCGCAGTGTAGAACATACATAATTTTTCTGTCACTAATTAGTATTGGATAGATACATCTTTGTTAAAAATATAAAGCTTGTTCTAGGCTGCGCTCTATATTTTCTGGAAGAAAAACTGCTTGAAAATAAAGAGTTTTATACAAAATATGCTAAAATGGCGGAAAAACGTGATTTTTATGATGTCATATTTCTAAAATAACGGCATTTTGATCAAAATGAAAATGACCAATAAAGGTCGCATATATAGCTGTACAATTTAAAGCTATATATAAAGTAAAATTAAGATATTCATTTTAAGGGGCCAATTGAGACACTTACCATATATCCCTCTTTTAAGTTTATAGCATATCATAAGTTTTATCATCGTATGAAAATAAAATTTTGTCAAAAAATTGTCAGTTTTAACATAATTGTAAGTACATGTAAATAATATCATGACTGCATATTTCCACCTGTTATTATATTAATTATTTTTTACATGATGTAATCATAATATTAAGTTTTCAAGTAAATGAATTTTTACCATATGCGCCAGTTCGTGTGCCACAATAACGGCCACGAATCTGTGAGTGCTTGCCGTGGTGACGTTAGGGTCGTATAACATGTACTGTGTTCTGTAGGTGATTAAACCCCAGTTCTCCATCGCACCTGCTCCAAAGTCCGGAATGGCGATCATATCTGTCAATCAATTCAAATTCAGAAACAGCTTGAAACAGAATTCTACTGAGAATATATCAAATTTACAGCCCCACGCAGAAAGGGTACTTGGCGGTAGATCTAAGAGATCTAATAATTTGGTTATGTATAAATTAGCAAAAGCTTCTTTGTAATACACTTTGGCTCTTGGAAGTATTGTAAAAAAAAGACCTAAATTGTCGACAAGTCCTTGCTATATTTGAAATTAATTAATCAATAACATCAAAACGTACGACTTTTCAACACTTTCTACAACCAATTCCCATGCACAATAAATTAAAGTCAAAGCTTTTTGGCATCATTGACAGCTGCTTTTCAATTTAAAACAAATAATAACCTCGAAAATATACCTATCTTGTCAATTGTCATTCGCAAAATTATTTTTAAAGCATTCTGATTGTTGCAGTTCACACAAAGTTCATATAAAAAGATCCTTGGGTTTCTGTTCGGCAATATCTTATATAGTTTTAAAGGACCAGGCCTTCCAACAATCTGTTGGAACTCCCATTGGTTCCAATTGCGCCAAGTTATTAGCAGACTTTTTTTTATTCATATAAAGCAGAATTCATTAAAATCTTTTACATGAGAAGAAGAAAACACCTGTGTCCTTCAACTCGACATTTCGATAAAATTATATCGCAGACGTATAATTTATCAACAAAAGCTACTTCTATTCATATGTCGATGAGCTTGAAATAAAAGATACCACAGAGTCTGCCACATCTGTTTCATATTTATATATTTATTCTTAAAAAAAGTTTTGTCACATTACCATTGTTATTCATTTGCAAACCAGTTACGTCAAAGCTTTATGACAAACGTGGTGACCTCAACTTTTAAATCGCCAACTTCCCTTACTTATATAGCAATCCACCCTTATCACATGAATCTGGGGTTTATATCTCTCAATTGATTGAATACGCAAGAGCATGCTCTATGTATATGTATTATCAATTTCTAAAACGAGGCAAGTTATTGACAAACAAGTTTATGAAAAAAGGATATCAACAGTCTCGTTAATTTGAAGTCATCACTTTGCAAGTTTGATGGTCGATGCAATTACCATGTCAGAATATACAATCTATCCTTAACTTAAATGCTGTGATGTTTTATACTATTCGTTAATTCATTATTTATACACCGAACGGTCTACGAATTTTCCCGCTCATAAGAAAGAGCACAAGGCGGGTGTGACTGGTCGCAGGGGATGCTAGCTCCTCCATGACATCTGATTCCATCTTTAATTTTGAGGTTCGAGGTTAGCTTTGCTCCAAATACGAATTGCTTGAATGGACTTTCGAGATTGAATACTGTTTATTATCCTCATATTTCATTATTAAAATCTTGAGATATGTATCTCACATGTTAGAAGCAATTCTAAATTATTTCTGTAATATGTAAAATACCATTTGGGAAATACCGGTAATACATTAAAGAATTTAAAGATATTATTTTATTATCCTATATTTTACTATTTTATTGTTATTGGTCACATCAATCATTAGCTCTAATCTAGACCAGAGTCGTATTACGACTAATGACATGAAATTCCCTAATGATATGTGCGGTATTAGCTGATGTATTCATTAAGTACTAGTATATAAATCATAAACCAATCGAATTTAATTACAAATGATACAAATAACGACATTGAATTATTGATAGCGATGCAATCTACGAGGGTTAATCCAAAAGTTCGTGGAATTTCTTCATATTTTATTTATTTTCTAACTAGAAATTGGTTGAAAATTACAAATGAGAATATAGACACTTGTTGAATACTTTTAATAAAAAACATTTCAAATATTCATGATAGTAACTCTATGGCAGTTGTTTGGAAACGCGGGGGAGACATTAGCGCGTTTATTATCATTTTAATTCTTAATACGTGAAATGAGAGGAAAACAGCCCGTTGTGGTATATGAAACGAAAATTGTGTCATTATTATTTATTATTATTGCTTGATCTTTTATAAACCTTTGTGTGAGAGTTTTACTGATTTTACTGGATATTTAGTTTATTAGTTGATGATTTATTGTTCATCTTTTAGTTGTTAGAACACGTCAAATTTCGGTCAAGTCATAACAGTTTTGTGAAAATCCCGGAATCACTCTATTATAAACGCGTATATTAATAATATAGGCTGGGGAAAATGCATTTAGTTACTGGTTTTCCAGTGGCATAAGAAATTTAAGAAAAATAGAACTTCCATGGACGTTGATTAAAAGTGTGGCCGCCTTTTGGAGGCTCTGTTTTAAGTGTCTACCCCTCTAGACAAATTAATAGCGTTAATAGGGTGAGATGCTTCTATAACGTGAACGTGACATATTTAATTTGACGTAACGGCGAAGTCTCCCCCGGGGTTTCACAACTATCCATTTTCAGAAAGCTCGTTTGACCTTGTTGGTAATTGGAAAGTTATGAAATTTTCCAATGTCGTTGCATTATGACTCTATATTATAAATATGCCTGTTGTTTGATTTATCGTGTAAAATTTTATTCCACGAACTTTTGGATCAACCCTCGTATAAGAATAATATGATTTTAAAATCTTCAAAATTTGTCCTCTGGAATAACAAACATATTTAAGCTAAGAAGCCCAATAACAATGCATACTGGGAGCAGAGTAAACACGTGCAGTCCTCTAAAATATCAGAGGTGGGACCAAGGGTCGTTAAGAAGTTAGTGACCTCTGTCGACAGGTCGTTCTCCGTGTGTGTTCCTTATCATGTATGGGCAAACGAAACAATTCGACCAGAGTTTTGTGTGTATATAATGGCCTAACAAATAATATGAAAAATATCAGTCAGAATTCGATGAAATGACAGATTGTGGAGTTTTTTGCCAAGAACATAGTTTCGAACATAGAAATACATAAGCATCTATGCATAAAAAATGATGACTTTAATGAGACTGTTGATGTTCTTGTTTCACCAACTTGTTTGTTAATAACTTGCCTCGTTTAAAAAATTGTTCATAGACTAAGCATATTCATGCATATCCAACATAGTAAAAATATTTCAAGTTCACAGGGATATATCGAGTCGAAATATAGATTAAAGTAATGATTTTTGGATTTTTTTTATTGATACGTTGTCGATATTTTTAACAGTCGACTTAAAGGCCACAGTAGGTGTTTTTTTCTCATGTAAAAGTCGTTTCAATAAATTCAATGTTTCAAAAACTCAACTGGTACGCATTAGATTTCCAACAGATTGGTAGAATACCAAATCTCGTAAAAGGAATTGGACATTGTCAAACTGAAACTCATCATCTTTTTAATATCAACTGTATCAGTTTTAGCTCCTTGTCATGACTGGGAAATAATGCAAAACCCGAAGACAATTTGTGTGTAAATAATGGCCTCACATTAGTAAGAAAAATGTCAACCAGCATTTGACTTCATAATAGATCGTATTTGCTGACAAGGTCATTGTATCGACCATAGAACTTGAGAGAATGATGACTTAATAAAAATTTGATGATATTCTTGTTATAAATACATCATTTTCAAATGATCAATAACAGAAAAAGCTTGCAAAGAACACTCAGATTTTGCTAGATCTTCCCTGTCTGCAAGGTTTGTTTATAAGTCGAAACAGATCCAAATGCTGACCTTGTCTAGATTCACCCAAGCGTGAAATATTAGTCTTGGACAGCATCAAGAGGATTTGGCAATTTTCATTATCCAAAGGTACATTTTTATCATAATTATTTTATTTTGAATCTAATACATAATCTAGAACTAAACTACAGTTAATAAAAAATTCCAAAGATGTTTTGGACAATTTGAAATCACAAGATTTTATCAAAATCAACAGCTTGAAAACTTATGACTTTTCAACTTTATACACAACCATTCCCCACGATGAATTAGAGTCCAGGCTTTTTTATATATCATTGACAGCTGCTTTTTCAATGAAAAATGGAACTCGTAAATTTACTTACTTGGCCATTGGTCATTTGCAAAATTATTTTTTTTAAACATATTCTGATTGCACACACAAGTACTCTGAAGTCGACATCAAAAAGATTCTTGAGATTCTGATTGACAATATCGATATATCTATGTGATTTTAGAGACCAGGTATTCCAACAATCTATTGGAATTCCTATGTGTACCAATTGCGCTCCGTTATTAGCAGACCTATTTTTATACTTGTATGAAGCAATATTTGTGCAAAATCTTATTCGTGAAAAGAAGAAAACACTTGATGTGGCCTTCAACTCGACATTTAGATATATGGACGACGTATTGTCAGTTACCAATGGCAATTTCCATGCCTATGTCGACACGATATCTCCTGGTGAGCTTGAGATAAAGGATACCACAGAGTCTGACACATCTGTTTCATACTTGGATATTTTACACGAAAAAAAAAACGTTAATGGTAAACTATCAACCAAGCTATATGATAAACGTAATGACTTTTAACTTTTCTCTCAATTCGCCAAGCAATATACCCTCATCACCTGCATGCAGCAATAAACCTTACGTATGAACAATAACACGAGGTAAATTACTGCAAGCAAGTTGATGAAACAAGAATATCAGAGTGTGCTCATGGTTCTATGGTCGATAAAATGTCCTTGTCAGCAAATACATTTTATCATTGAGTCAAATGCAGACTGGCGTTTTTGATACCAATTGTTAGTCCATTATTTATACACTGAATTGACGACGGATTTTTCTGTTATTTCCTGATCATGACAAGGAGCACACGGCGGGTGTGACCGGTAAGCAGGGGATCTGTTATTAGTTATCTCCATATCCTACTGAGAGTCACTCAAACATAAAATTTAGGTAAGATTCATTAATAAACTATGTTTTATATAATCACTAATTATGATCAATCAAGAATTGACCAAAAGTCTAGCCCTGAAATAGTCAAACAGAAAAGAAATTTCTTCCATGGGCTTTAAAAGGCTATAAAAACTTTACACAATTTGATAGTTCCATAATTTGAAAAATTCTTACCTAATTTTGGAAGAACAAATGGAATTTCAAAGAAGTCTTCAAATCCTCGTAAAATATCGACACCGACCTCGAGTGCAAATTCAGTTTTGTCGTATTCTTCATTAGATGCATAGGTATTCATCTACAATTTAGAAACATGTATTTTATTTAGCATCCATTTTTCCGAATTTGAAAATGTTGGCATTTCATTATCGTAACAATTAACTATATTAAATGCTATTGTTTTGCAAACTCTTTTCAAAAATGAAAAAAAAAAAAACATGACTGAATTTAATCTTTTTGTAAAAAGTCGGTAGGGCCTAGTTTAAGAAGTGGAAAAATGTGATACCGTCCAGTTTGCGGTAACATGCGGCAGATACTTAAAATCACAGACGGCAAAAGCCAGAAGATAGGTGGGCATTACAACTGTCGTATCAAAGACGTCAGCAATGAAACCGCCATCCCTGTAATCAAATCAAAACTTTATATTAAACCAATCGAATATGATTTATCTATACAGTGGATAAAGTGTGTCATATCTGTTTCAACTTTTCTCCAAAACAAAATTCATTACATCAAAACAAGTGTTATTTCCTGGAGACCCTTCTGACTGAAATAAGCGACATCTTTTACTTAGTATCTGAAAATTGCCACAATCCTAGTGGTCACTATACTTATTCAGAGGCATATCTTACTGGTCAAGGTCATTGGCAATGTGTTGAAATTCTGTCCGCTCAAAACGTCAAAAATATTGTTTAACTCTAGTCTTAAGATTTGCCATGATCCTTACCTCTAAAGGTGAAGTTTATGAGAAGACGTTAGGTCAACGGACATCAATGCAATCAGATGCTCGAATTTCGTCCAAGTTTATAGTTTTCCAATCGATCATTAAAACTTTTGAATTCTAATCTTAACTTTTTGCCCTCAGCTTATAATTGTGGCTTAGGGCCAATTGATAAACTGGCTAAAAGATATGTTGTATTATATTTTTTTGCTATGATACCCTTGGTTGAAATCAATTCAAATGAACAATAAACAAATCGCATGAATTGTAGTTCCCACACGAGTACATGTGTATGTTTTTCAATTCACATTAATATAAAACAATGATTTTTTTTCTAGTTTTGTTTTAAATTAGGTGAAATATATAAATCTAATAAACAATGCCAAATACTCAAATCAAAAAAGTATCACAAAGATAAACAAAAAGAATTGAAAGTACAAAACACAATCATGGATTTTATATTTTTAAAAACACATAATGCCAGTGATTCCCCATAATATCTTTATAAAGAGTAATTATTATCGACAAAGTATATTTATTTATCCATTTTTCCATCAAATATAAATCGCTTTCAGATTGATAGATTAAGGGTTTTATGTTTCTTTATAAAATAAATTACAAGACGGATAAAAATGACTTACGTAGCGTAGGAATCTATTAGAGGCATGTTAGAGAGTGAGATATAGTCCTGATACTCTGGTGTATTATTCCGCCGTTCCAGCGTGATGTCGAATGTCGCTTTCAGAGCTGGTTCGTCAAAACAGGGAAAAGATTCTCTGGCATGTGTTGCTTGGAACTGCGTAATGGCTAGATATCTTGGGAAAATAAGAGATTAAATAAATCAATGAAGGATCCTCTGTATTTATTTTAAATCACCGTGCAGTTTTTGAAATATATACAATACTGAACAGGAGATTTGCATTTGTTTTGATTTTTCCTATTTCTGTCTATTAAAAAATGTAGCAAAATGCAGCCCTTTCATGCCAATCAATCCATAGATATATCGACATCATATACATATGTATGTGTTTTTCAGTGAAATATATTATTTTCCTCATGAAATCTATTATATCTGGTGATCTTAATAAAATGTATTCATAATGTATTATAATCAGCTGGTTTTCCCCTCTTTTTTCGGTTCACTAAGTGATTACAAGGTGTGTCCGCAATAATATAAGGGCGACACTACGCGTGTATAAAGTCACACCATTCACACATGCATTCACACCAGAGATATACATGTATAGACTAAAAACCCGACGATATGAAAAAGTCAGATTAAAATTTTAATTTTTTTTAAAATGATTTTTTTTTTCAAAACATACTTGGTTGTACCGTTACGGTCAAACTCGCTGTAGTAAAGTCCAGACAGATCGTCTAGCAGTGCTGCTGTGAAGTTCATTTCAAATATGTACATTTTTCCCGCTATCAAATCTTGAGTCACGTGCACAATTAAGAATTGTAGTTCCTTGTCTTCAGTTACTATGGAAACAGTTACTGGGTCTCCATTCGTATCATGAACCTTCACAGTAGAGTTGTCAAATGTCATTTTGTTGATATGGAGTGTTATATTCTTTGTGTTTTCTGTGCAATTAATCCAGATTTTCACGTGACCTGGTGTAGAAAAATTGGCGGGAGCTTTGTCATAAAAATCAGGACGCAATACGACATTATAGTGAATAGGAAGAAGGGAGGTTGGTAAACGGTAGTTTTTAGCCATTTCAGGAGACTGTGTTACTTCTGGTGCCATTGTTGACACTGACGTCATATCCGGAGAGTGTGATGTGGACCCCATGGTTGTCTTTGTAGTCATTTCTGGAGAATGTGTTGTTGGCACGGTACAGTCGGGACCTTATAATCAAGAAAAAAAAAGTTATCCAAAATTAAAAAAAAATCAAACAAAGACATCTAATATAATTTTTTTTCAGGTTTTTACATGTTGCCAATATATTGATGAAGACATATCTGATTGCTTCGAATATAATACATGTACTGTACAAAGGGTTATTTTGGGCGTTTTACACTTGCTAACAATTCTTTATTTTAAATTCGCCCAGTCACAGGTCTGTTTAAGATTTTTTACTGTGCTCTTTGAATTCGCTCACTTGTGACAAGGGCGAGAGGGGCGAAAATTAATTTCCCTGTATACAGTATATGATTTTGAAAGATTTTCGAAAACCCAGTTGTTAAAATTTAAACGTCTGAACAAAAACGCTGCAAAATCTCAAAGATTTTCTCCCAAAATGTCCTCTTTAATTATGAAAAAACTCTTTGTCTACCTCTGTTTACATGTATGTGCATGCATTTATTTTCTAAATACATGCATATTCTATCAAGTAATCGTTTTCAGTTAAGTCACTTCAGTTGTATTTGTCCATTGTAAAATTAACATATTTGTTGAGAAATTGTTTTATTGTTTGTAAAAGATCTTAATTTTTGAAATCTTTATTGAAACTATATCCTATTCAATCAGTTCATAGTTAAATTACATCAATGCGGGAGTCCCTTCGAGCAAGCCTTTGTCCCTTCGCCTCGGGAAAGTGCTTTGCACTCCGGGAGATCCGAAATCTTGCTAACACATAATGATATACCTCAACTGTTTTACTTTTCTTGAAAAACATATAGAGCATCACACCTTTTGTTTTGCCTTACCAAGAGTCAAATATGGCATGCCAAGTGTTTTTTTTTTTTAATTTGATTCACTTTATATGCGATCTTGATAAAACTTGTCACGTCTGTTTTCGATATATATGCTAATGTGTCAAATAAGGGCGCGGTCGGCGATGTTGGAGACAGTAAATTTTTATTTAGCATTGAGAGCGATACAATTACCGGCTATAAATTGTATAAGACGACTGATAGCCCGAATAGGGCCGTTATAACAATATTGACTTGGATTCTGGAGGGCCCTTCACACCGCGTTACACAAGTCAAATAAATTTCCCTGTGCTGTTATCGTCAAAAGTCCACTGTATATATTACATCTACTTGTTTGGGTAAAATGAACGGCCTGGAAGTCACATTAACGGATAAATTGCAAAATATTAAACTGAAATTAAGCTATCCTCTGTAACATCTGAATTATAATAAAGCTTTACTCTATATAAAATCCTTGATTTAATTCAGAGCAAGTAAAGCTAATCTTACATTTTCTACCGGTAAGAAGAGATGAAATGCCGAAGTTATACTCCAGAACATTTTTAACTTATTGTACTGTATATGAAATTCCTTCAGTTTCTTTGAACTCCAATATTTTAAACATTGTAGATCTTATATATAGAGAGAAAAAATGAAGCATATTATTGTGCTAAATAGAAGGTAGGTTTCTGTTTCAAAAAAAAACAAACATTGCAATTTTCTTGATTTAGCTACTTTACTTTATATTGTTATAGACATTGCAATCACCTGTCTTGTAATTTATGATTTATTTTCAGTCATAATCTAACGCGTTCTAAATTGTTAATTGTTAATTCCATTTCTATAGCAAGCAGTGAATGTCGAAATCTGTTTTTGCATCTGAAATCAACAAAGTTTGATTAGTGAAAGGCATGCATTCTTTTGGTGACAGGGTTGGTTTCTCTTGATTTACTTTTAGGACGCAATATATTTTTATTTGAAAGAATTCTAGGAGATGAAACAAGATTTTAAACCAAATGCGTATTTTCGAAAGCCTTTCGATAATAATTTAAGGGGAAATTTATGACAATCATTTTTTGAAAATTTTCATATGCAAGTGTAAGTAAAGATTTATTGACTACCCTCCCCCCCCCTCCCACCTCTACTATGTAGATCCGCCCTCGAAATTTGTTGTCTGATAAGATGTCTCCGTTGTTCTCATTGCGCAGTTATTGTCACTAAACGTGATCATGAATGCGTTTTTCGCAAGGACCGTATTGTATTTGCTTTTCTTGTAAAACTCCGAGAAGATTTGCCCATTTCGCAAATAAATCGATGCTTCAGCTGTTTTATTATCCCACTTAAGACAGATCTATAAATTTTCTTTTACATTTTCTGTATTTCAGTTAATCTTCCTGTTTTATAATTACACAATAAATGTCGTATCATATGCGATTTCTGAAAGAATAGTCAAAAATTATTATCTTGATGAGATAAGAAAAAGCAATGGATGTTATAGCCTATAACTCATGAATGAACTCATTTTATTTTGAAAATCAATGAAACGAGCTATATCTCTAGGAAAATATATACTAGAATTTATTTTTCAAAATAAGCTAAGATTTTATTTCCTTTTTTTCGAAATTATGTTTCATTCACTGAACATAAATAAGTCTTTTTTTTATCTTAATCTTATTTTCTTCTCAATTTTTTATATAGCTAGGGCAATTGCAGAAGAAATGGTCTGTAGTAATCTGCATGATCGATCGTCAATAAATAGAAATATTTTTTTAAAAATCGTCAATAAATAGAAACCGTTGAACAATCTTACGACAGCAGAGAGAAAATACACGTTTTTTTTTAAGTTAAAATAGTAAATGAACTTTTTTTGTCCAGTTTTTTTCATGTAAGTATTCAAGTGTTAAGCAAAATGCAATGTACGTCTAACTTCTTAAATGCTGCTGCAAATGTTCAAAATTTAAGTTGTTGCTATATTCTATATTAAGTAACAAATGTACTCACATGCTGGACACGTGGTTGGAGATGGGTGAGCATGCGTGGGGATGCTGGGGGTGGTACAATCCGGATTCCCCACCACGGGGGCTTGGGTAGCTCCACAATTACAATCACTTTCGTTCGTTCTTGGTACTGCAAACGTCACTATTACCCCCACCATGGCCATTGTTGCCATGGCAAGAAACGTGAGAATAAAACCTGTTTTTGCGGACACAAAACACCCAGATTTTCTGGAGGAGTGAGATGTGGTATAAAGTCCATCTTGGCTTGTTGCTAGAGAGTTGGGATCGCTGATGGCGTCAAAAGATTGTAGTTTGTATGACATGTCGAATTATTTTCACTTGTCTTCTCCTCCTATCCGGGGTAACTAGCCGTACCGTACCTCTGGGTCATTTACTCTCAATGACCAATAAAACCATGAAATATTTCCTCAACTACCTACCAGTATACGGCGTGTAATAAATATCTTTATGATGTAGTTTAAATCTCCTGTATCGAGCCGCAACTGAGACATATATTTTGACGAAAAACAGTATCTAGTGTAACTTTATATCCGAGAAACAGTGAATTAATTTGGTCTTTTTATTGATTTATGTCAACTTCATTGAAATAATACTACCTCGTGTCCATGTTCATTATTAGCATCATATCGTGAAATGTTGGTCGTTCTGAAGTTATGTCATTTTGTTAACGTTTAGATCCACTGTGCCTGTTTTACAGTTTAGGAAACTCATCCAAATTCCACTTGTAAAAAAAATAATTCCGTATAAAACCCTTGTGCTTACGTCATTTTCTTGCAATTTAAAGAAAAAAAAATCAAAGAAGGCAATGCAACACTCAGTTTGATTACTTTTTCTTGTTTTGCTGTATCTGAAGTTATATAAACTCCAAGATTACTTCGACACGAATGAGCACAGAATCCATTCTTCCAATAAAAGAAATGAAAAAAAAGAGACCGTTTCTACTGACAGCTTTCTAATCAATGGCTACAGACGTAAACAAAGCGACATGTTGGTCCTAACTCAATCGTAGGCAATCAAATATATACACCGTTTTCTGCCGCCTGTCAATTACTGGAGCGTTGGGGGAGACCTTCTACCGGCAAAACCAATCATAGAGCAGTGCAAGGACGTCTCTCTCTCTCTCTCTCTCTCTCTCTCTCTCTCTCTCTCTCCGTGTTGAATATTTAGTTCTGCTAATGTTCCGGAATTCAAGAATTTGTTTACGTATTGCCTTAATCTTTTTTACTTACAAAAAATGTTAAACAAATTTTTTGAATTTGCAGAAGTCTTGTAGTGTCATCCAGATTATCTCTAGCCATGGTTGTTTTTTTTTTCTCGCGATAAATTATCAGGCAGCTGATTGCGACAAGATATCCGAAGCACGTCACTAATTATATCAGAAGATTTCTAAGCTTTTTTGTATCCATGTATATCATTGCCACACACTAGGTTTCACTGTGGTTTTAAGATAAGGTGAACACGCGTAAAGGTTTAAATTTAAAAAAAATTATTTATTGTACTATCAGAGTAACATTTGTAAGATATTAATATACCTATTCTTATATTCTTGGTGTTTAAAGCATATACCCTATTCCATTTCGCTTCTTTATGCGTTCCTTTCTTTATTCATGAATTTTACATGTGTACCAGCGTATGGATTTTTCAACCACGAAGAGAGTGTCATGTATTTCACAGATGTTAATTTATTTGTTTATTTTTTTGATATTTTGTTGGGTTAACACATCCAAATATCCTTATCCACATAAAAGACGTTTATCTTTGAACGTGCTGGTTATATTATCAAATAGTTCGCTGACCGAGAAAACCCCTATTCTTTTATCAAAGATTGCAATATCGTATTTTACCGCCTATTACCAAAAATGCAAATATGAATCATTAAAAAATGCTGAATGCAATGGAACAAACATATTGTACGTAATTGTAAAAGTAATATTTAGGACAGTGGTGTATTTAGGACACGCAATTATTTTTTTTTTAAATAAAAAAAATTAGAAAACGACATAATTATCTTGAAAAATTTGAAAATATTATCTTGTGAAAACACATAATTATCTTGTGAAAACGAGATATTATCTTGTGAAAACGAGATATTATCTTGTGAAAACGACATAATTATCTTGTGAAAACGAGATATTATCTTGTGAAAACGACATAATTATCTTGGATATTTCTTCAAAACAAATATCTACTTTTTGCAATAAAAAAAGTAAAAAGTAAAACTGAGAAACTTCAAAATAAAACGACTTATTATATCATGCCACACAAGAATATTCCACTATACATAAAATACATTGCAATATGTACTTTTTTTCATACTTTTCATATTCACATGCGTTTTCAGGTTTTCACAAGATAATAAGTCGTTTTCACATATTTCGTTTTCACAAGATAATTTTTTTCTGGTATTTAAAAAAAAAAAAATTGCGTGTCCTAAATATACCACCGTATAAAAGTGGTTTTTTATTTTATATTTTTTTTTTAAATAAGATTTGAATTATATATGAAAAATTTGAAAATAGTTTTGTATTGTGGAATTGGCCTTGTTGGATATTTCTTCACAAATTCTACTTTTTGCAATAAAAAATAGTAAAAAGTAAAAATGAGAAACTTCAAAATAATCGTGCCACACAAGAATATTCCACTATACATAAAATACATTGCAATATGTACTTTTTTCATACTTTTCATATTCACATGCAGGCACATGATATGACGTTACATATTTAATATGATAGAAATAACCCCATATCTAATGATAAACTTAAAATTGTGTTTTATTTGGAACTGGGTTATTATCATTTTTAAAAAGAATATGCAAAGTCAGGTGTCTGTGGGTATAAAAGATGAATATACATTTAGGTGTAATCAATATATCTGGGGGGAAAATATTCAACAAGCCAAGGGGTGGGGGTGATTAGGGGATCTAACAAGTACCTAATAGCCGGGAAATCACATTTAATCAAAGAGACAATGTCAAAATAGTAATGAAATCATATATTAAACTCATAGGTCATTTAGAGCCCAATCAACACTGTTTGGATAGACTAGTGTAAAATATAAAATATTACTGGTTTTGGTTTTTTTGGTGAACCTGCATGTACTGGTCCAGTCGACACCATTCTAATAGTATCTAATAACAATGAAATATTTTTCTTGTCATATTGCACTTTTAGGACAAATAAATACGTTACATTTTTTTAAAAAAAACTTAGGAAGAGTATAAATTTCAAATATTTTATGTAGACACTATCAATTTAGGTAGGTTTCTAAGCTGACCAACTTTTGAATATGAAGGTAAAGCTGTTCCATTGATATTGTGCTCTTTGTTTATATTCTGTGCTGCGTTCTTTATTCATCATCTCACTTAAAGTAGTATAGGTTCAGATGTACTTTATATGTGTAGAATCTGACCTAAATCTGTCATGTTAAAGATCGGCTCCTGTTTGTAGATTAAAAAAAAATAAAACTTAAAATAAAACATATTTATATATTTTTAATACCGCTTCAATTAGATAAAAAAAAAACACTGATCAATGTAAACGTGTATTTCGATGAACATGTATCAGATAAACAAAAACAGATTGTTCCGTTGGACCGCCCCCCCCCTTTTCTCCAATTTTAAATCACCCCTAGGCTGTTTTCCTTTGCATATATAGTTTCCACCCCACCCCACCCCACCCCACCCCCACCCCAAAAAAGCCAATAATGTCTTTCAGTCAGGTAGAAAAACACAGCAAAAAAATTATAATTATGTAATTTGTAATGATTATTAGAGAAATTTTCTTAATCTTGTAACAAAAATTTTAATGCTCTATACAAATCTCAATCTTTAAACTTAAACAATATTTTAAAAGAATGTAAAACAAAAATAACATGTTGAACCAAATAGATTTAAAGCGGTGTGAATAACAATAACGGATATGTAAACCGTCCTTGGTCACTAAACATATGGGGAAAAAATTTGATATGGCCTTTGCATGGCGTTGACTATAACTTCACATCAATAAATTATCCCAAAATTTTCTTAATATCATATAAAACTATTACTAAAACGACGCGCCCCTTCATTAAAAGTCAATTCTTCATTTCTTTTACTTTTATGTATATGATTTTCAATAAATAATTATTATACACTGGGAGCTGGCCTCTTTGACCAGAGACAAAAACATTTCTTGCTTCGTCAGGAAAATGATGCTGTAAACTTTGAAGTCTTCTCATGTATAAATCGTAAAAATCAATCTCCCAAAGAACAAATCCAACCCTTCATCTATCAAACTACACGTCAATATTCGATCCATGAGGTATCAAACAGCAATAAATGTCTTATTCAAAAGATAAAGCGTAATAAATTTAGTTTCTGGAATTGAAGTTCAATATTTTTAAAACTGAAATTTTAGACAAGTGAGTATATGTTGTAAAAAAAAATCGACATTTACAAGAATTGATTCATTGCTTAAAATTTTTGTTGAACAAAATAAACAAATTACACTGTTGAGCTCTATCAGGCCCTTAGGAAACGGCGAGAAAAGTTGTCGGGTCGTGTCCTCAGTAAAGCCAAGGTATATTTTCCAAAAGCTACAAAACAACTTAATTTAAAATAGTGTTCCCTCAATTATAAAACAGTATATTAACATATTTTTGCCATATCAAGACTTTTTTTTTATTAAAATCATATTTTTTGGCTTTTTATATCTGTTTAAGACTTTTTATTATCGTTAAAATCAATAAAAATGATGGCTTTAAAGCATTTTTCAGTTTTTAAAGCATTTTTTAAAGATTTTCCTTTAAAATTTTTATTAATATCTTCTGTTTTATCCTCTGTTGACCTGTTAACCTGTACTGAGTTTTACTTGTGTTTATTATTAGTCCCCTACCGGTGAAACCGGGGGGGACTCAGGTGCCCTGTTCGTCCGTCTTTCTGACCCGTCCGGTTAACTTGGTTTTCCGCACTTTTTTTCTAAACTCTTGCAGATATTGAGCTGAATTTTGGTATGTGAGTTTTACTTGTGTTTTGATTTTTGAATTATCATTTTGATTTAGCTTAATTCTAATATATTTATGAAGCGAGGAAAAGACAGTGGAGAAATGAAATTTTCTTCTTATTTTTTTAACAAAAAAAAACTCTTTTAGTTTTACCTAAATTACTTTTGCAACACACATGTAACATACTCTAGTTGTTATCATTGATCAGTTTTAACAAAAAATGCAACACACATGTGCCATCAGTAGTGCATTGAACAGTGAGACGTTATCATTACATATTAATCTTACTACATCAGTCTACATGTAAATGTTTTGCTGAAGTGATACAAGTAAGCATTTTAAATATACTCATAAGAATACTTTCAAAATATTTACAGAACCCTTAAGAAAATGGCCTTCCTCGGGCAATTTTGATAGGCCTTTATTATTCAACTTAAAGAGATTCACAGATAAAGATTTGCATACGACGTTTTTTTGAAATCTCTTTCTGGCGACGTTGTAAGGTTTGTCCAATATTAGAGGAAAATCAATTCATGAAGTTGACGTTTCCGCGATAAAAAAAAAAAGTTCTTCAAGCCAGCTTCTGTTACTAGTTTAAATTTTTAAGCGTGTCAAATATTAAAATTACAGTGTTTTTATTGAATATTTCCGACATCTTAGTTTTACACAAAGCTCATGTAATAGACGCGTGTCTCTATAACATACCCGTCAAAATCAGTTAAAATAGGCTTGATGAAATAACTTTCTCAAGAACCTGAGCCAAATATTCAATAAAAATGAAACTCGTAAATTTACCTTGACTTTGACCATTTGCAAAATTATTTTGCTAAAGAATATTATGATTGTACACACAAGTACTCTGAAGGTGATATTGAAAAGATGCTTGAGTTTCTGCTTGACAATATCTATGTGATTTTTGGAGACCAGGTTTTGCAACAATCTATTGGAATTCCAGTTATGACCACTTTTGCCCCAATAGCATACCTTTCTTGTATTGATATGAAGCAGAATTTGTTCAAAATCTTATATGTGAAAAAAAGAAAACACTAGTCTTGTTACATTCAACTCGACATTTAGATATATCGACGACGTATTGTTAATCAACAATTACTTATTTCCTCTTTAAAAACAATATATCCTTACAATGAGCTTGAAATAAGTCTAACAGGTTCTGACAGATCTGTTTCATTTTGGATAATTTACTTGAAAAAGACGTAAATGGTTATCAAACATCAAAGCTTAATGAAAAACATGTTGATTTTAACTTTTCAGTCGTCAACTTTCCTTACTGACAGGTCAAATGCTGACAGATACTAGTATTTCCGTACTATTTGTTGGGCCATTATTTAAAAAACTGAGATGACGACGTATTTTCCGTTATTTCCCGATCATGACGAGAAACACAATGCGGTGTGACTGGTCTGATCCCATCTCTGATGTTTAACAGGTCAAATTTTGCTTTCCTCCAAGATTTGTATTGTTTAATTGACTTTTGGGCTTAAATACTGTTCGATATCTTCATATATAAATTTACGTATATGATGGGACATTATCAAAAATGTGCAAAATTCAAGATCATATAGTTAAAAAGATATGACTATCTTTTTTTGCATAAGAAGTTGAACTCGATAGTCTGATCATGGTTTAAAAACAGTATGCTGTTGCCTTTAAAAACAAATAAAACTACTTACAATGTGGTTTGTCTCGTCTACCAGGGTTGCAACTGAGCTGGGTCCAGGGGACACTTTCTAGTCCAGTCCTGAACTCCTCGATAGTACGGGATGCTGTAACTGTCTCTCGTAGGCGGTTCCAGTCTCTCACCGACCGTGGGATGAAAGAATTATTGTAGACCTACTTGGTAGCAAGAGGCTGTCTATATCTAAGGCTACCACTAGTTCTGTCCCCAGGTGTGTGGTACTTGTCTGGATTGAGATCTACAAGGCGGTTCCTTACTTTGTAGCCTAGGGCAAGTCGATGTAATTTTCTCCTATGCTGGAGTGAGTCCCACTCTAGTTGTTCCAGTAGTGATGTTGCACACAGGGAAGGTATCCGCGTACTGGTTGCTGTTCTGGTAAAGATCCCACACTGACGATGCATATACGATCGATAGTCTGATCATGGTACAGTATGCTGTTGCCTTTTCTGATGGAGTGCAATGGCCTTGGTTGCGTCTCAGAAAGCTCAGGGTTCTGGTAGCTTTCCCTGTGTTTGTATAAATGTGGTTTTTCCATTGTAAGTCTTGGGAGATGGTAACACCGCGAATATTTGTCTCTCCACGATTTCCAGCTGATGTCCATGCAAAATATATGATGTTTGCAGTGGCTCCCGTTTGTTGGAAATCCGAATAACAGTGCACTTTTCAAGGTGGAAACACATCTGCCACTTCTTTTCTTATTTCTCTGTGAGATCTTCATGTAACCTGTCAGCATCTCTTTGGTTTCGGATCTATCGGTAGACGAGGCTCTCATCTGCAAACAGCCTGGCGTCTAAATTGGTGCCCTCAGGAAAGTCATTGATGTAGGTCAGGAATAGGAGCGGTTCCAGGACGGTTCCTTGTGGCACTCCGGAGAGTACATCCAGTGGAGAAGATATATGCCCATCCAGTACCACTGATTGTGTTCTCTGACTTAGTAAGTCCTTAATCCAGCCTACAGTGGTACCTGACACTCCAAAGTGCTTCAATTTCAATAGAAGACGTTGGTCAGGGACCTTTTCAAACACCTTTGAAAAGTCCAATAGTACTATGTCTGTCTGGTATCCCTGGTCCCTATTTCTGGCTATCTGGTCAAGTGTTATGACAAGTTGTCTCACATGATCGGCGAGCTCGAAAGAGGATGTTGTTCCGATCAGAGTGGTCCATAACTGTGCTGTGTTCGACATGTTCCAGGGGCTTGCAGGCTATTGATGTTAGGGAGACAGGCCTGTAGCTTGACGGTTGATGTGTCTCCCCTTTCTTGTATGGGACGATGTTTGCTCTCCATTCATCTGGCCGCCATCTAAGGAAAGCTGGAAACAACCATGTTATATCTGGGGCTACAGACTTTGCACTCTGATTCAAGATAAACGCTGAAATCTCATCATGCCCAGTGGCTTTGAATAGGCATAGTCCCAATAATTTTGGTATTAATTTCAATATTCCCATCTCGTGAATTGTTTTGTTGTCTATAGTAGGGAAAGGGTTTGGTCCTATATCGAGTAGAGTGCATAAATCCTCGCGGGTATAGACAGACTGAAACTGGAAGCTTTCCTGGCAGTGTCGCTACGGAGGAATCCGTCTTTGGACTTCAACTGTCACTATCTGGGATGAATCCCGCTTCCTGTTTTTGATATACATGTATGTCCAAAACCGTTTTGGGTTGCTACACAGGTCATCGCTGAAGAGATCCTCCAAATGAGCTTTATGTGCCCTCCTGGATTCCCTCTGTAGTTGTCCTTTGGGTGCCCTCTATCGCTTCATGTCTCTTAGATCCTTGCTGCGCTTAGCACGTTTATAGGCTTTTTGTGACCTGTTGCTAAGGCGTCTTAGCTCAGAGGTCATCCACGGGTAGGTATGTTTGGCAAGTGTACGACTAGAAGGTACGTGATGTTTTACAGCTCCTCATATGAGATCCTTAATGTACCCCCATATGCTGTTGACATCTTCAAAATTGGTATATGTGAAGGTATCTAAGTAACTCAGCAGCTAGTCTCTAATGTCGTTAGTATTGGCTTTCTTCCACAGATACATGTATATGGTTCTCCTTTTTGGTCTTGGTCGAGTTAATTAGTATGTGTAGAATGCAGGAGTACTACAGCATGATCGCTATTTCCAAGTGGTGGAATAGTCTAACATCGACTAAGTGTTGTCCCGGATGTGATGTTAAAAATAGATCCAGGATGTTCTTTCCTGTGGTTGGTATATCAACTACTTGCTGCAAGTTTGTTCAAATGAAGGGCCATGCCCTTTTCAACGGGGAGATAATTGTGAATTAGTGAAAAATTAATGGGATCTTTTTAAAATCTTCTTTTCAATAACCACTTGGCCATGAAAAATGAAACTCATGCAGAACCATCCTCAGGTATTGTAGATACAAAGTTTTCAAATCATGACCCCGGGGGAGGATGGGACTATAATGGGTGATCGAAGTTTTATATAGAAATATATAGGAAAAATCTTTAAAATCTTCTTCTCAAGAGCAGCAAAGCCTGATTGGTGATATTTATATGGAAGCATCCTCATGTAGTGTAGGCTCAAGATTCTTCAAATCAGAACCCCTAGGGGTATGGTAGGGATAGAATGTGGGATCAATTTTTACATAGGAATATATACTAAAATATCTTTAAAATTTTTCTGAAGAACAGGAAATCCATGATTTGTGATTTTTATATATGGATCTAACGGAATCATCCTCAGGCTTTTTTCAAATTATGAACCTCAGGGTTAGGGTGCGGCCACAATGAGGGATCAAAGTTTTACATAAAAATTATATAGAAAAAAAATCTTCTCCTGAACAGAAAGCTGATGTTTTTTTTACCTAGCCCATGTGCTCAGATGAGCGATGTGGCCCATGGGGCTCTTGTTATTCTCATAATTGGAATTTCTGCAAAGAGAGTAAACGATATCCTTCACTGTTTTAAAAACTTTATTATGATAAAAATAAGAAGGAGAACTTTAAACAAGTTTGAAGTTTCTTAATTTGACTTTTATTGATACAGTAAGAAAAATGAATTTTTGGAAGGAATTATCAGATGAAGATAATGGTGATTTTTTGCGTCATTAAAAAAGTATATGCCATTAAACAAAATATTTTTTATACCCGAAAATTTGATAATTATAGCTGTTTGATTGATCTATCTCACAAAGTAAATCCTTATCTAACGCATACAAATGAAAATTGAATGATGGAAAAGGGGGTATAAATTCTTCCAACTGATCATCACCCCATAGTTAGAGATTTTCAAAATGAAGCAGGGTCTTGGCTTACTTCTTTTTCTGCATATCGTACATGTCCAATGCCTCTCTATATTCACAGACAACAGTGGCCAGAATATCACCCAGCTGGACAAAAATGACATCGACTCGAGAAATGTGGACGTATTTCGGCAACTCCTGAACCAAGAAACCATCATAAGAATAGCACTGGTGAAAAATGTTCACTCACTGATGAAGGACATGGTCGATCTGAAACAAAGTATGGAGACACTGGAAACTTCACAGCAGAAAACGGAAGAAGAAGTGACAGCAATAAAACAGGAAGTGGACGAACTGAAACGTGAAAATGAGAGACTTAAGCTTGAAAATAGTAAACACAAAGAAAACTTCAATGCCGTTAAGGACAATTTTACAAAGCTCGATGAAGATTTCCAAAGGGGTTTGGAACAGATTGAGGAGAAAAGAAGAGTTTTTGAGACAAATACCAGCACGATACTTGGCGACTTGAAAGTTGAAGTCCTTTATTTGTCAGTCACTTTGCTGGATTTGAATAAACACACCCAAGAGGAAATTGATAAAAGTATTCCGGAAATGGTCCAGGAAAAGTTCGGTATATTGTCAATGACACTGAATACTTCACTGAAAAATTTAAAAAGTGATTTACACGCTACAAACTCAAAACTTAATAAATTAATATCAAACCTGGAAAACACTCAGATTACGATAAAATCATCGATTCTTGGTAGGTATCCCTTACTCTTGTAAGCACACACAGTAGTATGTTTAACTTTTTTGAAAATAAACTTAAGCTGATTTTCCAAAGTCTTGCAGAATACTCATAATGCCTTTTTGTAGTTTTAACGTTCGACTTTCGATCCTGATATTTAAAGTCTCAAACTTTTTTTGCCAAGTATATTTTAGTTTCTACAAACATAGCTTAACTAAAATTCAAATCAAAAAATGGGGGTCAATATCCTTCTTTTGGCGTTACAGTACATTTAATATGACTTTTTTTGCACTGAAATTTGTGTCTTAATTAATTAATTTTTTGAAGTTCTCCCTCCAATATTTTTATCCAATTAAAGCATGAAAAAAAATAAACTCTAAGTTTGTTTAAATTATTTGACCTTTCAGCACTAATAAAAAGTTATTTTTCTGGCATTGAAAATTTAATAAGCAAGAAAATTATTTAACGTCTTAAACTTTTTCTGATTTTAAGCAAATCGCTCAAATTTATCTTGAATGTTTAGAAAAGAACATCAAAAGTGGGGGTATGTGATGTAAATTTTCAAATATTACTAAAAAAGTGTCAATTTTACGTTAAAATTGACTCAATTTTTTCCCGGATTCTCAGAATATATTTACTATATTTGTCAAACTTTGTTGATAGAATTCATTAGAAATAATTTAATAGATACTTCAGTGCCAGCATAACACATTTCACTGCAAAAATAGTTTTGTGTGCAACCAGGATGGATAAATAGGAATCAAAAATTAACAGTACTGTTATAGTTCAAAATGGAAAAACTGATCATTTTCGTCAAAAAAACCTTCCGCCACAAAATATAGTCCCTAGCTTATTTCTACTTGAAGGGAATTTAATCGCGGTTTTTCCATTGAATGTAGTTAAATTTGCACTGTACAATTCAGATTTAATGTTAGAACTTAAAAATAATGCAGAATTTATAAATAAAGGGCCTGACCAAAATACGCTCAAAATCTCAGGATCGAACGTCCTTAAATGTGTTTCTAATGATTGTTTCTTTTTAAAGTAATAGAAAAAATGGAATACTTTCAAATTGGTAAATGATAATTGGTATGTGTGTTTATTAATGAGAGACTTTAATGCAAGAACTGCCACCCACCTGATTATTTTATTCCTGACAGTTTTTTCTTTGTCAAAAGAACATATACTAGTACATGTATGTGAAGATTTTACTCAAGATGGATTGAAGCAAAACATTTTTCATTTTGGAGATTTATTCAAAACGTTTAAAATGAAATGTTCAGAACTCGAAAATCAATAATTTTGGTTGTAAACTTACTAGATTTTTACATATAAAAAGGTATTTATATGGTCTATATCCTTTTTAGGAAGCACCAAAACCATTGGTGCTGCCACATTGTTTTGTACGACTTAGCTGGACAAAATGTTAAAGAAGTTGAACAAGATTTATTTTTAGGTTTATGCATAAAATTATCACACAAGCCACTCGATTGATCACATCATGAAACAAAAAAATAGTTATTCCTCAAATGATTTATTGACAATTTTGACATCCCTATTATATAATTGTATCTTCTTTTTAAAATTATTCAATATATCTACATGTATTTGTTTTATTCGGAGTTCCTTTTGTGTGAAAATCATCGCCAATTTAAGTTCGTAAATGCAATATCCGTGTTATATATTTTAATAATTAAAATATATTAACATTTAAAAAGGTTTAATATTTTTAACAGTAAAGAGCAGCTAACCTCATCATTATTTCGTTTAGATATCTGAATACTAATATTATTGTGAGTAATATTAGGGGAGGTTCACGATAGACATTCTTTTTAACTCGCATTGTTTATTTTTTCCTATGTGTGTTTTATATTCAGATGATATTAACAAAACCATTGCTGATCTACAGAATGATGTTAAACAATCACAGTATGACCAGCTGAAATTATCTTCTACTGTCTCGTCCCTTGAGGTGTTCCGAATGAATGTTACCAGCAATCGTTGTGGTATGTAACAATAAAATTAAAATACTTTCTTTGAAAAAATGAGGAAAACACCAAGTCTTGCAACGTTGCAGGAACCAATTAAGAAACCATGGGGGCACAACTCTGACCTTGCCATTCATCTTCATTAGATTTTCAAAAGATTTTCCCCTTCTTGTTCCCAAGAAAAATGCGCATTAGTAGTGATGAAACCATGATTCTACCAGGATTTAGAATTTAATCAGGAGAGCGAACACTCTCGATAATGTTTTGTATAAATTTACAAACTTTTATCAACTGTTTCTTATTTGTGGTTTTAAACCGATTCTCAAAGAACTTTATCGGTAATAACCAATATTTGGCCCCCAAATCAAACTTTGATGGAGATTTATTTAATTAAGTTCTTAAACAGGGGAGTATATGCTGACTTCAAAGCACTGAATATTTTCATAAGTAATGACGTCATATGTACGTAATGACATCACAAACATGACAAATTTCAGTTTTTTTATGAATTTTGCAGAAAAATGTACATATTTCGTCGATATTTTGCGTAAAAGTCACCGAGCGCATGTGTGTTCAGGATCAATATTTTGATATTAGAATGATAATATCAATAAAATATGTCAATATTGTTCCTGAACAAACTTGCGCTCTATAAATTTTAAAGCTAAAATTGTTGAAATTTTGTCCATTTTGTCCTCTTTCTGAAAAAGGATATAAAATCGGACTAGTTTGTGACGTCATAAAAACAAAAATTGTGAATACACTGCTTTGAAAATATAATATTTTCTGTTGATTTATATTTCTCATACAATTTATTGAATTCAGCACATTTCAGGAAATTTTCAAACTTTGACTTTTGTGGGGGCAAATATATGCAATATACCGCATAAAGTTCTTTATATACATTTGGGTTCTCAGCATAATAATTAGATAAATATAATGACCTAGTTTGTTTTAATACTTCGTCAAAACAACTGAATAAATAATGAAACTCATCACCAATTTCTTTACAATTACATAGGTTAGAGAGTCTTGCTTCTCTAGGAATACCATGCCATCTCCCTGTTTCAATAGGAAGCCTGGCATTACCAGTTCTAAATTTACAAAAAATTCTCAGAAATTTCAATGGTAAGATATCAAAATATTTCTCAAAAGATAATGTACTTTTGAATAACCTGTAATTAAGAGCTTTTGATGAATTGTACATTTCACTATACCATGATTGTTTAAATTGATCAATAAGTGTATGGTATACTTTGTTTTTCAACCATTTGATATTAACTGTTTTACAATTCCATATATATGATAAACCACATTCATTTAAAATTTTTTGTACAAATTTACACCATGGTGTTTCATTTTGGTTCACATCTAGTGTCAGAAGCTTTGAAGATACCTTTGAATTGTTTGATGTTATCCAAAAAGTAATCATCCTAACCTTAATATTAATCAACAATGGGTATCTTCCCAATTCTCCATATACCATTACGTTAGGGGTATATGATTTTCACATTTAAGATATGTTTACAAAATTTAAAATGTAGTTTTTCAATTAACAAGGAGTTATTAAAACCCCATGTTTCACAACCGTTGGTTTAACAATTTTATCAAAGAGGCCAAGCTTACATTTCATAGATAAATTATGTCTTTTACATAATAACATTTACTAATCACTCCATACATTGCTCTTGTTGCTTTGTCATACAACTCCTTTATATTCATATTAAACGATGCACTTTTACAAAAAGTAACACCCAACTTATCTGTATTCATTAACAACTTCCAATGGTACTTCATTATATCTAAAAACAATATTGTGATTCACTTTGCCTCTACCAAAAATTAATATTTTAGTTTTGTTAATATTCACCTTTAAATGCCATTTTTCACAATATTTAGAAAAAATATCTAATTGATGTTGAAAATCAAATTGGTCTTGTGAGAGCAAAATAGTATCATCTGCCTATAACAAGACATACAGTTTCATATATAAGCTAATATTCTTTTCCATTTTATCTGACATTGTTGTTAAACCATTAACATCATTTACAACAAGAAATTCTTCTAAATCATCGAGATACAGTGAAAACAGAATAGGTGACAAGTTTTCACCCTGTCTTACCCCAACAGTACAAGGGAAAAAATCAGAGCTTTGCCATTACAAAATACTTTGGGCTTGATATTTTGTACATATTTTTAATTATTCTAAAACACTTTCCATCTATATTCTTCAACAAGGTCTTATTCCATAAGCCTATGTGCCAGACAGAATCAAAAGCTTTTTCAAAGTCAATAAATGCACAGTATAATTTCTTCTTCATTGATTTATAGAGTTCTATTATAGAATACAAAGAATATATATGATCCTGAGTGGAAAAATATTTGCGGAAGCCAGCTTGGTTTTCCAATATAAGAGAAATGTTTTCTGTATATCTACTTATTCTTTCATTCAGAGCAGAAGTAAACCATTTACCCAGGCAACTTATTAAGGTACTAGTAATTGGTCTATAATTCTTTGGATCGGTGTTGTCCCCCCTTTGGATCCGTGTGGCCCTGCCCAACCCCCAGGGGTCATGATTTGTACTAACTTAAATCCACACTACTTGAGAATATTTCTTTAATAATATGACTAACCATGGCTTTGCTGTTCTTGAGGAAAGGTTTTTGAAGACATTTCCTATATATTGTAAAATTAATGCATGGTATTTAGCTTGTACGATATTTGGCGGAAACTAATTTTTGAATAAAAGTTAGCGAAGATTTTATTTAGTGCATGTGTTCCGATTTATATATACATGTTCTAAACATTTTAGTGATGTACTTGATTTAGCGGAAGTTCCTTTCCGCGGAAGGTGCTTAAAAGAAAGCATAGTTAATGTAAAACATTTACAGCATTCCTATGTAATATTTTTGACCCCTCTTTTGACCGAGTTCCACCCCCAGGGTATTAATATAAACAAATCTAAAGTATGTAATGAAGCTTTTACATAAGTTTCATCTTTATTTGGTCGGGGTTATATTGAAGATTATTTTTCGATGCCATGCACCAATTTTTCACAAATTCGTAATCATCTTCCCTTGAAAGAGGGCGTGGCATTTTCTGTAAACAAACTTAAATCCCCTTCGTCGTCTCAAGATGCTTTTGTGGTAAGTTTGGTTGAAATTGGCCCAGTGGTTCTTGAGAAGAAGTAGAAAATGCGGAGTTTACAGACAGACAGACGACCGACGGACGCTGGGCTCTCTTTGATCAGAAAAACATACTTGAGTCTTTGGTTCAGTTGAGCTAAAAACGGAAGCCTTGACTGAAAAAAATCAGCAGTAAGAAAATATAAGCTATGAGAAAGCAGATACTTGTAGAATTGCATCATTAATTAGCAGAAGTGATTGCAAGTAGGTAACACACAAAATTCCCGGGGGGGGGGGGTCAGTAATCTGATTCATGTTCATATTTACGTCGCACATGTTACAAGATCAATGCTTTTGTAGACTTGCCAAAAAGAGTGGCCTTCACCGCTGGAGTGACGTCTGGTAGCAGTTCCTGGAACAGTGGGATATTGGTGTTCCCAAAAGTCATCAACAACATAGGAGGAAGATATAATCGTTACACCGGAATCTTCACCGCACCAGTGGACGGAAACTACGTGTTCTACGTCAGTATCCAAAGTTACGGCAATAACAGTGCTATACATGTAGATATTGTACTCAATGGATCTAAAAAGGTTCGAGCGATGGCAAATGTGTATAATTCTAATGATGGTTATGAGACTGGTACGAATCTGGTAACCTTGCGATTGGACAAGGGAGACACAGTATGGGTCAACCATAGCTCTGGATCAGGTTATTCTACCTACAGTGACACACCTGTCACCACCTTCTCTGGATTCTTGCTGTAAACATATGAATATATTTTATTGTCTATAAAAATTGAATCTTATAAACTGAGTAAAAGAATTATGCATAACAACTGAGTAAAAGAATTATGAATTAAAATTTGAATTTAAATGATAACTACCACTCCTTTTTTTGCAATGCCATTGTTACAAGAGGCTGTAGCAGGAACTGGCATGCAAAGATGGACCGGTTACTGATCCCATCCAGTGTCCATGAAAGATGTTAATTAGAATACGAGGTTCCCATCATTCCAAACATCCAAGGTAAAAGGAAAGCAACACACCACGTAGAACCTGAACAAACAATCAAGTAACATAAGGTTCCCTGTTGTGCGCCATCCTTCGCCCGTCAACTTTCGCAGCACAGTTACGGATAGGAAAAAAAATTTGGAGTCTAATTTTTAGGGAAGGAACACAGGGACTTGCTCCCGGCGTGTAATAATTATTTATTTAAAAATCATATAGTAGTAGAGTCGCCTTTTTCCTATTTTTGTATTCTAATATGCACTATATATTATCAATAATGCAACTCTTTTGTCTCTATAAGTTGTTTTTAAAAATATCATTTTCGACTGAAAAATTTAAGAAACATACCATTCATAAATTTTGAATACCGCTTCAATTAGATAAAAATTAGATAAAAAAAAAAACTAATGATCAATGTAATAATTATGTATTTCGTTGAACATATATCCGTTGGAACCACCCCCCCCCCCATTGTCCTTCTACAATTTTTGACCACTACTAGTTTTCCTTTGCATATAGTGTTCATCCAAATAATTAAAAGCCAATGCCTTTCTATCAAGAAGAAAGAAAAAAATATTGATGGAATTTGTAATGATTATTCGAGAAATTTTCTTAATCTTATAACAAAAATTAATAATACTTAAAGCAAATTTCAATCTTTATACCAAGTGTGGAATAGATTTAAAGCAGTGGGAATAAAAATTAGGGATATGTTTACCGTCCTTGGATACTGAACATAGGGAAAAAATTGATATGACCTCTGCATAGCGTTGACTATAACTTCACATCAATAAATTACCCCAAAAGTTTTCTTTTTCATATAAGATTACTAAAACAACGCCACTTCATTAAAAGTCAAATCTTCATTTCTTTTACTTTAATGTATATTATTTTCAATAAATAATTATAATTATACACAGGGAGCTGGCCTCTTTGACTGAGACAAAAATATTTCTTGCTTCATCAGGAAAATGATGCTGTAAACTTTTGAGTCTTCTCATGTATAAATCGTGAAAATCAATCTCCCCAAAAGAACAGATCAAGTTTTTTATCTATCAAACGTCAACATTCGCTCCATGAGGTATCAAACAGCAATAAATGTCTTTTTCAAAAGATTGAGCAAATGAATTTAGAAACTGGAATTGAAGTTCAATATTTTAAAACTGAAATTCTAGACAAGTGAGTATATGTTGTAAATGATTCGACATTTACAAGAATTGATTCATTGCTTTAAATTCTTGTTGAATAATATAAACAAATTAAACTGTTGAGTCTATCAGGCCCTTAGGAAACGAAGAGAAAAGTTGTGGGGTCGTGTCCTCAGTAAAGCCAATGTATATTTTCCAAAAGCTACAAAACAACTTAATTTAAAATAGTGTCCCCTCAATTTTAGAACAGTATATTAATTAACATATTTTTTGGCATATCAAGACTTTTTTTTACGTTAAAATCAATAATGATGGCTTTAAAGCATTTTTTAAAGATTTTCTCAACATTCCTATGAAATTTTTATTAATATCTTCTGTTGTGGCATCATCCTACCCTCTCGTGTCCTGCTTTGACCTAGTTAACCTCTACTGAGTTTTACTTGTGTTTATTATTATCATATTAGAATTCTAGATATATTTAATACTCGAACATTTTAACAAAAAAATGCAACACACATGCGCCATCAGTAGTGCATTGATCAGTGAGACGTTATCATTACATAATCTTAATGGGTCACTTCATGTAAATGTTTTGCTGAAGTGATACGAGTAAGCAATTTAAATAAACTCATCAAAATACTTTCAAAGTATTTACAGAACGCGAAAGAAAATGGCCTTCCTCGGGCAATTTGATAGGCCTTTATTATTCATCTTAAAGACAGATGAAGATGATTCACAGATTAAAATGTGCATACGATGTCTTTTTGAAATCTCAGTTTGGCGACGTTGTAAGGTTTGTCCAATATTAGAGAAAAATCAATTCACGAAGTTGGCGTTTCCGCGATAAAAAAAAAAGAGATCGTCATCCAGCAAGCTTCTGTTACTAGTTTATATTTTCAAGGGTGTCAAATATGGAAATTACAGAGTTCTTTTGAATATTTCCGACATCAGTTTTATAGACGCGTGTCTCTATACACCTGTCAAAATCACCATCAAATACAACCAATACAACCATCAAAACGCCAAAATTAACGCCGGTAAAATAACCTGCCATACGGTATTCTTGATGAAATTTCTCAAGAACCTGAGCTAAATATTCAATAAAAATAGAACTCTTGCAAAAATATTTTGTTAAAAAATACTATGATCGTACTTTGAAGATCATAATTAAAATTTGCTTGAGTTTCTAATTTACAATATCTGTGTGGTTTTTGGAGACCATATCTTCCAATAATCTATTGGAATTCTTAAGAGGACCACTTTTGCCCCAAAAGCATACCTTTCTTGTATTGATATAAAGCAGATTTTGTTCAAATTCTTATACTTGAAAAAAAAAAATACTTGCTGTTGCATTCAACTCGACATTATTTGTTTCAAGCGACATAGTTTACTGATAAACATGTTGACTTTGACTTTTCAATTTTAACTTTCCTTCCTTACAGGTCAAATGCTGACTGACATTTTTCATACTAATTGTTTGGTCATTATTTACACACAGAATTATCGACGTATTTAGTCCGTTATTTACCGATCGTGACAAAGAGCAGACCGTGGGTGTGATTGGTCGGCAGGGATTGCTTACTCCTCCATGACACCTGATCCCACCTCTGATGTTTTACAGGTGCGTGTGTGCTCTGCTCCAAGATTTGTATTGTTTAATGGTCGGACTTTTGAGCTTAATTACTGTTCGATATCTCCATATATTTCATTTACTTATATGAAGGGCATTATCAAAAATAAGCAAAATTAATTAGAAACCATATACAGTGAAACCTGTCTAATCCAACATGCACTGGGAGATGAATTTTGTGTAGGAATAGACAGGGTGTCGGATTGCACAGTGTTAAAAATAAGGAAAATACTAAAATGGGAAAGAAAATTAACGTCGGAATCCACAGTGTATCGGATTATTCAGGTGTCGGATTAGACAGTTTTCACTGTAGTTTAAAAAGATTTCATTTCTGTTACTCAATTATGCCTTAATATAAAAGAAAAAAAAATAGCATAAATCTATTAACCTATTAATAATGTTTTTATTTTTCTTGTGACTTATATTAATCTATGTTAATGACGTTTTTGTTTTGTCTAACAGCTTGATTAATTACAGGCATACAAAGATTATTTAGTAATAACTATTGTTATACCATTATAAATATTATTCTATACATTTATTACTGACAGAAAGTCCAACAAAAGAACTGTTTATTACATCGGTCTAACAATTTCACTATTGACCGGTCTTACATAAGAATTGTTAGACCGCAACGTCACTCGTCTGTTACGTCACAAGTAATTAATCATCGTTCAATATCGTCGACGCGAAAATAACCGAAGTTAAGAGCTACAAGAGTTGTTGCTAACAGTAAGGTAAGGAAGAGGGGAAGAGCATGTTTTGTGATAAATAATTTTTGTTATGCAATAGATATGTAATTGATTTTGTTCTTTTTCAGCTTGATGTTTTATATTTACTGAAGAAGCCATAATTTTCCATATAAATAATTGATAATATAGCGTGTATTGATTAAATTGATCAATCTTAAATGAGCAGTGAAGGGTATAACAAAACAGTTATAGACTGGGATTCGGGCAACATATGATTTGTTGGACCTGAAGGTGAAAATGTTGCCCTTGGCCTGCGGCATAGGGCAACATTATCACCTTCAGGTCCAACAAATCATATGTTGCCCTCATGCCCAGTCAATAACTGTATAATATGAAACAAACATCTTTTAAACAGATTTTAATTACGTTAGATGCTATGGATTCTACATTATGATGACGTGCTTTTGCATCATATGCTTTGGTTTCTTCAATTTGCAGAGGTGCCTTTGCATTATATGCCACGACTGTGGTTTCTTCATTATTCTGAGGTGAATTCTATTCTCTGACCAGTTGACTGGAGATGCAAACTCTTCCATGGCACCTGCTCCCCACCTCTGATCATGTTTTTAGAGGTCTGTGCTGCTTCTGATTTGTATTAAGGTGGCTCTCTACGACGTCACAACATGGCGTACTTCCGTTGAAACACCATTTTGGTCCAAAATGATCTGATTCTGCCCCAAACAAATTCACTTAACACCGATAAATCACCGGGTATAACACAGCATGAGATATTGTGGACAGAATTTACAAACAATATTACCTCGAGGCGACGAGAGTGGTCAATATGTATCCTTTCTTTAAACATGAATTGTTTGTTAAGCCGGCCTTCCTTTTTGCCCCTCCGCTTTCTAGGGCTTTCATACTTCACATATGTAATTCTTTTGATAATATCATTGGAAACCAAGAAGTTAACCCTTTGACCTTGACCTTGGAGTTCAGTGATAATTTCTAAATAGATGACTTATGATAGGGCGTTGTTACAACGCGAAATGTAATAACAACGCGAATGTAATAAACATGGATTATCACATTTTGCGTTATTACATTTTGCGTCGAAATCAACGCAGAAGTAATCACGCAAAATGTTACAAAACACTTTTGAGGATTATTACATTTCGCGTTATTACATTTTGCGTTCGAGATCAACGCAATATGTAATAACGCAAAATGTAATAACACGATTTTTTGATTATTACATTTTGCGTTTTTACATTTTGCGTCGAGATTAAGCAAAAAGCTAGAACGCAAAATGTAATAACACATTCTTTAGTCAGCCAGATTGAGTACAATTTTTAACAGAGTAGTGGCCGATGAAGAGGAAATTAAAAAAAAAACAGATATATGCAATTCAATTGCTTCCAATTAATGAATTTCATAATTCATTTTAATAAGCTACTTAATTATATTTATAATCAGTTTAATAAATGTATTCAAATTATAGGTGCTGCAAATTAGAAACGCGTGTGTGTAGGTGGGGTTGTTGGGGATATTGACCAGAGTACTTTTGCTTTTTTTTTTATAGACAAATGCAATGAATCTAAAGAAAACCTTTTTATTTGTACTTGCAGGTGTAAATATATATATCGGAAGGGGTTTTTAACAATTGTGATACCATACTGTTCCATGCAAATCACCAGCATTGCAGACAAGCAAAACACCCCCCACCCCCTCTCTATCTCTCCATCCAATAATAAAATGGATTGTTTCTGCATGTCCATAATAATACAATGATAAACATACTAAGTAAACACTCCACCCTATCTCTGCCCTTCTCCGCTTGACACACACATACACTTCCTTGTTAACCAATGTACACATGGCAAACATGCATATCGAGAGCTAGTAATGAACCTATGGTCAATCTTTGGTAATTAAATAAATTATGTGCTATTGGTTAGAAATTTAATAAGACTACAAAAATATGCCAATCAAAGTTAAATTAGTGCTTCATAATTTAGCACAGTGTATTCAATATAACTAAAGTCAGAGTCAGAAAATGATGGATATGGAGATAACGAACAGTATTCAAACTCGAAGTCCATAAAACAGTACAAAATAGGAGCAGAGCAAACACGAACCTCCGAAACATCAGAGGTGGGATCAGGTGCTTTGGAGAAGCGAGCATCCTCTGCTGACGATACATTTTGATGTATTTATGTCCGTAAAAGCTCTAACTTTGGTCTCATTGTTTTAGTTCTAAATATTTTGTACAGCGTGTTTCCCATGTTGGTTGTGTGTATATTTTGAATCAATGTTATGATTTTTTGTTAAACGCAATCAAAAAAAATAATTGTATTTTGTTTAATTTCATATTGTTTTATTACATTTTGCGTTGTCTTCAGAGCAAAAATAAAATAACGCAAAATGTAACAACAAAAAAGCACGTTATTACATATTGCATTGATCTCGACGCAAAATGTAATAATCTTAAAATTGTGTTATTACATTTTGCGTTATTACATTCTGCGTTGATTTCGACGCAAAATGTAACAACGCAAAAAGTAATAATCCAGGTTTATTACATTTCGTGTTGTTATTACATTTCGCGTTGTAACAGGGCGTTCATATTAGACACAAAATGTCACAAAAAATGACATCTCACTCAAAAAAGACACCGAAAGCGGGGGACCACAATTCTTTGAATTTGCTTATTAGATTTTGTCGAATCAATGTTTTTACAATTCTCAATGCATTTCCTATGTAAAATGTTGATAAAAAGAACCTACATTATTTTTAACCATACGATTTCTCTAAAACACGTTTATTTCATAGACGTTTTGAATAAAATATATTGTTGTATCCTTATTTCCGATGACATGCATATATTTTGGCTGGAAATGCAAATATAGAAACAAGACACTGAAAATCCAGCACTGTTCTTGAGTTAATATTTCCCTTAACATTTTATTATTCGTAATAATCAAGAGTTTCTGTCACATGTAATTTACGTTATTGGAAACAAATTGTCATAAATATATTTTCATATATTATTTTTCGTAATTACTAAACGATGCCTCCTTCATGTCCTATAGAACTGTTCTCATCCTGATACCTAGCTTTCACCACTTCAGCAGATGTCACATGATTGCCCTTCCTAGCATAGCTATAGTAAATGACGACCTGTTGACTCTCTGTCCCCTTAGTTAACGCAATGTAAAACAATCACTGCTTTTCTTTCTTGCTGTATAGTTGATTCTATCCTTTAAAAACACATGACTGTGGTTTTGTTTACCTCAGTAACATATACGCTTTATTTCCAGGAGTAAAGAAGATTTTTAAAGATTGCATTAAGTTTGGTGCTTTTGGTTCCAACTTCTCAGGCCCCAGTGGGACAGGGACCATGAAATTCATAAAATTTGTTCCCCTTTGCCCATAAATACTTTTGTAAAATTTATTTGAAATTGGTTGAGCGGTTGCAGAGAAGCTGAAAATATTCAAATGTTAACACACAACGCACGACGACGGACGAAAACGGATAGCAATAGGTTACCTGAGTTTCAGGTGACATAAAAAGATTATGTTAGGTACAATTTTTGTTCCCCTTGATCCATAGATGCTTTGTGCCAAAATTAGTTAAAATTTGCTTAGCGGTTGCAGAGAAGAAGCTTTAAGTGTTCAAATGTTAACACATGACGGACGACGAGGGACGAAAACGGATAGCAATAGGTCACCTGAGTTTTACTCAGGTGACCTATAAAGCCAAGAGTTTGCCAGCTTTACTCTTAAGGATAAATAACACAAACAAACTTTTTTCAGAAATCAGCATTATTTCTCATAGATTTACATTTAAATTGACAACCTGAATAATGTTAACCAAGTGGAGTGGGAGAATTTTATAAGATTTTGTCTTGAAGTTAAAAAAATGTGCAAAATTTTGTATGGAATTATATAGGAGGCAAAATAAAATCTCAAATCTAAGCACCAAGGAAAACCTACGATTTCTTTATCTTTCAGGGATTTATTATTTATGTCATTACATATCAAAATCAGTCAAAAAATATATATCAACCCGCGCATCCATTTTTTGTTTGTGGTAAGTACCCTTAAAGTAATACACGCCGTATGGATGCCGATTTGTATGTGAAACAAAATGATTAAATGATTTGAAACACATAAAGTGTAATGAAAAAATAATATTTCCACAAAATTTAACTATAAAACTCGTTGTAATAACAGAACAATAAAGCAATATCTGCAATCAAGAATTCAGTCTTTTCATGAATATTGATAAAGGAAGTGCGTAAACAGTAGGTCTAAATATAGACACGTATGTCCACGGGAAATTATAGACAACGAGGCACGTTGCATTTTGACAACGATTATTAATAAAAGGTTAATATGCGTCATAACAGAGTATAGATGGTTGATACTGATTACATTTAAAGATAAGTTATATTAATAGTAACACGCCATCCATGTCAAAAGTGAGTTGTATCTCAAAGGGCTTACCTCGTTTTCTTGACGCCGTGTTTGTTTATCAATCTAAAAGTAGCGACGGCGTCACGTGGTGGATTTACTTAAAAATAGACATTATTCTCCTTGCAGGATCATAAATAATTATAATTTGTTAACTTTATAACGAATTTTATTTAAATGGTGTAATTGACAGCATTTTTACAGCATTTTCGTAACTTTTATTGGTAAACAAAATATATAAATTTCCAGCCGTATTTTAAAATGGCGCACGTTATAGCGTATATTACTTTAATTTGGAATAACCAATTTTAAAGATAGAGTAAGCTACTTTTAAGTAGGAAAATCCAATTTAGAAAAAATATATATTATACGTGGCGCTATTTTAAAACGCTTCTCTGATAAAGAAAACACTGTTCCTAAGTTAAAAATCGAGGAATTTTCCGAGAATTACTTTGGGACAACTCGCGTGAGAAGTAGCACATTGACCTAGTTTATAACACTATATAATCAGAGGTCTACAGTCTACAGACTGGGTATGCAAACATTCTCATGGAACTTTGCAAAAAAAGTAAACGATATCCTTAATTGTTTTTAAAACTTAATCATAAAAATAAGAAGGAGAACTTGAAACAAGTTTTATCTAATGAAAATATATAATGGCGATAGTGTGCGTCAATGAAAAGTAAACTTATATGACATTAAACAAAATAATTTAAAATTGTACCGGTGATTGCCTTTGATAATTTTAGCTGTTTGATACGTTTATCTCTCACATTAATCCTTATCTTACACATACAAATGAAAACTGAACGATGGAAAGGGGGTATAAATTCTTACGACTGATCATCACCCCATAGTTTGAGATTTTCAAAATGAAGCACGGTGTTGGCTTACTTCTTTTTCTTTTTATCGTACATGTACAATGTCTTTCAATTCTCACAGACAGCAGTGGCCAGAATATCACTCAGCTGGACACAAATGACATCGACTCGAAAAATGTGGACGTATTTCGGCAACTCCTGAACCAAGAAACCATCATACGAATAGCACTGGTGAAAAATGTTCACTCGCTGATGAAGGACATGGTCGACCTGAAACAAAATATGGAGACACTGGAAACTTCACAGCAAAAAACAGAAGTAGAGATCACAGCATTAAAACAGGAAGTGAACGAACTGAAACGTGAAAACGAGAGACTTAAGCTTGTAAACAGACAATGTGAAGAAACATTCAATATCGTGAAGGAAAATTTTACAAAGCTCGATGAAGATTTCCAAAGGGGTTTGGAACAGATTGAGGAGAAAAGAATAGACTTTGAGAAGAATACGAGCACGATACTTGGCGACTTGAAAGTTGAAGTTCGTTATTTGTCAGTCACTTTGCTGGATTTGAATAAACACACCCTAGAGGAAATTGATAGAAGTATTCCAGAAATGGTCCAGGAAAAGTACGACATATTATCATTGACATTGAATTCTTCACTGACAAATTTACAAAGCGATTTACTAGCTACAAACTCCAGACTTACTAGGTCAATATCAAATCTGGAAAACGATCAGATTACGATTAAATCATCGATTGTTGGTAGGTATACTTTACTCTTATTAGCACGCATAGTAGTACTTTCTTGATAATTAATTTTTTCTACGATGTCTTGCAGAAAAATCAAAATGCCCTTCAGTGTGTAGTTTTAACGTTATATACAAACTATCAAAACTAATTGTAAAGAGCGATATATGGTAAGTGTCTCGATTGGCCCCTTAAAATGAATATCTTAATTTTACTTCATATATAGCTTTAATTTGTACAGCTATATATGCGACCTTTATTGGTCATTTTCATTTTGATCAAAATGCCGTTATTTTAGAAATATGACATAATAAAAATCACGTTTTCCCGCCATTTTAGCATATTTTGTATAAAACTGCTTATTTTCAAACAGTTTTTCTTCCAGAAAATATAGAGCGCAGCCTAGAACAAGTTTTATATTTTTACCAAAGATGTATCTATCCAATACAGAAAAATTATGTATGTTCTACACTGCGCTCTATGTTTCCCAGAATAAAAAACATGAAGAAAAAGGCATATTTTTGGGTTTTTTTGTTAGATAGCAAAAATAGCATTATTTCTCATGTCATTTACAGCTAGTGAGTGCATATAAATGTGAAAAATATATTGGAAGTATTTCTATTATAATCTCTTCATCAAAATAAATATCAATTAAACATCTCTGAATGTCATTCTAAAATGTTGATTTTTAGGGGGCCAAAATTGGCTCTTATCATGTATACTCCTTTATTTCAGGGTTAAAAATCAACAAAGTTCTTTTTTACATAAATGAAGATTATATTATTCGGGATTTGTTTCATGTTTATCCGTCCTGAATTAGATAAATGCTTTTCTAATGATTTTTTTTAAATAAATAGAAAAATGGATTACTTTCAAATTAGTACATGATAATTGATATGTGTGTTTATTGATGGGAGACTTTGATGCAAGATCTGGCCACCTACCTGATTATTTTATATAGTTTCTTTTTTGTCATAAGAACATATACTAGTATGTGATGATTTTACTCAAGATGGAATTGAAGCAAAAAACATTTTTCATTTTGGAGATTTATTCAAAACGTTTAAAATGAAATGTTCAAAACTCGAAAATCAATAATTTTTGTTGTAAACTGACTAGATTTTTATATTTAAGAAAAAATATTTATTTTGCCCGTTGCCCGTTCACAGAAAGAAATATTTTTTATTGCGTTTAATCGCAATATTTATTGCGTTTAAACGCAAAAGATTGCATCTAAACGCAAAACATTGCGATTAATTGCAATAATTATTGCGTTTAAACGCAAAGTAATTTGCTTTTATTCGCAAAAAATTGTGTTTAAACGCAATCATTTGCGATTAAACGCAATAATTTTTTGCACTTATACGCAGTACTCTTTGTATTTTAAGACAGAAGTCCTTTCTTCTAAGGATTCATTTTGCATTTAAACACAATGGTTATAGTCTTGTAGTTTGAAATTAGACAGCGATTAGCAGAAGATTATAAAAAATACTACGGTCCGATTCTTTAAAGAAGAACAGTTTGGTTCTGTGTCTTTTTTCAAAATGTTGCAGCTATTGAGAATCGAAGTTAAACAGTGGCAACCTAACAACCAGAGTTTCTTACACCTGTTAGATTTTAATTTTGATTTCATATAATAATATTATAATTCCATCTCCTAAGTTCTCGTGCTTTCTTCATGTGATCAAAGGAAAGGTACATATAGATGATATGGACATGTACATTTATATAAGTCTTAATATTCCATCTGTTATTTCATTAACCCCTTTATACAATGTTTAAACTTTGTGAAAGCAACGTGGGATGATGTTTTTTATATCATTTTTCTTCTTCTGTATTTTATTTCAAAAATCATTTTAAATTGCTTGCATAGTTTCGAGGTTAAAAAGTAAAAAAAAAAAAAAAAAAAAAAACAAGAGAAATTGTAATTTGTGTTTGTAGGGGAATATTAAAAGGCTTATCTATACATGCTAAACTATGCTCCGTTCTTAGGTTGTCTTTGTTTCCACAGACAGACACCTCTTTCTCCTCTTTAAAAACACACCAATGATTTTTAAAACCGTTTAGAAAACAATGTTTGTTCTGAAGAATCTTATTCTATAAAGCTAAGCAATGTACAATTCTTTTAATATTTTTCTTTCTTTGAACTGGCCTCGATGGGTTTCCGTAGTTTTGTTCAACTTAGCTGGAGAAAATGTTTAAGAAGTTGAACAAGATATATTTTTTTAGGTTTATGCATAAAATTATCAAGCAAGCCACTCGATTGATCACATCATGAAACCAAAAAACTAGACAATTATTGCTTAAATGAATTATTGACAATTTTGACATCCCTATGATATACTGTACCTTCTTTTTAAAATTATTTGTTACATCTCTTTGTTTTATCTGAGTTCCTTTTGGACTTTTGTAAAGACACTGACTTTTACAGTTGACGGCTTACTTTTACACCAGGAAAATCTACGGGAACTCTTTTGTGAAAAAAATATTGATCTCAGCATTCAACAAAATGATAATAATGGGCTATTTCAAAGATTCTATTACGTTGTCTTGGAAGGATACTGCAACGATCCTACCCTAAACACCTTCTATACCAGTCTTGACTAACTCTGCCGAGTTTTCCTACCGAAATGTTTCTTTTTCTTTATTTCATTTCTTAAGTTATTGAAAATAAAAGGATATATTAATTCGCTTGAATAATGCATCTAAATAATTTTTTTCTACCATCAAATATATTTTTGGGTTTGATAAATTATTTCAAAGCATCGAATACAATAACTTTCACCTCAATGGATGTTTTCTTATTTTTTTCAATTCCGTACCTCCGTACATGTCGAAGGTTTAAATGTCCAAGTAAGCCGTCATCTGTAAAAGTCAGTGTCTTCGCAAAAGTCCTTTTGTGTGAAAATCATTGCCAATTTAAGTTTTGTAAAGCAATGTCCGTGATATATATGTATATAAAAATTAAAGTATATTAGTATTTTAAAAAGGTTTGATTTTATTTTTAATTTAAGAACAGCTAACCTCATCACTTATTTCGTTTCGATACATGTTTCTGAATTTCATTGTGAGTAATTTTTGGGGAGGTTCACGATCGACTCGTTCTTTTTATCTCGCATTGATGATTTCTTCTTGTATGTTTTTCAATTGCAGATGATTTTAACAAAACCATAGCCGGTCTACAAAATGATGTTAAACAATCACAGTATGACCAACTGAAATTATCTTCTACTGTCTCATCCCTTGAGGTGTTCCGAATGAATGTTACCAGCAATCGTTGTGGTATGTGAAATACTTTCTTTGTAAATATGGGGAAAACATTAAGTTTTGCAACGTTGCGGGCACAGTTAAAAGCCCATGGGGCACAACTAAAGTGAGTTACAGTACCCGCATCGTTATTCTTTACAAATCTATCGTGTCCTATCGTGCATGTATCCTATCGTATCGTGCGTGTATCCTATCGTATCGTGCTTTCCGTTTATCGTGTTTTGCGTTTTCTATCGTGTTTTCCGTTTATCGTGTTTTGCGTTTATCGTGTAGATCGTTTATCAGGTTCTATCGTGAATCGTGTTTTGCGTTTATCGTGTATATTCGGAAACCCTCGCTTTTTATCTTTACTACAGAAAGAAACTACCGAGGTATTCCAAGTTTCTTTTTCGTTTTGTTAACTAATTAAAATAAGATTATTTTAAGCGTGGAAGGAAAAGAATAAATATATAAATAATGTTATTAATAAATTGAATAATTAATTATAAATTAATTTAAAAAAATAATCAAATCATATTAAAGCAGAGAATCAAAATTAATTTTTGAAAATGAAATAATCGATTCCCTGCTTTTTAGGTCACCTGAGTAAACTCAGGTGACCTATTGCCATCTGTTTTCGTCCGTCGTCGTGCGTTGTGCGTTAACATTTGAACATTTTCAGCTTCTTCTCTGCAACCACTGAACCAATTTCAACCAAATTTGGCCTAAAGCATCTATGGGTGAAGGGGAACAAAAATTGTGAATTTCATTATCCCTGCCCCCCTGGGGCCTGAGGGGTGGGGCCAAAACCACTAAAATTAGTGCGATCTTTGAAAATCTTCTTCTTTACTCCTGGACATCAAGCAGTCAAACTGTTTGCATGATTGTAATCAGCATTGAGTCCTCTACCAAAATTGTGAAATTCATGGCCCTGGGGTCAAGGGTTCTAGTGCTAGGGCGGGGCTAAATAAGTATATAGTGAAAATGCATTATTTCTTTGAAAATCTTCTTCTCTGCTCCTGGGTATTAAATAAACCAACTAAGTGCATAGTTATAATGAGCAAGAGTGCCTCTACCAAAATTGTGAATTTTATGGCCCCAGTGTCAGGGGTTCTGGTGTTAGGGTGGGGCTCTATAGATTATATAGTGAAAATACATGAATTCTTTGAAAATCTTCTCTACTCCTAGGTATTAAATAAATAAACTAAGTGCATAGTTATGATGAGAAAGGGTGCCTCTACCAAAATTGTGAATTTTATGGCCCCAGGGTCAGGAGTTCTGGTGTTAGGGCGGGGCTTTTTAGATTATATAGAGAAAATACATGAATTCTTTGAATATCTTCTTCTCTGCTCCTAGGTATCAAATGAATAAACTAAGTGCATAGTTATGATGAGCAAGAGTGCCTCTACCAAAATTTTGAATTTTATGGCCCCAGGGTCAGGGGTTCTGGTGTTAGGGTGGGGCTCTATAGATTATATAGTGAAAATACATGAATTCTTTGAAAATCTTCTTCTCTGCTCCTAGGTATTAAATAAACTAACTAAGTGCATAGTTATGATGAACAAGAGTGCCTCTACCAAAATTGTGAATTTTATGGCCCCAGGATCAGGGGTTCTGGTGTTAGGGCGGGGCTTTATTGATTATATAGTGAAAATATATGAATTCTTTAAAAATCTTCTTTTCTGCTCCTAGGTATTAAATGAATAAACTAGGTGTATAGTTATGATGAGCAAGAGCGCCTCTATCAATTTTGTGAATTTTATGGCCCCAGGGTCAGGGGTTCTGGTGTTAGGGTGGGGCTCTATTGATTATATAGTGAAAACACATGGATTCTTTGATTTTTTTTTCTCTGCTCCTAGGTATTAAATAAACTAACTAAGTATATACTATAGTATTGATGAACAAGAATGCCTCTTCCAAAATTGTGAATTTTATGGCCCCAGGGTCGGGTTTCTGTTGTTAAGGCGGGGCTCTATTGATATTATAGTGAAAATACATGAATTCTTTGAAAATTTTCCTTTCTGCTCCTAGGTATTAAGCAGGTGAACATACCTATATAGTTATGATGAGCAAGGGTCCTAATCTTCCAGAATTGTGAATTTTAAGGCCCCTGGGTCAGGAGTATCATAGACGGGGGGAGGGGGGGGGGCTACTTATATACTAAAAACGAATGAATTGTTTGAAATCTGCTCCTTGGTATTAATCAAATATTTTTGAAAAGCAAGGATGCAATTGTGCAATGTTTGGATCTAGGCCTAAGGGTCAGGGGTTCATGTGTGAAAGGGGCACTACTGATTAGTTGACATGCATTTTTTGCTCCCCTACCCTGCCTTTGGGTATTCAGTAACCAAACTAAGCAACTGCTAAGTGTATTGTTATAATGATCAATGGTGCCTCTTTCAAAAATTGTGAATGCCATAGCATCTGGCTTAAAACATGAATCAAATTCAGTCACTGGAAAGTTGTTGCATAATGCTCAGGTGACCTATAAGGCCCATGGGCCTCTTGTTTTGTTTTTTTTTTAGTTCATCGAATTGTATGATTTTCTGTCAAAATTAAATATTAATAAGATTTTCTTGAATTAGTCAGAGTCACTAGAGGATGATTTTCGGTAAGTCACGGTGTATACGTAACCCCCCCCCCCCAAAAATTAAAATAATAATTAGCAAGGGATCTATATGTATCTTTTTTAAATGCAATATTCATTTTCTCCCAAACAATTTTCTGGTACTATTAGGAATGTGTTTTCACCTCTGATCCGCATGTATGCACGATTATTTAAAATCTTGAGTAAAAAAATAATAATAACGAAGCATTTAAGACATTGATCCAGATAACTTTTACACTGATTTTGTCCGTATAGATATTATTTTTATCACTATCTTAGTAGTTAAATTCCTTTATATGTCTAAATCTTAAAAAAAATCTAAATTATAAAATGTAATGCATGAAAACGCTCTACCCGATTTATCACACCATGGCAGTTACAATAAAATAGAAGTTTTTCATTAATTTTATCTGGCATTAGATAATCTAATAATAATAAACAGGAAAAAACATGATGACTTTTAACAGCTTACCTTTTTGGCGTGGAAATATACTGAAAATATAATGCACCTGAGTGTCAAATCGAAGATTGATTGATTGATTGTATACTTTCAACGTCCCTCTCCAATATATTTCACTGATATGGAGACGTCACCATTGCCGGTGAAGGGCTGCAAATTTAGGCCTATGCTCGGCACTTACGGCCTTTGAGCAGGGAGGGATCTTTATCGTGCCACACCTGCTGTGACACGGGGCCTCGTATCGTGTATCCTGTAAAGAATAACGATGCGGGTACTGTACATTCATCCTCATTAGATTTTCAAAAAAAAAAAAAAATTCCCTTCTTGTTCCCAAGAAAAATGCGCAATAGTAGTGATGAAACCATGAATCTACGTCAGATTTTACTGTAGCGCCTCCCCATAGGACCTCACTAGATGACGAGAGGCAAATCTATGAAATTACTATTTAGAGTAATGGGCAAACAGTTGACCAATACTGTCCAATCACAGTCACCTAGCATCGATTTTGAAAGAGGGGGTGGGGGCCGTCAGAGAATTTTTTTTTTACTCACCTAAAAAGTGTGTGGTGAAAAAGTTGACAAGCAAAAAAAAAAAAAAAACGGCCAGTTGCCAAAGTCGAAAATCCTATTTCGGGGGTTGGGGTGGGGGGTGGGGGTTGGGGTTAAGGGACTAGATGGACAAGAACTGACCAATCACTTGACGCAATTCATTATCATGGTTGTCATAGTTATTTACTGAAGGAATACATAGGGAATGTGGCCCTGACCAACCCCCAAGGGTCATGATTGGAACAAACTTAAATCTACACTACTTGAGAGTATTTCTTTAAAAATATGACTAAGCATGGCTTTGTTGTTTTTAGAAAAGGTTTTTGAAGATATTTCATATATACTGTAAATGTATTGTATTTAGCTTGTACGATATCTGGAGGAAACTGATTTTTGAAAAAATTAGCGAAGATTTTATTTAGCGCATTTACTTTTACTTGTGTTCCGATTTATATACCCGGGTATACATGTGCTAGACATTAAATAGCGTTGTATACTTGATTTAGCGGAGGTTTCTTTCCGCCAAAGACGCTAAAAAGAAAGCACAGCTAAGTTTAATATGTTTAAAGCATTCCCATGTAAAGCTTTGACCCCTTTTATGATCTATCTTCACCCCCAGGGTTATGATATAAACAAATCTAAACCTAAAGTATGGAATGAAGTTTTTACATAAGTTTCATCTTTGCTTGCTCAGTGGCGTACGAAGATTATTTTAAGAACCACATTTTTCACAAATTCTTAATCATCTTCCCTTGAAAGAAGGCGTGGCATTTCAAACTTAAATCCCCTTTGTCGTCCAAGGATGCTTTTGTGGCAAGTTTGGTTGAAATTTATGAGGCGCCGTTTTGGTATTTACTACCAAAGAGGGATATCACCTATTCGAATCATAGGCACTCCCCATCTTAATTGTTAAAAAAAAATATCTCTACTATACTATAAACAATTTTGTTTATAGTATAGTAGAGATATTTTTTTTAACAGTTAAGATGGGGAGTGCCTATGATTCGAATAGGTGATATCACCTATATATTCATTTCCAATAGGTGATATCACTTTTTGCCAATGGATTCAAAAGACAGCAGATAAAATATAAGCTACAGGTACTCGGTGATTTATAGATATAGTGTTGTGTTTTTGTATATAGGCCTAGTATGTACTATTCAGATATTTGAAGAATTGAATCATAACAGACGTGGTTGCAAGTAGATAATATTCAAAATACCGGGGGGAGGGGGGTCTGCTTCACTTTCATATCCATGTCGTACATGTCATAAAATCAATGTTTTTGTAGACTTGTCAAAAAGAGTGGCCTTCACCGCTGGAGTGACGTCTACCAGCAGTTCCTGGAACAGCGGAACATTGGTGTTCACACAAGTCATCAATAACGTGGGAGGAGGTTATAACCCCAACACCGGAATCTTCACCGCACCAGTGGACGGAGATTACGTGTTCTACGTCAGTATCCAAAGTTATAATCACAATCATGATATATATGTAGATATTGTACTTAACGGATCTAAAAAGGTTCGAGCGATGGCAGAAGTGTATACTTCTGATGATGCTTACGAAACTGGTACAAACCTGGTGACTTTGCCATTGGATCAGGGAGACACAGTATGGGTCAATCATTATTCTGGATCAGGTTATTATACCTACAGTGACGCTCCTGTCACCACCTTCTCTGGATTCTTGTTGTAAACAACTCGATGCAATATTTGAATGCACAAAACTCATATTTTATTGTATAAATATCGTATCTTAGAACTTGAATAAAAGAATTATGCATAGCAATTTGAATTTCATTGATATCTACAACTCCTTTTTTTGCAATGTCATTGTTATGTACAGTCAAAAGAGTTGTAGCAGGAATTGACATGCAAAGATGGACCAGTTCCTGAACCAATTTAGTGTCCAGGGAAGATGTGGTCGATTAGAATACAAGGTTCCCATCATTCAAAACATCCAAGGTAACAGGAAAGCAGTATACACCACGTTTTCTTAGTCCCTGTACAATCGAAAACGTAACATTATGTTACCTGTTGTGCGCCATTCTTTGCCCGTCTGGTCAGAAAAGCTCACTTGAGCCTTCGGCTCAGGTGCATGAGCTGAAAAGTAAGATTTTTTATCTAATAAACAACTGCTTCTTAAATATCAAACTGAATTTAACAATTTTCAAATCACAGAATTTATCATCACAAATATATATTGTTAAAAACCACTGATACTATTTTCAATTACTCTAAAGCTGATATTTAAAGGATGCTAGTTAAGTACTTCTTCATGAGAAAGAAGAAAACACTTGGATTTTTATTCATGCTATGACCATCCAAAATATTTTTCTATTTATGCGCATGTTATCTACATGCGCCCTGGTTTTTTTTTTTTTTACTCTACTGATCAAAAAGACAAACAAGAGCAGGAGACCTAGCTACAACCGATTATTCTGGTTGCATTTTCTTTAGTTTGCAATTTTTTTGCATTATTTATGAAACTTAATCCTTTGATGTTCTGAAGGACGTCATTTTCATGACAAACAAGCCTAAGTTCTATTTTTGACTTTTTGTGTGGACTTTTTGACTTTTGACTAGAGTAAAAACATAAGACAGTTGTTCTTTAGTTTGATATTTTATTTCAGTGATCAACCTTTGTGAACCAAGGAAAATTGAAAATGAGATAAATGACATTTTAGATCATGTAAAAATTACTGAAAGCAACCTAGCTAGTTTATACAACATAATTCTATAAAACCATATTCCTTCATAGCTATTTCCTACAAATAGCTTTAAAATGAACATGAATAACAAAGAATTTGATATGTAACAAATAAATAATGATTTAGACTCCCATAGAGAGAAAAGAGATAAAAATACTAGTAAATAAATATAATTAATAAATTATATTCTTCAAAATAAAAGAAAGACTTATCAAATGTACATGTACTTGTAAGATATTATGGACGGAGTTGCACAATACAGTCAATCTGAGCTATGTAAATTCACTCAGGATGGATACATTGAGATCTCAAAAATACTGTACATATGTATATTTTGCAAACATTTGTTAAGAACATTTGTAAATGTAATTTTTTAAATTATTATAATAATACTCATTTTTGTTTGTCATTTTTAATAGAACAACAAATACTTTTCAACCATTTCAATTCACATCAAAATTAAATTTGTTGATTTAATTCTTGAATGAATGTTATTTTATTATTACCAAGGATTTCTAGAGTAAGATTTAACATAAACAAGATTGAAAAAGTATATAAAAAGTTTTGTTTTTTTTAAATAATAGGCATATTTTGAGAGTGGGATGGGGGTGGGGGTGTTAAATCATGCTTCTTTTTTAATCATTAAAAGAGAAATTGTAAATACAATGTATATAATATAGAAAATACCCTGTTTAATATATTATAAAAATGTTTTAAATAAACACACTCTTTATATCATTAGAGATGAGACACATTTCCTTAATGGCACAGTTAAAAGTGTATATATAAACCATCCATCATTGTATTATCAATATTATTTTCTATTCAAAAAAATTAACTCCGATCAAATAACCATAAACTTAAATTTAGAAATGTTTGCAATAAATTTTTAAGTCATATTATTTAATGAAAACTATCAAATCCTTGATATTAAAATACATAACTTTCATTGAAAGATGAAAAAATTCTATTTGAAAATTTGATTTTAGTGTCTCAGTACAAAAATTTATAGACTATGTTATAATTTCAACAATTAATGAAATGGGAAAAAAACAAACTAAGGCTAGTCACATGACAGATCACATGACTTTTTTGTAAATATCACATGACAACACACACCCGACTGTCTCTGTCAGGATTAGAGCTGTTTCTTCCCTTCACTTTGGCTAGCTCACTCTGAAAAAAATCAATTAAACTGTCCATCATAAAATGATTGAAAGATGACAAAAATACTTGGTTCTATAATTTTGATGTTCTCTGTCAGAGGATTTCAAACTTACATACTTTTTTTTATAAACTTGAAATGAACAACAGTCTTAATCCTTATAATAAATATGTATAGATAGTCCTTCCTTTAACAGTTTACAGAGTGATTATGGTTACCTGTAAAGAAGTGAGTAACTTATGATTGTCCTGTAACTTAGAACAATGGGACTGTAGTTCTTGTTTTAACATTTGTATCTGAGCCTCCAAATTCCTTTCTCTCTCCTAAAACAATATACATGTATACATAGATGAGAAAAAAATAACATAATTCATAGATATTTACTTAATAGAGGTGTTGTACTGATAGACGGAACCAGTCAGCTTCATTTCAAAGTAAAAGGCAAAATTTTTACATTTCCCAACAAAACAAACTTAATTCTTTGTACTCTTAAAACAGGAAGAACAATACACCAAGACTGATGTGCAAATAATTTTTGCTGTTTCGTGTACCTGAGCTTTCCTCTCTCTGGTATATTACCTATACCTTACCTGAGCTTTCCTCTCACTGGTATTTTACCTATAACGTACCTGTGCTTTCCTCTCTCTGGTATTTTACCTATAACAGACCTGTTTACCCATAACGCTGTTTCTCAGTATTTTTTATTAGATTTTTCCGTGAGATTTGATATTTGCCAGTAAGATTTCACTTTCCATCAATTTTACATATATTAAAAGAGAAAAACTGCTTTACTGATTACAAAAACATGGTTTAACAACAAGGTCTTTGTCATTTAATAATACCACAGCGTTTTGGGAACCTAACATCGCTGTGTTTGAAATCTTTAGCGATAAAAAGGGGAACATACTAAAGACCTGATATTTTGACCTGATGAAAATATTTCGTATAAATTATCAATTTAAGCATTACAATTCATATTTCTGGAGCAAATATATCATTCATAGTAGCTAAAAATTATATACTAAAATACACTTTTAGTGGATAATAAGTAGACGTTTTGCTTTCTGTTAAGGTATATCCACAAAACTTGATGACCTGATATTTTGAATGACCTGATATTTTTACTTTATAGACCTGATATTTTAAAATGAAATGGAATTGCTGCAAATATTCTAATTTTATAAAGTTTAACATTGAAATCTGCTTTATTTTCCTAAAAATATACTACAAGAATGAATCAGGTCATTCAAACTCATCACATCATTTTAAAATAACAGGTCATTAAAAAATATCAGGTCATTAGTAGGAAATCATCAGGTCATTTCAAATCTAAGACAGATCATAACGAAAACTAACTGTTAAATTCCAAACTTATGTTTTTTCGATTTCCGTATTTTCATAATGGCAAAACGTGAGACGTATTTTAGACTAAAAATCCGTACAAAATACGGCGAAATCGTAAGAGTAAACAGGTCTGCTATAATGTACCTGCGCTTTCCTCTCTCTGGTATTTTACCTATAACATACCTGAGCTTTCCTCTCTCTGGTATTTTACCTATAACGTACCTGAGCTTTCCTCTCTCTGGTATTTTATCTATATATACCTGTGCTTTCCTCTCTCTGGTATTTTACCTATAACATACCTGAGCTTTCCTCTCTCTGGTATTTTACATATAACTTATCTGAGCTTTCCTCTCTCTGGTATTTTACCTATAATGTACCTGTGCTTTCCTCTCTCTGGTATTTTACCTATAACATACCTGTGCTTTCCTCTCTCTAGTATTTTACCTATAACATACCTGAGCTTTCCTCTCTCTGGTATTTTACATATAACTTACCTGAGCTTTCCTCTCTCTGGTATTTTACATATAACTTACCTGAGCTTCCTCTCTGTGGTATTTTACCTATAATGTACCTGAGTTTTCCTTTCTGTGGAATTTTACCTATAACGTACCTGTGCTTTCCTCTCTCTGGTATTTTACCTATAACGTACCTGAGCTTTCCTCTCTCTGGTTTCTCCATTTCTCTGGTATTTTATCTATAACGTACCTGAGCTTTCCTCTCTCTGGTATTTTATCTATAACATACCTGAGCTTTCCTCTCTGGTATTTTACCTATAACGTACCTGAGCTTTCCTCTCCAGCTCCCGTTTCTCCATCTCTCTCTGGTATTTGTGTTCTTCCTCCATTATCCTCAATCTCTCCTCTGCTTTCTTCTTTTCTTCACGGGTGATCTCTAACTCATTCTGTCGTCAAAATAATATGTACTATAAATTACTTGAAAAATCTACATCTTACATCATTCAATTTATGCACTATCACATTAGCACAACAACCTAACTAGGGGACAAGACCACATTTATCAGTAGAAAATGGGAAATGACTAGCCTACATACTCAGATATGACCATGGAGAGCATCTCTTCTCTAAAATAAAACTTTGACCTCTCACATAAATAACTTCCATTTGTTCTTCCCAATGTCTTGTATACTTCAAAATAAAACAAAACAACTGTACCTGAAGTGCCTCTTGTTTTCTTTTTACTGTGACGTCTGAGACAAAACCTCGAGCGGCCAATTTTTCTTTCCAGGACAAATCATTTCTGAAGCATAATACAACAAAATCTATAAGTAAACAGTTTTTCAAAAAAGCTTTTTTAACTAACAACACAGACAGGAAAATAAGACACATTTAGCAGAGCCAATTTTTATAAAAATGTATTTAGGTCAAGGTTGCTAAATTTGACTCACCCTCTTGTCCTTGGTTGACCTTTGCCCCGGGGCAGGGGTCTCTGTGGCCCTGGTGGTAGTCTGTTCTGTGGGGGTTTCTTGGCAGTTGTTTGTGGGCTCTTCCTGATCCCAGGGGTGTCACTAACCCTTCTACTCCTGGCCAAGCATATAATCAAGTTTACAGAATATGAATTTCTTGATGTCAATATGTAAGGAATGATAGAGTTAATGTAATCAGTATACCTGGTTTACTCCACTTTTAAAGTAATTTCTTTTTGGTTTAATTAGAATTCTTACCCGTTGTCAGTTGAGCAGTCAATCTCGCTCTCTGTACTGTTGGTAGATATTGACCGACGAGAGAAATCCTGGACCTTCACCAGTTTAGACTGAAGTAGAATTTCAAAAACTGTTTGATAACAATCTGTTATCTTTGTAAAATATTTTAATGAAAAAGATGGCATTTCTTTACTTTTCAAAGCACAGGGGAATGATAAATCTGATTAAGACACAATTATTTACTGTATTAGAGGCATTTGGTGTTTTGGTCTGCTCTTTCTTCTTGTCTCTTGGACTTATTTCTATAATTCCTGGATCTAAATAAGAAAAAAAGAGATTAAAGAAAAAGTAAACATTGCCATTTAATAAAATTATACCTTTGCGAAATACACAACCCAAAATACCAAAATCACTATTCTGATAAGTTTTTAAAAACTTTGACAAATTATGCAAATGTTACACCGAATGCTTCAATGTATATGTACTTACTTGGAGCTAAGTCTTTGTTGATCTGTATATTGGACATAGAGCTGTCAACAACTCTTCTATGTAAGGCATCATCTGATTGGTCACTTGTGTCGTCTGCTTCATTTCCATCATCCTTGGATTCATGTTCACTGAATCTAAATTCATTTCTTATCCAAGATGGAACCTAAAAAAAACGGTTTTTAATATATTTTTGTCTGATTGATCACTATGGACAAGCACATCATGGTTATAAAAAAGACACAAACTGATGAAGCATGTTCTTATCTCTATGAAGGTAAAGAAGATTATAATTCAGTCACCAAGTTCTTTTGTAAGAAATTTGCGTCACTTGTCTTTCAATAATTTTCCTCTATTAAATTATATGCTTCTTTCATAGAGAATAATACTACATGTACATACTGTGCCCTGAGTGTCGATTTCTGAGGCTTCTGATGAGTATTCATCCCCTCCCTCCCGACTAGAGGCAGTGTATAGGGCCTGGGTCTCCGCTGGAACATTGAGTGTGTTACCACTAAATCTCTTCCTAAAACACAGAATTAAAGTTAAGACTAGAGGCAGTGTACAGGGCCTGGGTCTCCAACTGAACATTGAGCGTGTTACCACTAAATCTCTTCCTAAAACACAGAAGTAAAGTTAAGACTAGAGGCAGTGTACAGGGCCTGGGTCTCCGCTGGAACATTGAGTGTGTTACCACTAAATCTCTTCCTAAAACACAGAAGTAAATTTAAAACTAGAGGCAGTGTATAGGGCCTGGGTCTCTGTAACACAGAATAAAAGTTAAGACTCGAGGCAGTGTCAGGGGATGACAAATCCCATTGCCCGACGCCCGGGGCTAGTTAATTTTAGGGGTGGGCAAGTGAAATTTTATCAACCACTTGCCCGTGGGCAAGTCACTTATCAAAAATAGAATTTATTTGTAGGCCATAAATTTAAAGCTCGGCATAGGGGCTTGTATTTGTCTTTCTCATTTTAAGCTCTACTGGTCAGAGACCAGAAGAGCTTATGCGATAGTAATGCGTCCGGCGTCCGTCCGTCTGTCTGTCTAGCTGTCTGTCTGTCTGTCTGTCTGTCCGTCTGTCCTAAAATTTAAAATCTGATTTCAATATTAATTGGCACACAAGTAGACTACACTAAGATACATAGAAAAGTACATCGGTTTTTAATTTCGATGAACGGTGTTGCCATGGTTACTAAAAATAGAATTCTCTGTAAAATTCCATAAAAACGCTACTCCTTCTACATTTTTTGTCTGATTTCAATATTAATTGGCACACAAGTAGACTACACTAATGTACATAGATTATGGCATCGGTTTTTGATTTCGATGAACGGTGTTGCCATGGTTACTAAAAATAGAATTTTCTGTGAAATTCCTTTAAAACGCTACTCCTTCTACAGTTTTGGTGTGATTTAAATATTACTTGGCACACAAGCAGACTACACTAAGATACATAGAATAGAGCATCGGTTATTGATTTCGGTGAACGGTGTTGCCATGGTTACTAAAAATAGAATTTTCTGTGAAATTCCTTAAAAACGCTTCTCCTTCTACAGTTTTGGTGTGATTTAAATATTACTTGGCACACAAGTAGACTACACTAAGATACATAGAATAGTGCATCGGTTTTTGATTTCGATGAACGGTGTTGCCATGGTTACTAAAAATAGAAGTTTCTGTGAAATTCCTTTAAAACGCTACTCCTTCTATAGTTTTGGTCTGACTTCAATATAACTTGGCACACAAGTAGACTACACTAAGATACATAGAATAGTGCATCGGTTTTTTATTTCGATGAACGGTGTAACCATGGTTACTAAAAATAGAATTCTCTGTGAAATTCCATTAAAACGCTACTTCTTCTACAGTTTTAGTTTGATTTCAAAATAAGTTGGCACACAAGTAGACTACACAAAGATACTTAAAAAGGTTCAATGGTTTCTGATACGTACAAACCAGTAGAGCTACAGTCTCAACAGAGACTTTTGGTTTTTTAAAAAACAAATATCTATAAATACAAAATTAGTTTATGGAGGGCAAGCAAAAATTCAGGTAGGGCAAGTCAATTTTGACGATCTACTTGCCCTTGGACAAGTGGCTTAAAAATCTATTTGTCAGCCCCTGAGTGTATAGGGCCTGAGTCTATGTAACACAGAATAAAAGTTAAGACTCGAGGCAGTGTATAGGGCCTGAGTCTATGTAACACAGAATAAAAGTTAAGACTCGAGGCAGTGTATAGGGCCTGAGTCTATGTAACACAGAATAAAAGTTAAGACTTGAGGCAGTGTATAGGGCCTGAGTCTATGTAACACAGAATAAAAGTTAAGACTCGAGGCAGTGTATAGGGCCTGGGTCTCTGTAACACAGAATAAAAGTTAAGACTCGAGGCAGTGTATAGGGCCTGGGTCTCTGTAACACAGAATTAAAGTTAAGACTAGAGGCTGTGTATAGAGCCTGGGTCTCTGTAACACAGAATTAAAGTTAAGACTAGAGGCTGTGTATAGAGCCTGAGTCTCTGTAACACAGAATTAAAGTTAAGACTAGAGGCAGTGTATAGGGCCTGGGTCTCCGACAGAACATTTAGTGTGTTACCACTAGGGCTGGGACGATACAACTTTTTCTATATCGATACTTATCATGATATTTGAGCCAAGATATGTCATGTATCACGATATGTTTAATTGCTTATAAAATCTTTTTCTGCATTGAAATAAACAAATTATTTTTTTGCAAATGAGAATAATTCATTCAAAATAGTTGTTTTTATGTTGTATTTTTTTTTTTCTCAAGTGGTGTTAATTATTATGTATTTCACTTCTATATTTATATTTAACTTAGTTATTTCATATATTAAACCCCAAATGTTAAATAAACAAAGAAAAACAGAAGTAAGATTTTTTGGGGCAATATTTCTATATTTTTTCAAATATATCAATATATCGTCCCAGCCCTAGTTACCACTAAATCTCTTCCTGGAACACAGAATTAATATAAAGACTAGAGGCTGTGTATAGGGCCTGAGTCTCCGCCAGAACATTGAGTGTGTTACCACTAAATCTCTTCCTGTAATTCCAGAATTAAAGTTAAGCATGATTTACCAAAAATCAAAGTTACCTCCCTTATTTTTTTCACCTTTTGCAAATAATAACTAAAAGGGGAAATCTAAAACAAGAGGCCCATGGGCCACATCGCTCACCTGAGAAGCTTTGACCATTCTGTTCTTTACCAGATTTCACCCTTGTTATACATAATGCATCCCCACATTACCCCACTGATCATAATTTAGACATTTTGAAATCTACACTACCCCATGATCCTTCCATTGGCACATGTGTTTCAGCTTTTTTGGCCCAGTGGTTCTTGAGAAGAAGATTTTCAAAGATTTTTCCTATATATTTCTATATAAAACTTTGATTCCCCATTGTGGCCCCGCCCTTCCCCCGGGGGTCATGATTTGAACAATTTAGAATCTACACTATACCAGGATGCTTCCACATAAGTTTCAGCTTTACTGGCCCAGTGGTTCTTGAGAAGAAGATTTTTTAATGACCCCACCCTATTTTTGTCTTTTCTTGATTATCTCCCCTTGCGAGGGGATATGTCCTTTCATTTTCACAATTTAAATTCCCCTTTACCCAAGGATGCTTTGTACCAAGTTTGGTCAAAATTGGCCCAGTGGTTCTTGAGAAGAAGTTGAAAATGTGAAAAGTTTACAGACGGACAGACAGACGGACAGACGGACGGACGACGGACAAAATGTGATCAGAAAAGCTCACTTGAGCCTTCGGCTCAGGTGAGCTAAAAAAGTCTTTGTGTACATGGAGATGAGGTCTTTCTGAAAATGGAAAAAAATATAATATCATGCTTGCTGACAAACCTGATTCCGATCTTTTTTCGTTTTTTCCGTCTTGGGGGTGGGGCGGTGGTCTCCATCTGAATGAAAAGATTCTCACCGTGGCAGAAAAACCCACTGATGGACAGCATCTCATCACCTGACTTGAGTATTCTAAAAATAAACATCTTTATAAGAAGGAAAGAATGTAAAAGCACCATTCATCATTATTTGAAATGTACAGTTCTGTGAGAAGGGATTATTTCATATCTTAACTAGTGCTAATTGTAACGGGAACCGTTACAGATGTTCCCCAAACGCTCCCCAAATCCCTTTTGATGCCATATTCCCTGTAAGCTTCTTTAAATAAGACAACATCTGTGCAATTTTTACTTTAACAACGTTTTCCCGAAAGGATACCAATTATATTCAAATTTTAACATTGCACGCGTGCCCATGTGAATGCACGTGCGTAATGATCATATAATCTTGTCTACACTTTCTATATATTTAAAAATTCTTTATATTAAAGCATTTAGTCCAAAAATATTTAAAAAATCACTCATTTAAGTGTATATTTAATTTCACTCGTTCCAAATGCACGCACGTGCGTGCACGTGCATGATGACCATACCCTCTTGTAGGAGGCCTTTATATCTATCTATGTTCTAAATCCCATCCTGATTGGTTGAAAACCAATGGAATTATTGCCATTTCAAGTTTCGGCAAATCAGATTGCAGCACACGTGCATCCACGTGATTTGAAGAATCTTTTTCTATATTATATTGTAGAATATCCTAATGCATGACTATGTTTTAAATTTCAAAGCATTTAGTCAAAAAACAAAGGAGATGTAGCCATTTAGAGTTTCAGCCAATCAGATTGCAGCACACGTGCATGCGCGTGATTTCTTGAAATTTTTTGTATATCATATTGCAGGATATCCTAATGCGTCGCTATGTTTTAAATTTCAAAGCATTTCGTCAAAAAACAAAGGAGATATAGCCATTCAAAGTTTCAGCCAATCAGATTGCAGCGCACGTGCATGCGCGTGATTTCTTGAAGTTTTATCCATATTGTATTGTAGAATATCCTAATTCATGACAATGCTTAAAATTTCAAAGTATTTTGTCGAAAAACAAAAGAGATATTGAGATTTTTGTTTCAGCCAATCAGAGCAAAGCGCACGTGCATGCGCGTGAGTTCGTGCTAATTTGACAGTGTAATTTTATTAACACTATTAATATATACTCATGTACTGAGTTTCAAAGCATTTTATCAAAAAATGTAAAAGTTATAGCTACATTAAGTAAATCAGTCAATTTACTCATTTCACGCGCACGCACGTGCAGGCGTATGCGCGCAAAATGACCTTCGTTCCGCACACCTACACAACACACCTATTAACCCTAAAAAGGTTTTAGCTCAGTTGGGTGAACAGTTTCTGAGAACACTCGCGGACAAAAAAGTACCGGAGAACAAATAAGAAAAAAAATAATAATAACTAGATGCGTTCTTGTTGCTGGGGCAACAAGCAGGTCTTCCGACGACTTCTGTTTTGGAATCTATGCTGTGTCAGAACATGGAATAGATTTCTTAATGTATTTTTTTCGTTTACGTTCATTTACAGTAGTTTCTCAACACAGATCGTGATTGGTCCAGGTATTTCACGAAATATCTCTAAATATAGCTTTTAAAAATCGGCAAAATCTTCCACACATGTTATAAAAGAGTGAAAAGTAAATTGCATCTGAAAAAAGACAAAAACAAACAAAAAATTTGGGGAACGCTCCGAGCGGGATTCGAACTCCCGACAGTAAGACAAATTTTGGTTCGGTCATATCTTTGCAATAAACGCACGCATGAAGAAAATGAAAACATATATAGATATCTTTGAAGACGCTCTATAAACCCTGTAAATTCAAAAGAAAATAATTGAAAAACCAAAAAGTTGAAAAATTAGACTTTTTGAATTCCCTTCTGTTTGCGACCGGAAGTCAGAACAACGAAAAATGAAGGTCGATCAACACATCTACAATCGATGTTCTAACACCTCAGCAAGTTTCAGTTTCATATCTTTTGCCGTTCTCGAGAATTTTTTGCGACAAAATTCCATTTAAAACTGAAAAAAGTGAGAAACAAAGAAAAAATTCAAATGCCCCCAGCGGGATTCGAACCCCCGACAGTGTGACAAATTTTGGATCGGTCATATCTTTGCAATAGATGCACGCACGAAAATGTTGAAACCATATTTAGAATTCTTAAAAGATACTCTATCAACCCTGAAAATACAAAAGAAAAATATTGAAAAGCAAAAAAGTTGAAAAATTGGTAGTTTTGAATTCACTTCCGTTTGCGACCGGAAGTCAGAACGACGAAAATTGAAGGTCGATCAACACATCTACAATCGATGTTCTATCACCTCAGCGACTTTCAGTTTCATATCTTTTGCCGTTCTCGAGAATTTTTTGCGACAAAATTCCATTTAAAAAATACAAATTTCCACAAAAATCGCGAACGGAGAAAAATCTCAAAAAAGTGAGGGACACCCCTGGAGATATTAATATGATACATCATCCCTGAGAAAATCGTTCAAATTGAACCACGCACAGCGGAGATATGACCTGTACTATGAAAAGTGGAATAATAATAATAATAATAATAATAATAGAAACCAGAAGGAAAACAATAAGGTCTTCCGAAGGAAGTCGGAAGACCTTAATAAACACCACTTACTGTCATTCTTTTCATTTACAGGACCTTTACCTTTGATATTTGATATTATAGACATAGTAAAACCTTTAATAAGCAAAAATTTGTGTAATGTATACCCCACCCCCTCTTTTCCCCCTGCGCAATGGCAACGTAGACTTTCTCTCTAAACTCTAAACCAGGCATCGTATTAACATAATATTTTCAGAATACTTTACAAAAGACTCCATAAAAACTTTCTGGATAGTTTAATGGTCATTATCTCATTTACCTACAAGATATACATTTTATCGGCAAGAAAAAGAAATTCAGAAGTGCCTAAAATTCCTTTACTGATGATCGAAAAAACAAAATATACATTTTATCTAGAATTTCTTCAGTATCTTTGATGTCCTTTGCTTCTCCTGTTATGATAAGTTAATTTCCTATCAGATATTTATTTTCTTTTTCAAATATCAGATTTATCTTATTTTTATTTAGAATTAATTCATCTTGTAAAATATGCTTCTTTCTTTCTTTTTTTTTTTTTAAATCATGGAATGGGTATTGATGTTTTTTTTTCCCTGTACATTCTAAGCTGACATGATTTGACTTTAATTAAAGAAAGTCTGTCTACGAAAACTTCAGGATCCGCGCCCGTATTTTAATTGTACGCATTTCAGGTAGCAGCGATTTTAGTTTCGTACTAAAGTCCCGGTCAAATATCTTAAAACACTGAGATCTCTCATGTTTGATGTGGTATTTGATGTAGCAAAATGAAAGGAACTATTATGGGATACATGACCAGTCTAGCAGAGCGCTTGTTGAAAAAGTATAGGTACGCAGCTAATAGGACCAAACCTTACTTTCGCTTTCTACGGTCACCAATCGTGCAAAGAACGATAACTCTAATTACGCGATGTTAAGAAGAGAGATCTAAAAGTACTAAATTTTTAAGGCTCTGAAACTTCTTTAAGGGGTCAAAAAGTGATCCCACGGATCATAATAATTAGAGTGTGCTCATTTTGCTGAATTCAAATCTGAAAACTGTTTGAAAATCCATTGACAAATAAAAAAAAGTTACAAAAAATCGACAAAATCCTCAATACATGTTTTAAAAGAAAGAAAAGTTATTTCAAACTGAAAAAAGTGAGAAACAAAGAAAAAAAATTCTAATGCCCCCAGCGGGATTCGAACCCCCGACAGTGTGACAAATTTTGGATCGGTCATATCTTTGCAATAGATGCACGCACGAAAATGTTGAAACCATATTTAGAATTCTTAAAAGATACTCTATCAACCCTGAAAATACAAAAGAAAAATATTGAAAAGCAAAAAAGTTGAAAAATTGGTAGTTTTGAATTCACTTCCGTTTGCGACCGGAAGTCAGAACGACGAAAATTGAAGGTCGATCAACACATCTACAATCGATGTTCTATCACCTCAGCGACTTTCAGTTTCATATCTTTTGCCGTTCTCGAGAATTTTTTGCGACAAAATTCCATTTAAAAAATACAAATTTCCACAAAAATCGCGAACGGAGAAAAATCTCAAAAAAGTGAGGGACACCCCTGGAGATATTAATATGATACATCATCCCTGAGAAAATCGTTCAAATTGAACCACGCACAGCGGAGATATGACCTGTACTATGAAAAGTGGAATAATAATAATAATAATAATAATAATAATAGAAAACAGAAGGAAAACAATAAGGTCTTCCGAAGGAAGTCGGAAGACCTTAATAATAAGAAACCGAGTAAAAACAATATGTTCCCAAACTCCGTTTGGGGAACATAATAAGGGGCTGATTTAAGACACTCGTACATGTGACATATCATGTAAATTGATACCTCATCAAATGCATGGGAGGGAAGATTATTTCTGAGTTTTCCTGGGGTCCCTGCTCAGATTCTGGCTTCAAGCTGCCTTCACTGGGGGTCCTCTTTCTGACACTACCTGTAGATACAACGGGGGATAATAGACAATCACAGATCTTATTGCTCTTAGATGCCTCATGTGAGCATCAAATGCAAAAACAAAGATAGGAAGTCAGAAAAAATTACCATGATTATATCTTTTAAGATACAAAGCATAAAATTATCAGAATTCTACTCATGATTTCCAAAATTTTTTATTAATTACAAACAGAAACACATCTGTAAGTGTTTAGTTTGTTTTACTAAAATTGGTATAGGTGCTTGCTTATCAAACTTCCTATTAATTGTTAAACATTACCATCCACTTTGATAATGTCATTTAACTCACTGAGTGGCCTGAATCCCATGGGTCCCTGAGGGGCTGAATCAGAGGGGGTGTTCCCACTTGAGCTGGGGATACCACTGTCTGTAAGACTGGCTATACTGGCCACACTGTCGATACTTTTCTGGCGTTGGTGGGCGGGGCTCTTCATCAGAGTGGCAGCCTCTCTTTCAATCTCTCCCTGGACTGAGGACTGGGATCCTACATCAATGTAAGCAAATCATCTGGGTATACTTTTAGGTCAGAAAAAGATCAAATGAATAATCAGAGAGTTAATAGTAATCATAATTCATGACCTTATTAGCTCTACCTAATATAAAAATGCAAGACAATAGAAAAGATGGAGAGACATGGAGCTTGACAATATTGGATACCAGAACATCCACCAACAATATCTTTAAGAGGTACATGTATTACTGTAAAAGTTTTACACTAGGCTGTGTTTTACAGCAATTTTGGTGGAAAGCAACCACACTAATTAAAGCATTAGGCTAAATTTAAATAAATATAAATATTAACAAATGCCCTAATTTCCCCACCTTGTACAGAGTCCATGTTGCTGGTGACACTCGTGACACTGGTGATGCTGGCCTGTCGTGAGTGGGCCTTAGTGACCCCTGACCTCGGGGTCACGCTCTCTAATCTCATGTTGTTGTTGTTGACGAAGCTGTCCGTCGTGCTGGACTTGGAGTCGTTATCCTGTGGGAGCCCCGACACAGGCGTCTTGTTTCTGAGGCCCCAGTAATACAGCTCATTAGAAGTTGTACTACACACTGTATAATGGTCCCCACATTGTACCCTCTGGAAAACATTGTCAATGTAAGAAAACATATATACAGTGCATATTGTTTACATTGCCATCATAAAACACATGGTCGAATAAAATGGTAGGATTGAAATTCTTGAATAAATTTATTCCATTTTAGTTTTTTAAAAACCAAGGCAATTTTTTGAAATTTGAATCCTTTTTGTGTACTATTTTTCATTAATGTTGTCTACAGTGATGACTAGTCGTAAAGGTAGTGCCTGGATTGTACACACATTTACCACTGTTTCCAGCATGGCCTTGACCTCTACAGGGGCCCGCGAGGGTTTAGTGTCGCCGATCCCTAACTGTCCCTCGCTGTTTTTACCAAACGTATAGATGTGTCCCGGCTCCACAATGACAGCTGTGTGACACGCCCCCATAGATATATCCTGGACTCGGTGTCGAGCTAGGGCCCTCACTGGGGTGGGGTTACTAGCCCCCTCTACCTCCGTCTGCAAGGGAATAGAAAATGTTACATTATCTCAAGCTCTATTTATATTCTAGGACTTTAAAGAATATCATAAATCAATCCTGTCATTTGATTGGATAAAAAATTAATCTAAATTGTATAATCTGGTTTGCCTACGTTACAATGACTTGCATCAAAAGTGTATCAATCCACTTGATGTTATGTTTGAAATATAAACAATTTGAAGAGTGAGGCATTTTTATGGGATAAATTGTCTTGTTTGATATAATTAATGATTGAAAATTAAACTATAAGGAATGAATCAAAGAGCAACATGTTTACCATGTTTTCAAAATCTTACATCACCTAGCTGTGGCATTTAAACAATGATGTCATGTGGCCTTTATGACTATATTACAAAAAGGCAAAGGCAAAGGAAAAATAAGTCATCAGCTTTATATTTATGAACTCAGAATAATGGAAAATTCTTAATCACTTTTTATTCCATTCTAAAAATTTAGGCTGGCTTCTGACCCATTCCTTCCCTCCAATACCTTGTGCCATGAGAAATGCCAAAGTTGACAAAAGCATAATTGATTTAAACATAAATAAAATTTATGCTAAGCATATCTGCAGCTAGGACAAAGCAATTCTAGCTGAACTGATTATTTAGAGCTGATATGGCAAGGGTGCATTATACATGTACAAGATTTCATGTGACAAGTCAAAAATATCATAGGTAAAGGACAATTTCGTTTGCCAATATATGTTAACACAGTTTTTATTTTATTAATATATGTGTCATCTAATCAACTGTGTCAGAGATAAAGAGTTTTATATAAAGGATAAATGTCTTTAGTACACATTCATCTGTATCATCACAAGACCATATAGACTCAAGTACATGTATAGCTGAAATGACAGTTACTTAATCTGGGAAGAAATTCTGCATTGAAAGGTAATTCTTTATAAAGACTTTAAAACTTAAGTTCAAAAGCATAACATTTATTTATATTTAAAATATAATAAAACATCTTGATTTCAAAATTCTTTTCAAGGGCTATTATTCATAAATTTGGGGAGGGGAGGTTTTTTTTAAAGGATAGTTAACTTTTCTTTGTAATAATTGGAGAATTCTACTTAAGGATATCCGATCCTCAGCCAGGAAGGATAACTCCAAAAATTAATATTTAATTTGAAATGCATCAAAATGAAGCTTGAAAATGAAATTTTTTCATGCAACAGTTTTCATTTTATCCATCTTTATAAGATTCAAGGTTTTTGGAAGTCTTAGAAAAGGTCTTATAAAAGTTGACATTTGTAGCCGATAATAGGGAAAAAAATAATACTAACAGTTTTAGAGAAATACGATTTTCTTGAAGACAGACTTAGATATCAATGCTTATTAGTATGATATTAAATAAGTGATTTGTGGTGTCTTGCAATGATAGCAAAAGCCTTTTGCACTAAGTATTACAGAATACATGTATATGACGGAAATAGAAGACAAACAAGAGGCCCATGGGCCACATCGCTCACCTGAGAAGCTTTGAACATTCTGTTCTTTACCAGATTTCCCCCTTGTAATACATACCGGTATTGTGACCCCACCCTACCCAATTGATCATAATTTAAACAATTTGAAATCTACACTACCATAGGATGCTTTGATTCAACATTGTAAAACTTTGATTCCCCATTGTGGCCCCGCCCAACCCCCGGAGGTCATGATTAGAACAATTTAGAATCTACACTATCCCAGGATGCTTCCACATAAGTTTCTGCTTTTCTGGCCCAGTGGTTCTTGAGAAGAAGATTTTTCCTATATATTGCTATGTAAAACTTTGATTCCCCATTGTGGCCCCGCCCAACCCCTGGGGATCATGATTAGAACAATTTAGAATCTACACTACCCAGGGATGCTTCCACATAAGTTTCAGCTTTTCTGGCTCAGTGGTTCTTGAGTAGAAGATTTTTAAAGATTTTTCCTATATATTTCTATTTAAAACTTTGATTCCGCATTGTGACTCTGCCCTATCCCCGGGGGTCATGATTTTAACAATTTAGAATTTATACTACCCCAGGATGCTTCCACATAAGTTTCAGCTTTTCTGGCCCAGTGGTTCTTGAGAAGAAGATTTTTTAATGACTCCACCCTATTTTTGTCTTTTCTTGATTATCTCCCCTTGTGAGGGCCGGGACTTCGCCCTTCATTTTCACAATTTAAATTCCCCTTTACCCAAGGATGCTTTATACCAAGTTTGGTCAAAATTGGCCCAGTGGTTCTTGAGAAGAAGTCGAAAATGTGAAAAGTTTACAGACGGACAGACAGACGGACAGCTAGACGGACAGACGACGGACAAAATGTGATCAGAAAAGCTCACTTGAGCCTTCGGCTCAGCTGAGCTAAAAATACCAAAATAAGTATGAAAAATCATGACAAAATCTCTGAATGCCTAGATACCTATAATTTTTTAACTTCAAATATATTTTGTTGATCAATTTGCAATTAGAAAATGCATTGTTGATATTACAATTTGCCTTTTCTGCAAAAATGTTGGAGATTTGACAATTTTCCCTATATAATATGATTAACTTTAATCTTTAACTTTAAAGAAATACTGTGGATCAATTTTTACATAACTTTGTGGATTCAAAGATACTTTTATGAGTATTTTTGATTACTTAACTGCAAATTTTATAAACCTGAGGATTGCACTACCTTAAAAGATGTATTTATTGGCAATTCCATACATTTTACAATATTATTGCAAGTACTTGACTTATACTCCTAACTTTCTTAACAGAAGCATCTATCTGTGTCATTCCAAATCTCAAATGGATCCCAGGTACAGTGCCCAAGACATTCTGCGCTGTAATTTATGTGATACCTCTGTGGTACAGAGTCACTGTGAGCTCTGTATGATAAACCTATGTAAGAACTGTGTTGGGGAGCATCTCTCTGATCCATCAACAGAGCACCGAGTCGTACCATATAAAGGAATTTCTACGCTATATAGTAGAAATAATATTTCTTATATTTCTATGGTATATAGTAGAAATAGTTCTAAGCCAAATCCACCATGTCCAACTCATGCCCCAAAATACTGTGAATTGTTTTGTGAAAAATGTGACATTCCTGTCTGTTCTACCTGCATTGCCTCTGGCAAACATCAAGGACATTAAATAACTGATTTCCTTCAGAAAATCAGCTCCAAAAGAGGAGATATAGAAGATGATTTGAAAGAATTGCAGGAAACAATTTCTCCAGGTTATAAGAAAATTGCCCTTGAAATACAAACTGAAAATTCAGACTTATTAAATCACTATGAAGAATTGACAAAATCAGTAACAAAACATGGAGAAAACTGGATTAGAAAAATTAACATAGCTGTCAATGAAATGAAAGTTAAAATAAGTAAGCTGAAATTGAAACACCAGTCAGTCCTAAAAGAACAGGAAGACAGAGTCACAGAAATCAGCTCCCAAATCGATCAGTGTATTACTGAGCTCAAGAAAATTATTGCTTCGGATGAAGTTTCCCTTGTCTTAGCATATAAATCCAGAAATGCTGAATTCATCCAAACACCTCCCAAAGTCAAGTTTTCATTTCCAATCTTCTCTCCTGAAGAGATCAATTCAGAAAAGTTCAATCAACTATTTGGCTCTCTACAAGAAGACTTAACTACAACAGGAAAAGTGGAACCCGAAATTTTGTCCCTTTCTTTAATTAAAGCATCCCTCGTCCAGCCAGAGCTTACTACCTCCATCAGCACTAAGAATAATAATGGCAAACTATGCAGTGTTGCCTGTCTCAGTGACGAAGAAGTCTGGACATGTTGGAATAACAAAATCATGGTTCTTTACGACCTTCAGGGCAAACTACTGAAGCGAATTCAAACCAAGTCAAGAAACAAGCCAAGTGATATAACGGTGACAAGGAGTGGAGAACTAGTTTACACCGATCCCGATTCAAAGTCGATCAATGTAGTGAAAGATAAAGAAATTGAAACTGGGATCAGATTACAGAAGTGGAGACCACTCAGTATATGCAGTACCTTCTCTGGTGACTTCCTGGTTCACTTGCTCAGTAGTGATGGAAGGCAATCAAAAGTTGTCCGTTATTCAGATTTCACTACGAAACAAACCATTGAATTTGATGATCAGGGTAAGCATTTGTATTCAAACAGCGACCTTAAACATATAAGCGAGAACAAAAACCTGGATATCTGCGTCTCTGATCATGGAGCCAAAGCTGTAGTGGTGGTTAATCAGGAAGGGAAACTCCGATTTAGATACACTGGTCATCCCTTTACCAAGGAAAAATTTAATCCACTAGGCATCACTACAGACAGCCATTGTTGGATCCTGGTAGCAGACAGTGAAAACAATCGTATCCATGTCCTCGATCCGGACGGGCATTTCCTCCGTTTTATTGATAACTGTGAGCTGGTCCTTCCCTGGGGTTTATGTGTGGACTCCACTGACAGCCTCATAGTGGGTGAGAATGGTGGTAAAGTGAAGAAAATTAAATACAGATAGATAAGTGAGATTATTTCTGGTAAGGACAGAGGAAAGTGAAAAAAATAGCATTGTGATTTTATACAGCAGTGATCAAAATGCAGGAGACTTGTGACAGCATTTGAAATCCTAAATTAAATTGAATTCCTCACGATCTCCATAAAAATGTTTTCCTATATGTTTTCCTATGTCATTACATTAACTGTATAGCAGGTTATTTTAGCGGGGTACTTATTTTGGCATTTTGATGATGACATGCTAAAATTTTAATCACTTAAATATTAAGTATTCTTCTTAGTGTTCATTTGCATAGGACTGAAACCCTGTATTCATTAAAATAAACTACCTGTATGCCAAAATTATTGGCATACCTTTGAGCAGGCAAAACACTAAATTTTAAACCCCTCCAAGAAAGCTAGCAAAATGTTATACATGTAATACAAATAATGCATCAATCATATCAATAGACATAATGTACCTGATAAGTAAGTGGACTGAATGTGCAAACAATGTCAATATCAACACTAAACTACATTCATTTTTTGTATAAATCAACAACCTATGGACTGGATACTGTCTTACATGTTTTTATTTTTGCGTGTTACAATGCACAGTAGGTGTTCAGAAAGAAGATAAATTTGATGCATGGTTATTGACCTGATAAAGACATTGGATGAGAAAAGCAACCCTGTATCAAGATTTGACTTTGCTCTGTAAGATAATTTTTTTCGTTTTCATATCAGGTGACTGACTTAATTAACTGTGTCATATTATTTGACACACTTAGGTGATAAAACCTTGTTAATTAAGCTAATAGAAAAGGAAGTTTTATTATTTGAAACTTTTGGAGAGATTTATAGTGTCTGAATCAACATATTAAAATGGTGAAAAGAAAAACTGAATCAACTCCACTTCTTCTTTAGAATGCATATATTGGTTTTCTTGTGCTATTCAGTTTCAACATTGAAATATGAATGGCACCGTAAAATTGTTATCCTGGAAACAGTTAAGATTACATGTAAATCTTTGATTTTAATATCATGTACTGTAGATCACTAAATTTTCGTGACACCTTATTTTCGGGAGATAGTCATTGACTCTTGATTAGCGAGACAAAATTTTCACGAATTGTGGTTTAATATTGTTCTATATAATCTTAAGGTATACTTTTATACGCAAGAATTTAATTTTCGCGAGCATACTGTCTCGCGTAATTACGCAAAAATAAAGTTCTCGCGAATAAAAAGTGATTTACAGTATTTGTAATGTATTTGTGTGATTTTCATACCTTGTAATTTTAATGAATACATTTTATAATATTGCCACATTACTAGTTTCCATTCTTCTTATCAAATTCAAATAATAAAGAGGAATATATTAGTATAAAATGCAATTTGTTGTCAATGCTGTATCATGATTAAGAATAAATTCTACCAAATACTTTGTTGTTCTCAGGATATTGTTCATCGTATGCTCTGAATTTTTTTTCAATCCAATCTGTGTCTTTCACAATCAAAATCTTCAATAACCCCATAAAATGTCTGAATAAAGGCACAGTGTGAAACTTGACTTAACCTATTGCTGGATACAAAACATGTACAATAATTGGTTTACATTGACCAATTGTCTAAATATGCCATATAACCCAGGGATCATAAAAATTGTCCCTGTTCACTTATTGATATTATTTCATACCTTTGTGAAGATATTTTTCATGGCCATGATGAAGCCTTGCCTGTTGTTAAGGCCTAGTTTGTTCTCTGAGTTACTGCCACAGGCAAAGACACTTCCCACGTCTGTCAGAAACATGGTGCCATCCACCCCACAGAAAACATCTCTAATGACAACAGGTTCCTCAATGGTCAGCTCCTGGGGCTGACACCTATCAATGTTAAATTATTGTTTATAACTTACTCAGGATTTTTTCCCTCTTTTTACAAAAACTCTTTACACTTCTATTCATCAATCTTAAGAATAGTGTTACAACAAAACATCCAAACCGATTGGTTGAATATGGCCTAAATTAAAAACTTTTTTTTTTAAATCTAGGGAACAATTACTTTTTAATGCATTCGGAATATAGAAAATTTAGCATCAATGGACATATTTCACACATTCCTCGGCATAAAGCTCATTTTTCCCACTTTGTCCTTTGTAAGTTAGCTGAAAATTTTTTTAATCTTCAAACCTTATGGGAAAATTTCAATATGTACCTATATTGCCAGGGTATGGGCCTATGGGGCAACATAAACATATTCGTACAGATTTTATTTCCAAGATACTGACCCATAAAGTTACCGGTAGTAATGTTATAGAGGAATAACAGTACCTTACTCCATTTATCTCCGGATTGACCCCACAAAGGGAATAACTTTTGTAAATGTGAAAGTCACCTATTTGAAAATTTTCTGCAAAAAATATTTTTTCCTCTACCTACCAACCCAAATTTTTCATCCTGAGTCAGGATAGGGCAAACAAACATTATTTTACATTTGAGCTTAGCATCATGTACTTATTGATCATAGAAATCAAACAAAGATATCTAAATGGAAGAGATGATAATCTTGTTGATATGTCCTAGAACTTACTGGTTGTCTTCGTTACCCAGTCCCAGCCGTCCATCAGCCCCACACCCCCAGGTCAGAACCTCACCCTCACTCCCCACCGCAGCTACGTGCTTACTTCCACAGGAAATGGAAATCACATCCAAACTACAACAACAGAAATTAATTAATATAATGATATTTAAAAGATATTTTCACACCACAGACACTAATTAGATTTTATATGAATGTATTACTAGATCACAAATAAATTTCTTCTGTTTAATTACTCCACGTTTTTGAATGCAGTAATTAAATTTTTACTTCTTAATGTAGAAAATTTTTTACTTCTTGATTTTGCAATTTCTATATATCACGATGTGAGAACTAATTATGATTTTTACTATGCCCAATTTCTATGAAAATTTTATGACAGTAAATTATAAATATTTAAGAGTTCAATGCAGCAACTGCTGTGTGGTAAATGATAAATAAACAAAATAGCCCCTGTACCTGAGTAGTGTCTCTATGAGTCTGGGTCGGTAGCAGGAGAGGGTGTCTCCGTGACCCAGACATCCATCTGTCCCGTCCCCACAGGTCAGGACAATCCCATTGTCACTGGCAAAAATACTGAAGCCATCACCACAACAAGCCCTGGAAGGAGAAAATCAAAATATTATCCACTCTAAAAGCAAGCTGAATTTTAAAATACTATTTTTTCATGTAACATTATTTATAGTTAACAAACAACTTTTAATGTTTGGATATAAGCATTCTAGAGAAATAATACATATTTCTAATGCAATTTTGTTTTTGTTTTTTACCTTGATATAGACTTTCCATTCAGTGATTGGACAAGTTCTGGCTTGACCTTACTCTCTGTGTTCCCATGACCCAATTGACCTTTGACCCCTGAACCCCATGAGTATACTTGTTTTTCAGTGGTTACAACAATCACATGATCTTCTCCTACTGCAGCCTGTAACAGCAATAAAGGTCATAGTTAAAAGTGCATATTCTACTTTTCAAACAAATTAATAGTCAGGTCTTTTTTCCTGGCAACATAATACTTGTATTATGTATACTAAGAAATATCAATGACCACATACAAGAAAAGCTGACTGTACATGTATAAGCATAATTCACTTGCAACAGGTATAATTCTTTAACAATTGGTACACAGCAAAACTCGGTTATAACGAAGTCAACGGGACCTACGAAATTACTTTGCTATATCCCCAATTCGTTATGACGGTTTAAGAAATTCATTAGATTTATATAGCTGGGGATCCAAGATGACTTCGCTATATCCGTAAATTCGCAATATCGGTGTTCGTACTAAACGAGTTTTGCTATAATTCACTTACATGTCTTATTTTGATTTTGGGTGGCAGTTCAATGGGAGTCATGCAAGCCGTGCAGCTCTCAAAGTAGAAAAACACTGACCTGTAAAATAACGGGAAGGTGAGTGAAAGGTAGATAATGGATATCTCAGGTGCAGATATTTGAAAACAAGAAAGTTGTGGGTCATACATGTAACATTAAAAAAATTAAATCATGGAAATGTGTTTCACTCTGTAAAAAAAAAAAACATGCTTATCTAAAATGTTTATAGTCATCACAGATGAAACATGCAACAACTCACACATAAATAATTTAAAATTCTAATTTTTGAAACCAAATAATTAATACATGTATGATTTTTTTTCTTCACTTAAATACTGTGTATATTACAGAGTATGTACAATTCACTGAATGTAAATTGAAGATATTTTGAATCTGCAGGAAAGACCCCATGTGTACAAGGTGTTTAAAGAATAGAAAATTTACAGAGTACAAGTGTTTGTTATTTTTCTTCCTTTCCAAAGTTATTTAAATTTGTATTATCATGTGTAATCCATTTTTTAACCTATCTTAGATTTGACATTTATTTGAGCTGTGATATAAAAGTGTAGAGAAGCAATTAAGGCATGCATAAATAGTGAACTTGTTAATAAGCTAGTGATCCATAATTACTTCCAGATTTCGATCTTTTAACATTATTACATTGATTCACTTCTGTATTTTACATTAAGAAACAAAATTTTTTTTTTCATCTTGTAAATCACTTTTTTTCATCTCCTCTTCCATTATCTGGTTATAATCATAATAATTTCAAAATGTCAACAGAAATAGTAACTTAAAAATAATAATGGTACAATATGCATGATTTATGTCAAAACAACACCAATGACAGGAAATGTGACTTCCCACGACACCCAGTGTATTACCGCTTGTCCAGAGCACGACTACTGTACACAAAACCACAATCACACATTATTACAGTACATCCCTACTGAAGTCAGTTTCATGTTTACTATAATTATGGAAGCAGTCTAAAATGTGTTTTTTGGTCAGAAAGAGTATCTCTAAATCATTTCATTCTTTGTCTCAAAATATTCAAGTAGAAGAAAGTATTTTAACTAAAAAAAAAATTTCTTTTTTCAATATCTGACACTGTTTAAAATAATCACAAAACATGTACTTTCACAAAACTTAGCTAAAAGCACAAAGATGTAGAATATTATACTCTACTTGTTAAGTCTTCAGAGTATGCTCCCCTTCCTCTAACTTTTATAGAGTGAGCTCCCCTTACCTGAGTTTTTTCTTGGCCTTGGGGTCATTAACATTCCCCTGAGACAAGACTAACTCGTCATCAGTGTCAGGGTCCTCAAACTTATTCATCAACTGTCAAATATCATTATTTATTTATTCACAGAAATTATCAAAGTTCCAATGATATATGAATTGGGTTGATTCAAAATTATCTGATAAATACATAGATGTATCTCAATAAGCAAGGGAAGAAAGACAGTGGATGAAAAATAATATCTTAGTGTGGAAGATAATTCAGAATTCTCATACATAAAACTGTGGAAATATTTTACAGTGACAAACCTCAGGCAGCCTGGTGTACATGATTTCATTGGCTGATGGTCTCTCGTCAGGATCCTGTTTTAACATATCCATAATCAAAGACTTGAACTCTTCACTGTAATTCCCTTTTACAGGAGCAAATTGTCCCTACAATCACAAAAACATGAAATACACAATGCACCATATTTTTGTTTTAATTTTATTTTTATTATTCATTTATTTTTCTTTTTTTACTTTTCAATTTTTTATACACTGTAGCTCTGCAGAATTAATGCCTTTACTTAGAAATGGTCCGTGAATAAGGATACCTTCATGATTTTGTTGACCAGAGCTGGTAAGTTGGATCCCTCAAATGTTTTCTGTAGACAGGCCATCTCATACAGTATACATCCCAAGGCCCAGATGTCAGATTTATCATTGTACGGCTTACCCTCACACTGTAAAAGAGAAATACCATAAATAAAACTTGTCAAACAGAACAATAACTTTCTTAGATTTATGCATTAATGAATGAACAAAACACAAGGAATCAATTTAAGAAATAATTTAACAAATAATGATATTTTAGGGTGGAAGATATTAAATTCTAAGCTACGGGAATGGGGTATAATTACAGGCAATTCTAACATACCATCTCTGGGCTGATATAATAAGGTGTCCCTAGGACTGTGTTAGCTCCCTTGTTAGCAGAGCTAAGCATCTTAGAAATCCCAAAGTCTCCCACCTTAACCACACCCTCCTTTGTCAGGAAGATGTTAGCAGTTTTCAGATCTCTGTAATAATATAAGAAAGAAATGAAGAGGACATGAATAAAATATTCAGATACTTAATGTACTTACATGTACATGATACTTAAAGAAAGCTGGTAAAACTAGTGCTCATCCTAATTTTCTCTAAACATATTATTATTTTCTTATTTTCTGTAAACAGCTAATGTACAGACATTAGAGAACACAAACCTATGGAGTATGTTGTGTTCGTGGATGTGTCTGATGGCTGCCACAATCTGCTGGAAGATCTGGAGGATTTCCTTTTCCTCCAAATTCTTGTCCTTGGCCGCCATTCCAGCCAGCTTCTGGGCAAGAGTTCTAGACAAAAAAAAACATAACTTACATCAGAATTTCACTTTGAAATCTGTAGAGAACTCTTAAAAAGTTGCATCAATTATTCTGGGTTTCTGACCACACATAGTAAGTTGAGTAAATCTGTGAGGACATCACTTACCCTCCATCAGCATACTCTATTTCTATCATTAGAACACCATCCTCCTCAAAACTGTCATAGTAACTGATGATGTTAGGGTGGTCCAACATAGCCAGGATAGAGACCTGATAAATAACAAAACTGTCATAGTAACTGATAAATAACAAAACTATCATAGTAACTGATGATGTTAGGGTGGTCCAACATAGCCAGAATAGAGACCTGATAAATAACAAAACTGTCATAGTAACTGATGATGTTAGGGTGATCCAACATAGCCAGAACAGACACCTGATAAAGGACAAATGTCTAAATTACATTGTCACTGCTTTTGTTTTAGAATTGTATAAATTTTAAACAAGAATTTCCTGGCTGTTTTGATACTTTGTACAAAACTTGTTTTAGAAGTTATACAAATGTTGAATATTTCCATTATTGTCTTTTTCAAACTATGATTTTCAAACTACATGTGCATGCACAGAGAATTAAAAATAAATTCTTGACATTTATCCTCAGTATTAATCTGTCACCTCATTCAGAGCTAGCTGTCTCTCCGCTGCATTCAGGTCGTGCATGTTAATTTCTTTCAGGATGACAAGAGAGTCATCATCTTTCTTTCTATACAATACTGCAGCACCATATGCCCCTAAAATGTTCATCTCAAATTATAGTACATGTATAATTTGAATGTGATGACATATTCCAATTAATAAAAGTTGAATTGTGCTTTGGACTTTCATATTTTAATCCCCTAAAAACAAAAATGCTTTTTTTTTTTAGAAATCTGGACAAAATTTTATTTCGTTTACTCACTGATTGTCATTTGAGTAAATATTTGATTCTCTCCCCTTGGAACATTTATTAGGACACATATATATACTTATATATACTGTACCTTTTCCGACAGTTTGTATTTTCTCAAAACCTGCTAGAGACTGCTGGTTGTTCCCACTCAAACCTCTCAATTTCTCCATCCGAAAATAAAGTTTACCGACACTTCTACAAGAGGTTTAACATACAGTAACATGAAAATAAATTACTTTCCCAAAATACGATTGGAATTGACTTTGGTAACCAAACTGAACAAAAGGCAAGAAAACCCCTATCTTTATATAACAAACTTTAAAGTAAAGCATCTTAGACAATACTTACATTTTATTTTCAGAGCTCTGTTTGCTGTCATTTCCAGCTATATCTCTTGCCATAGTCACCTTGACCTAAAATTATCACAGCAGACCTTAGCACTATACACATCATCTTTTCTGATGATAAAGCAAGACTGATTTTCAGCTATATCAGACTAGTAGAATTAATTTCCTCTACAACATTTTTTACAAAAACATCAAAAAATATAACTCACTTTCACTAGATTTTCCAGCTCCTTTATAATGGCCACTCCATCTGGGTGAAGAACAGCATTACAGGCCAGAAAATCAAGGTGAGGACATTCACTGTCAAAGTTCAGGTGAGAGGTCACTAGGTTTGTGAAGAAGTCCTTGACCTGCTGATTCTCACAAAATGTGTCCTTTGATGCAACCTTACAGCAAAACAAAATCTTTAAATAGTACATGGTTATGGTAAATGTCTTTGATTGTATTGGTATAACAAAGATCAACTGTAGTTATCAAATTAAAGAATCCAAACAGCAAGGGCTGGTCTTTACTAGGAGTGAGTAGATCCTCACCTTGTCAACCTTGCCTGATATCGGGATGTTTGGACCTACCTTGTCATCCTTACCTGATATCTGGATGTTCGGACCTACCTTGTTGTCTTTGCCTGAAATGTGGATGTTGGGACCTACCTTGTCATCCTTGCCTGATATCTGGATGTTGGGACCACAGCAGCTCATCATCAGAGCTATACTATCCACTTTTCTGTCACTCAGAGTCTGGTTCACAAGGCCTACAACAATTAAATTTACAGGTAAACTGTTGAGACTAATTCAAAAATGAATATCATGTTGAGAAATGAAATCTCTCTTATGGAGTCAAAACAAAGTTTAATATATCAAAAAAATAATTTATTATAAAATTTGTAAATGAATTATTTAAAAAATTTGCATCCTGATGATGTTTATGAAAAATTTTCAATTAATAACATTCAATATCTTTATAAAAGAATTTATGAAAGATAAAAATTACCCAGAATTCCTTCTGTTGTCATGGAGTCATACTTGTATTGTACAAAAATCACATTGGGCTTGATGCTATGCCTGAAATAGATGCTGTTCCTGATTTTTGTGGACACCAGAAGTAGACGAGGGGGTTCCCCAACATCAGTCTGGGAGGAATCATTGGACTGCCCTCCTCCAACTTTTCCAAGAATAGCAGCTTCGTCTTGGAACTGAGGTGGACTCCCACTGCCTTCAAAACCAGAATCTGGTATCTGAAATATTGAAATATCTGAATTATTTATCTGAAATTTTGAAATACCCATATTATTTACCAGAAACTGAAATCTGAAACATTGAGAAATCAAAATAATTTACCAGAATCTGATATCAGCAATACATGTACTGAGATGGCGAAATAATTAACAAGAATCTCATGTATAAGACAGGGGAATAATAAACTTATATGTGGACATAAGTTGTCTTCAAAAATCCTATTTCATTCCATATACATCATCTTTTAAAATGTACAAACCTCTTTTATTCCAATAAACTAGTATTTGAAAACAGAAAAAAATTGTTACTCAGGCCCATGATGCACTTACAATTATACCCAAGATGATTTTATTTAAAATAAATAATTGCCAGCTAAGTCAAAGTTTCAAGCTAAATGTAATGATTAGTAGGAAGAGAGAAAATGCAATGGACCAGATCAGGATTCAAACCTGGGACCCCTGATTCTCAAGTCAGGTGCTCTATCTACAGAGCTATCGGGACATTTAACTAATTATATACGTTACCAAATCTTATCTTACACTCTCTGGTTTAGAGATCTGCCCTTTTGTTTGTATTTTGATCTGAGATCCACACGAGGTAAGGAATTCTGTCACTTTCTTTTCTTCTGAGTTTCTGACAGCCAGCTGCAGGTCATGTAGTGATTTTGTCTCTCGTCTTGAAGGGGACTACACAAAAAACAAACTTATGTATATCAGGGAAAAAAGACTTGTAAGCACATCAGCATAGTGTTTTTCAGTGTTCTTATCACAGGAATTCATTTTTAATAAGATATATGCATTATATCTTCATACCCCTTCAGGAACTGGGAGGTCATGGGTCACGTGAAGGTCATCATAGCTGGCATGATGTGACCCCGCCTCCTTCTGAGCCATTGTTACATGTAATTACTCATTGTCTTCAAGTCTGCTAGCTACTGCTTATGATCCAAATGATCTGAAAGAATAAGAATTAAGATACCACGACAACTGAGACATAAAGCAGATTAAAAAAAAATTATATATCCTAGATATTTAATCAATGTTGCAATATTTTATTTTAATAATTTTTCCCCGTCGTAAATAATAAACTAAAAATCGGGAGAAATGAATTAAAATGACCCATAACATCATTTTTAGTTGTACGGTTGACTCTTGAAATAATACAATGTATATATTCAGATGAAGCCTATAATCGTCAAACAAAGTAGATCTATAAGAAATTAAAAAAACAAAACAAAAAACCCCACAAAAACACAAAAAACAAAAATTCAGTATCATTGTTTATAATGGGAGCCCTAAAAAAGATTACCTATTAACTGCAAGTGCAAGATGTAACAACTGTGTAAGATCACCAAAAAAAAAAAAAAATCCAATCAAAAATCCGGCCGAGGCTATTCGCACGACGGTCGTGCTAATTACCGATGTTATCCGCACGACGGTCGTGCCGATAACTAGTTATTCGCACGACGGTCGTGCGAATTATAAACGTTATTCGCACGACAAACTTCAAAATTAATTTATATTAATTATACGTTTATTTGTATTATATTTTTACTTTGATATGATTTTTCACGTATGTCATTTTGCTTAATTGTACGTTGAAACTCAAAACAAATTTTATTTATTAGACATCGACATAAAGTTAACCTACCTTTTTCCATGCTTACTATTCAAGAGTTCCTATGCAAGAGGTTTTTTTTTAAAATGTGATTTAGCCGTTTTTTGCACTGATATGATTTTTCCAAGAAAAAAAAGAAGAAAAAAAGAAAGACCCCCCCCTAATAAACGGCAATTTTATTTTCGAAATACGACACGAAAATTTTAATTTTATACTATACACCCTTGTTATGATACATGAACTAGCATAATATAGGATCTCCCTATGGTTATAATTAAAAGAACAAACAAGGTTACCCTGTTTCTTTCATGTTTTGTGATGTTTTGTTTTATCCATCAGGTTCACAGTTGTGTTGTTTTCTAAATAAATTCGCATTTTTATACTGAGTAATAGTTTTCTTATTTGTAAAATAATGCTGTACCACAGACACTTGTTTCGAAAATGATTTTTAAACCCATAGTATAATAATAACACCTTTTGTTATCATTATACTATTAAAATTATTTCCGAAACAAGTGCCTGTGTGCTGTACATAAAATAATAAAGCATAGAATAGATTTAAGCTAAACATGATTATTACATTTTTTTAGGGGTGGGGTGTTATTTTGGAAATTCAAAACATTTTATACATGCAGTACATATAACTAAAATGCAACTAATGAATGTTTATCATATTTATAAACAAGATTAACATATACTGGATTCTCTCTATCATTTTGGGGACTAGGGGTCGTCCCTGTCTAACAATCCGCGAGGTTTTTCACACTTGAAGCAGTTCTACTTACCGCATGGTCAATTTCTCGACTGTGGTCGCGATTAACGTGCACAATTTCAGCGGCACTTAGGGACTTACATGTCATGTACACATCTCAAAAAATAAATACAGAAAATTCGACATAATATTTTACCCATATTATAATTTTTACGTGAAGTATTCGGAAGAAATAGGAGAGAGAGAGAGAGAGAGAGAGAGAGAGAGAGAGAGAGAGAGAGAGAGAGAGAATTAAAATAGGAAAGACTAATTAAGACCGTAAATAAAGGAAAGTATATTATGAGAAAAATATTTGTGTACAGGCTATGATATATATAATTTTTGCTCCAATCACCATAACCTTAGAAAAATACCCAAGAATTAAATAATATAAAGGATGAATAATATTTAAAATATATGTCAATTTATTTAGACACGACGAAGAATATTCAACAAAGGCAATTTGAAAGCAACTATATAAAGGAATATTATTTATTTATTTTGTGTATTAAGTGCATCCCTTCTCCTTGGAATAAATTATATTTATTTTGTATTTTGGTTCGTGAAAAATATACGTTGGTTCGTTGGTTGGGGGGAAAAAGTATACGTTCGTTGGTTGGGGGAAAAAGTATACGTTCGTTGTACATATATAATTTCCCCCACCAACAGCGTTCAGCGTTGATATAATTAATGTTAGAGTTATCTCTCTTGTGTCGTGCGGATAAGAACTGTTATTAGCACGACCGTCGTGCGGATAACGAAATTTATCGGCACGACCGTCGTGCCGATAGACCACCGGATGTTTGACTACTAAAATTAAAATGAAGATCGGTTCGAATGAATTTCCCGGACAGTAACTTATGAATTTATTGTAGGAAAAACTGTTATACCTTCAAATGATGTCAATGACAAATATATAACCCATAATTTAAATTAAATTATTAAATCCAATCATATTTTAGGAGGATAATAAAAAATTATTGTTTTTCTTTCCAAGGCTCCATCCGGATCAAGTAGCTTTGTTTTTTACTTTCTACTTTCCTTTTGATATTCAGGCGTCTTTGGAAACGAGCTTCTGTACAGTATAACCAGAGACTGGTAACACAGTATCGATATCGAGTGGTGTTGATTGGGGTTCATCCAATATTTCACAAAGTTCTGAAAATTTGCGTTATCAGATTTGTTTGTTGAATACTGAAGCAATCAAAAATGTCTGTGTCTGCACGAACGGACTCATGCGAACAGGTAGATTGGGCGAACGGACCAAATGCCCTTTTTGAGTAAATCAGTAAATGATACCCCCGCATCCTCAATCTCCTATGCAGAGTTGTCATTCGTTCCTCTGTCGTATGAGCCGATGGTATAGTAGAGAGTGCCGCCTTCCATATGATTATAATGGCAAAGTCCATGTTTTGCTTTGGAAGACCCGTAGAGTGTCAGATTTTTAAAAAAGTAAAATAAGGAGGTGCACAATGACATTTTTTAAATAAAAATCTGTGGAATTATTATTATTAGAAAGTGATAAAGGAAGAGTTGCTGATAAGAGATGGGTATACGCTTAAATATTATAGAAAGAATGGCAGCTAGGTCAAAGTTTAGCTAAGGGAAAACCGATGTATATGTTTCCAGGAAGTCATAATATGGCACTTATGATGCAACAAAGATTCTTTGAAAGTCTCATTTAATTCATTCAGTGGTAAAAGAGGAGTTGCGGATAAAAGATGGGTACCCCAAAACGAAACAGACGGTCGGACATCCCGATCACTATATACCTCCAACTCTGTGTGTGTGTGTGGGGGGGGGGGGGGTATGAATATCAGACTTTTTACGAATTTGATATTTTCCTAGCATAGGCACTTGTTTCGTATACGGGTATCCCCTACCTATATAGGTAGGGGTACCCCATATACGAAACAAGTGCCTGTGATTTTGATGAGGAAAAAGAAAAACCATATAGTTACTCAGGTAAGCGTTTTATAGTCCATGGGTCTCTTGTTTGCAATGTTAAAAATGCTGTGCATGAATTCTCAGATTTTTTCACAGTATCATGACTTGGCCAGACTCGTAATTTTTGGTTTACAACTTGGGATTTGCTTTTAAAACCTCAATTGCGGGATGATAGTGGTGTTTTTTTCTTCCATTTTTCAGTTACTATTAGTGCATTTATTCACGTGGAAACCTTCATTCATGATCTAGAAGGTTCTGTCTTTTGTGAACAGTTCAGGCTTGTCATCAGATTCCATCCTGATGAATTTTTTTGAAAAATATATATGTCATGTTGGACTAATCGACAATAAGTTTATTCATTCGAGAGCACAGGCACTTGGGGTATGCATGGACCCCCCTTTCCATTTTTCCTTTTTTTTTTAATCTGGGGTCGGTTACCTTTTTCCTATTTTTGTATTTTAATATGCACTATATATTATCAAAAATGTAACTCTTTCGTCTCTGTAAGCTGTTTTTAAAAGTATCGTTTTCGACTGATACATAAAAGAGAGTAATCAATGTATCAGTCGAAAACGATTTTTAAAAAAAACCTTATAGAGACAAAAGAGTTATATTATTGATAATATATAGTGCATATTAGAATACAAGAATGGGAAAAAGGTGACCCGAAAGAAAGAAAAGAAAAATGGAAAGGTGTGGGGGGTCCATACCCCAAGTGCCTGTGGTCGAGAGTTTACACGACCTTCGATTTTTGAGTTAGTTTTCAAGACATTAACAGTGAACTGAACAACTGGTGGACTATATAGTTTCTTCAATTAATTATTGTTAAATTCTTAGCATGTCTGAATTTTTGAAAAAGGGCGAGATAGGCCCTATTCGTAGTCATTCCGATCATCTTAAAAAAATTGTTTGGTTGCCCTCTTTCGACCAACTGGCTAAAAATCAACTTTTTCAACCTCCAATAATTAAAAAAAAAACCTACAATGTATCTACCCAGGCGCGGATCCAGGTGGGATCCACCCCGGTCCAATAAAATTTTCAACCAAGAATTTTCTTGACCAAAATAAAAAACAAAAGACGTAAAATCACTAATTTCCCATGCATGAAAAAAACCTATTTCATGGTGGAGGGGGGGGGGGCTACTCGTTGATTTTCAAGCTTCAGATGTATGACTTTTAATACCACTGACACATAGATTATGACTTTTCATACCAATTTCAAATAGATCTGCGTTTTCTAGAGGGAGGGTGGTGGTAAAATGTCACTCTACTTGAGTAAATAAAGACATACATTTGCAAATTCTGGGGGGGGGGAGATGGGGTCGCAGCCCCCTGCCAAAAACACACACTGTAGATCCGCACATACTACCGATCAAAACTCTAAAGATGAACTAAAAATCGATATAAATATGAAAAAAGTCAATCAAGTATGTTAACTTTTGAAAATTGACTATCATTTGGAAGTAGGCGGGAGAACAAGTTCGCAATTATTTCACTCGATCCTTGGTTTACTACCGCCGTCATAGCAATCTAATTAAAATTGGATGTTAGATCCGCTCACATACTCACTGCTCAAACGTTAGTGTACAGTGTATTGAGTACATGTACATGTATGCAAGCCG